CTCGTACTAATCGTTGGTATTAAATTTTATTCACCAGATTTTCTCGTCTCTATTTTATTTATGTGTTAAAAAAATTCAAGAAATATTCCTCTTTGCTTTTTGTTCTGTGATAACTAAGTAGTGAGAGATGGTTGATAATATTTTCCTACATTACTTGGAGAAAAAGGTTGATGTTGGAAGATCAAAAGAAGTCATCTTGCTAACTCACAATAATTGCATTTCCGTACAAATAATACTCGACAGACCAATTTTCGATAAATGGGAAGTCTCTTGTCAGAAAGAGGAAGTTGAAACTCAAGAACAATTGTACTGCCGCAGGGGACCATCAATAGACTACACAACCTAGTCTAGAAGTAAATGGGAACTCTCTTCAGCAGATACAACATATCACATTTGACGAAGTTCCAGTTTTTTTTTCTTCTTCTTCTTCTTCCAAGTGAGTTTCATCAATGTCACATGATTGGATCCAGATTGGTATGATAATCATTAGCATTTTAAATTAGTTCATCATTTGGTGTAGTGTGAAATTTGATGTTGCATCAATAGATCAACTAATTAGCCTAGATATTGAAGCTTTGTAAGATGAAAATAAAACATCTAGCACCTGGTCTAGTCTCGTATCAACTTGGTGAAGACTTTAGACAAGCTTGGTTCAATATCAAGATAATCCTTGGGTGTTTTGTGTTGAGGAAGCACAAGCACTATTGTGGTTCTTTTTGTGCTTTGATCTAGGGTATCTAGTGAGGAAAATAAGTCTGTTCAAAATGGCTAAGAAATACTATTTTACATTTTTCTTTTATTTAATCTACATATTTTATTATTAAACTTCTTTTGATTTATTAGATAAAAAAGGTCTGGGAATATTTTATGTCTAGACAACGAATTTTCCATTAGAGTTTTCTTCAATCAACTCCAATGAAATGTGGGAATATTTTTTTTTCAATTGTTAATAACAATGTCTGATTGTCTGAAATGATATGCAGTCACTACCAACAATACATGAAATTCTGAACTCCAGAAATCAATCTCCAATAATATCTTAATAGAAACTTAATAAATATTTTTTAGCAATCCAATTGATGCTAAATCTTCCATACCAATAACACAAAAATAGCACAGGATCCAAGGCTATCAGCGTTGGCACTATCACTCTCCTGACTATTCTAAAATTCTTCACTAGATTAAAATCCTTGATAGACACAATTGTGATCGTTCACATCTGGCAGCTTATGATGATCGAAATTGGACAGCTAGCGATATATTTTCAACACTCAAACCTCTTCATTCAAACCAAAGCAAACATTTTTTCAAACAAATCAACTCTTGAGCAAAGTTTCAAGTGATTATCTCTGCTGAATGTTGACAACTCAACTGAAACTATATCACATATTTCCAACACAATACCAGAGTTATTTCCCAGAAAAGCAACTATCTCCATCAGATGTATTTCATTGTGAATGTGAACTTGAAATTATAGTTTATCATGAATGCCAAAACAAGACAGATTTGTATTCCATTACAATGAACCTATGCTATGGATCAAATAAAACATTGAATCAATCCCAGGAGAAATGCTACAATCCAATCGAGTAGTACATGAGTGAGTGGTAACACAAGAAGAATAACTTGAAGTGAATAAAGTCTCCAGAGTGGAGAAGTACACTAGCGTTTCATCGTCAATCTTCCATTTCATCTATTCTTCGGAAACATTTTCTTTCTTTATTGAACTTGAAATCTATGTTGACGGGTGAGGATGAGAATTTTTCATCTAGGTCTTGGTTGTATGAGTAATATCATATCTTTTTGATGGCGAATTTTGAAAGAGTTTAGAATGAATAGAGAAAGAGAGAAAGGCGTTAGGAGGATCTGGATAGTCGAATAAGTAACGTGTCTGGTGACGTGTAATAATGGCTTGGTGGCCGGACGCACGATAAAGTGCATTTGTCGACGAGCTTGAAGTGAAAAAGCTCCAATAGAGAGAAAGAAATGGATGCAGCAGCAGACTCTAGGTGGGTGAGAAGAGAGGAGGTGTGAAAAATGAGAAAGCCCGCGTTGTGAGCATGTAACACATTGATGCTAAAGGGGATAGTTGAGGTTGCATCCTACTCCAATGAAGCAAATCGATGTGCCCACAACCAAACGGAAACGATTTCTATTTCTTTCATTCGAATTTATCAAACCAACGGTCTGGTGCCATTTTTTTCTTCCTTTTATGTGGTTATGTTTTTCTTGTAATTTTATGACACAAATATCTCTTGATCATTTCTTGGGACTATTATTGGATTTAGTTGGCAATATTGCTTGTGACCACACTTGCAAAATACACTCACATTCCATCTGCTATTGTGATTCCATTTAGGGGTCATTTCACTTACTTTGGCTTCGGTGCTTGCATCACCAAAACTGTTTTGTTCAGTCCAATTCCTCTCAACTAACCTCTATAATTTTATGATTTATATTGTCAACACAAATACATTTATATACATCAATGTGGGTATGTAATTTTGAGAAAAGAAAATGGATCTTGGCGCACCTATTGTTTCCATCCATTGAAATCCGTGATTTTGTCATCTTTCAGTTTTTTTGTTATAAAAAAAAAACGACTGGACCGAATTTGTTAAAACTCCTTCCAGATCTTCTTTATTGTATTATCTTTCAAATGAAATTAGTCCAGAGTCGATATCTTCAGTGGTTCTCGAGATATCAAAAAAGAAAAAAAAGCCTGGACATACGTACGTACGTACAATTATTTTTAAACCTTCTAATATGTTTTTAAATGTCATATAACTCATTTTCTCTTCATCTCTAGTCTAACAATACCTAAATAGATCCAATTGTATCTAAAAGTCCTATAATTGACCGAAGAGAAGGTAAAATTATAGTCCAGTCAATAACATAGTCCATTAATTTATTTTCCGTGCACGCTGTGTCTTCCATCAGCTGACCCTCCAACATATTGGAAAACAACTCCCAGGCAATGAACATAAAATTCGACAAGTGATGATTGGTGATGATTTAATCGAGCAAAACATGATTTACTAAAATCAAAAAGTGATCCATAATCCAACCTTCTCTTCAAAATAACTTGATCTCATTTTATCTAATAGGATACAACAAAATTTTTTCCCCTAAAATTAATGTAATAAATTATCCTCATCCATCATTTACATATCCATCTGATAAAATCTTGATGATCTATATGTTTTCTTTTCCTCCATGATTAAAAGAGTTGACAAAATACATCCTTTTGTTGTCTTTCATTGAAGCTCTCCACCTTTAACTGCATTGTACAAAGTCCTCTATTGTCATGTTACAATGTAAAACAAATGTCGTTTATTATTCTTAACAGCTTTGAGAGTAAATTTGAGTTTATTAACAGTAATTTAAAAGCATAAAACAAAAGTTTTGACAGAAGCATAAAAAAAAATATATTTCTATAAATGTAAAAGTGAGATATCTAAAAATTAGTCTTTCTTTCTATCAAGTATTTTTCATCTTATTTTATTAATTTAACATATCTAAATCATTTTTCTTACTTCAGTATAGTTTAAATTTTCTAACATTTTCAGTATGACAAATTGTTGTTTCTGATTCATTTTATTTCTTAGAAATTTTCAATATCTTTTAACTCATCTACTGTTTATAGCTGTACACCTGGATCGTATATATTATTTAGATCATATTCTGGCTGATAATCATCTGATTGTAGGTATTCCACTCCATTTTCCTCATCATCTAACACTGATAAATGTCATTTTAATTTAATAACTTAAACTCTACTTTAAATTATCTGAGTAAAGTTTATTAATTTTTGAAATATATGCAATATTTACTTTTAGAATTTAGTAAAAATTACTAAAGAAAGAAGTGGAACAAGTCAAGATGTTTTTAATAATGGCAGACATCAGTATGAATTTGGGACCACATGGCAAAATGTGATCTTTTGTTCATAAAAAAAGAAGCTTTTTTTTTATTAAATATCTTGAAAACAACCCATCGGGGATGGAGACATGATGTGGATAATTTTTCGAGTTTCTTACAAGAAAAGCTCTAGAAAAATTATCAGTTCCATGAATTACATAATTGAATTGTTCTTCGTTTTTAAACAAAGTAAATCAATATTTATTGTTAGTTACAAAGAAAAATTTACATAATGAAATAATTGAGGCCAATCATATATTATTATCAAAAGGAAGATAGTAAATGGCAAGTACTGGTACTACCTGTTGCCATGGCTACCACCAAAGGGGAGAATGAGTGAGATCAACTCCCCCTAGGTGGCAATGAATCCGGTTCCTACGCGCACGTTTATCAATTCCTAACGATCGCATGCGAATTATTGACCATTGTGAAATGAATAACATACAAATAGGCATCGATTTCGGTTTTGATTTCATCATATCACAGAATGGATACGTTTGCTTTTAGAAACTGGAGAAGATGACGACATGCATGAGAACACATCCCAACATATAAATCCTTCTTTATCCCTTTTTTTTCCTATATCCTTTGATACACTTTTTCTCTCTGTAATTTTGCCTGTTTCAACATTGACGATTCAATCAAGACTCAATTCAATAGACGACGGATTAGAGTAGCTGGTGGTACACAGTTCAACGCTTCTGATCTCTCGAGTTCTCTTCCTGTATGACACAAAAGTGGATAAACAAAGTGATGTTCATTTATTTCAAGTAATAAAAATAAAATACATGCGATTCAACGAGAGAAAAATATATTTCAGCAACTCAATTGCTCGATAATCCAACGAAAAGGTTACAAGACCCAATAGCTAGCAATTCAGTCTGATGGAATCTCTAGTGATTACGTGAATTGATATTTTTCTATTATCTCAAACTCGAGCATGGAAACTGCCAAAGACCTACTTTTCTTTTCAGGGATCCATTCAACTTGGAATTAATTATTTCGTCGATGGGAAAAAATCGTTGATGACCAGTGGAAGAGTTGAAGAAAGGTTAATTATTAATCTGAAGAATTGGAACATGCTAGAGTTTCCAATAAAATCATCATCTGGTCATTTTGATGGAGATAAAGGTGGGTTGTTGAATCGATTTTCCAACATTGAAGGTGAATAAATAGGATTATAGAATTTATCTGAAGACTTACAAGGTTGGTAGACGATGCACAGGTTAACTTGTTGTCAAGAAGTGAGGGTTGATGATAGAAGATGGAGTTTTATAGTGAGGGATAGGGTGTTAGTGGAAGGAGGAACAAGTGTCTTGTGATGTACATGGGAAAAAGAGAACCAACATGATCAGTGTGTTACACCTTCTTTTAGATCAGCAGTAACATTACTGTGTAATGGATTAGAATGTTTATCAACTTGTGTTATCTGTTTTTATCAAGATTAATTTGAACATTAATGATTATTGTGTAGCACGGTACTGAGTTATGACCTGGTCCTGATCCAATACTGGACCAATGAAGGTCCAATGTTAGGTCTAGTATTGGACCAATCTTGCTTCCAACCCAGAGCTCATTCTTTTTCATGAAAACAATTTTTAAATTTATAGATTACAGCATAGCACAGCACAAAGTCACCTTTGATGCTTTTTTTCCAAAGTAAAACTGTAAAGAATCAAGACTTTGGAAAATTAGAGAAATTAAGGTGACATTTAATGAAAAGACAAGCAAGAAAAAAAGGTTGCTTTACTAGATCCATTTATTCATTTTGTCTATTCTAGGTTGTAAGGTTTATTACACTTGAACCAACTTCATTAAACTTCTATAATTCAGCACACATCCTAGCATGAATCAAGACTGGTCTCCAGCACTAGGGTAATTTAGTCAACCTTGGACCAGTCTTGTTTCCTACAACCAAAACATACCAAAAGAAACAAACTCTCCAACAATTTAAACATCATTACAATAACTGTCCAATTGTTCTACAATACAATTTCCTATTTCTCTTGAGAACATTCCACAAATTGAATGACATCACCAAGAATATTTACTTACAAGCAGTAAGCTGTCGTGAAGTTTAGACAACCCAAGAGAGAGAGTGTGTTTGAATAAATTCACTTTAAATGATTGAATTATTAGAATCAATAAACAAAGGAAATAGTGTTTTATTTGTGCTGCAAAAATGGTTGGGTATTCTTTGAATAGCAAGGAATAAATTCACTAGGTTCAGCATGTCGCATTCAATTGAAACGCGACATCTAGAAAAGAGAACAGAAGGGAACGAGTTGTCGCGTGCAAACGGAAGACGTCACGTTGTATGTGACGGGTGTCTGAGATATGTATGGGTCGACGTACGACCCTCTTTAGAGGATTCATGTCATGGTGAAATTATAGTCGATGTCTAGATACTCCAACTCAAAATTTATGTCAAGTATAAATGCAAGGAAACATTTTCCCCAAAATACTTTCATCATCATATCGAGTTTGTCTTTTATATACATTTCTCAAACTAGTCTCATTACTCTTCTTCCAACTTGCTTCACCGATCACCTATAAAACTAGACGATCCTTCCAAATCCTTATCGTTAAGCTTTGAAAAAGTCTCCTTTCATGTCGGATTCCAACTCTTTCCTAACTTCTTAGCTATAAAAATCTGTAGATTTATTCAACGTTTTTAAGACTTTGCTGTCCAAGCATTTCCAAGATGATGATTAAAATCTGAGTAAAAATTATTATATATAACCATATGAAAAATATATATGTATATTATACGAATGGTAATATATAAAATTTATAATTGTATATCATTGTATAAAATAATGCATGGAATTTAAAATGATGTTGTACAATTTTACATGTTTATATATAATTATATAAAAATAAATTGAAAAATTATAAAAATTAAATTATATTAAAATATGATTATATACAATAATTTATATACCTAAGAATGGATGAATTATTTTTTTTTTCTTAAATTTTATTTACGGAATAATAAACTCGGAAAACATACCTTCAAAGATAATATTTTTAGCAATTTAGTGAGTATAAAAATAATATCACACATTTTTGAGGATAATTAAAAAAAGAATAGTTATTTTTATCAAATCTCAAGACTCTAATGAGACTGTTTTAAAGAGAAATATCATCCAACCCCAAGTACTATTATATTCTCATTTTTCCCACTTGAAGGAGTGGATTGGTGATTTCCTCATTGCTATGGAAAAATTACAGGAGCAAAAGCAACGGAAGGAAGAAAGTGAATTTGAAGTAAAAGAATTGGAAAAAGGAGCAGAGAGACTGAGGAAACCGGAAACGTACTTGTGGGCCTTTCGTGCTGTTGTCTGCAGGGGGTGGTGGCGGTGGAGGCGGTTGCCGCCGACGTGACTACGAACGGCGTAGTGCTGGAGGACGGGGTGCTTCCGGTCTCGCAACCATCAGCTCCTCGGTCGCGGGGAGCGCGGGGGGTTGTGGCCCCGTGGTGGGGCTCCCCTCCTACAAGAAACGTCAAGGTATTTTTTTTTTAAATCTATACCTTCCATTATTCCCATTCTGACGTTTTCATTTCTTCCGGTTGATTGATTTAGAACCAATCATTCACCAATACTCTCACATCAGCTTGAAACTATTTTTAGCAAAAGTGCCGAATTGGGACTCCAGCCCATTTGTCCAGGGAAAGTTGAATTAACTGTTATACATTGAATTTTATGCTATAAGAGGGATGGTGGAGCAGGAGGGAGCTAGTCCTGGTAACCACATCAATGTAAGACTGATGGCAGACTTAGGTAGTTTAGTCTAGGGTTGTCATTAGGTCTCTGATGTCGACAGATGGTGAATGGCAATCTGACCTAGAAATGAAGCAGATGGATGTAAGTCTTATAAGTGGTAGAGCATCCAGCATGTAGCTAAGAGGTCTAGGTCCTCCAACTCCATCATCCTGTTCAAGTCTCGGGGGTGTCTATTTACTGGTCAGGTCTGGAGTCCGAATGCTAAATCAACACCTTCATGACACTTTTAAAACTTGTCCAACAAGGGAATACAGCAGCATGGGGACGTGGTACACGTGGACGTACGAAAGGACGTGGAAATGACAGTACGACCCTATTGGGTTCAAGTGTGGTGTCAGCTAATTATCCCCAAGGATATCCATCAGTTGGTCCAGGGTTTCGTGAAGTCGTTAATATCCTTGGAGAGCGAAATCAAGCTGGAAGACTTACTGGTGTAGGACCACCACCTGGTACTGTTGAGAATGATGATGACAATGAAGAAGAAGGTGCACCTAAACGACCACCAAGACCTCTCTACCGTCGATTTATCAACTACGTTAGGCAAGCATGGACTGGTGTCAAGTTTGCTTTAGGTAACAAACAAATTCATTTGACTTTTCAATTGCTCCTAGTTGATCCTAGTATAAAAAAAAATCAATCACTTCAATTGCTATATAAAAAGTTTCAGTTGATGAAATTCTTACGAGCTTTTTTTATCCAAATTCTATACAGATTCAGAGTACGAAGAGGAACAAACACCACGATATAGACCAGACTCATTAGCAAGTCTCTGCAGAGCAACTAGATTTACAGAGGCTGAGTTGAAAAGGATATACCGGGGTTTCAAAGCCGAGTGTCCTACGGGTGTGGTTAGAGAGGACACGTTCAAATGCATTTATTCACAGTTCTTCCCACAGGGTGGTAAGTTAACTTCTTCACTACTATCTAATAATAAATTTTCCATTCTAATAATTACGATGCAATAAAAAAAAAGCCCATAAATGTATGGCTTATTTCTTTCTCTGCCCACAGCAAATACCAGTCAGTATGCTCATTACGTTTTTAATACTCTGGACCAGGACCACAGTGGACTTTTAAGTTTCGAGGTACATTTAATTCCTTTGCAAGTGTGTTAAAGTTTTGCAAATGAAAGGGAGAATTTTAGCTTGGCCAATTAGTTCCGGACTTTGCGGTCACGACTTATGGCTAATGGCTTAACAAGAATCCCCACGTTCCTGATAAGATTTTCATGTTAACCGTACTGCTAAGATCCAGCCCCATCAACCCTTATAGTTTCAATTAAGGTACTAAGCTAATTTATTTTAGTCCCTTGCTTGGTTGTGTGACCAATTCGTTTATTATCACTATCGTAGCTTATTATAGCTTACTCCAATGACTTTTTGTTACTTTGATCAACTTTAGGGTCACCAACTTTACCAATCCCCTAGGTTACTTTCCAACCAATTGCGTGACCTTACCTCTCTCATTTCATGCATACTTCAATGACGAAAAACTTTTCAAGCTATTTCCGAATGAATCCAACACTATTTGTAATGGTTTCCTACATCTGACTTTTCCGCTCGCTTCAATTTTATTTCCCTTCCCAACTACTTTTCAAACTTACAATCAAGATATTTTTCTTTCACAAATTTATCTGCATTTGGTATTTCCGCGTAAATGTTAAAAATTGCACTAGACTCTTTCTGTTTGACTTTAAGTGAAGGTACAGTCTCCAACAAAAGTTTGTTGAAATAAGCTATGATTCATTTAAACAAAAACAAAGACTGCCATCAGTTATCGTACAATCGTGGTGCAAATAAAAATAGAGGTAATGGACAATTGAACTTCCTATTTTGTAACAAGGTTTGTTTTATGTAAAATGACACAGTGATTACGTAAAAATTATTTGCAGGCAAAAAAGTGTACGTGTCACTGTATTTTTTTACAATAAACAATTTTGGCCGCTCAAGTTTACATATTGTAATTAATAACTCCTTAAATATGCGAAAATCGACGATACTTCATAGGACATTTTTTGTTCCTTACAGTTTAACGAAGATTTCCATTACCTCATTTTTTTTTTTTTTTAGTGACTATTCAGGCCGTAAGAAGGACAGGAATATTGTCCTTCGAGATAATAGTTTTTTAAAAAATTCAGTGCTGCACTTTAAACGTATTTTACAAAGAAACTATTGGAGATATGAAAAATTTCAAGATGACCTTTTTTATAGAAAATTTAATTCTCTACAACTTTTATTCGAAACTTTTTCTGATTAGATCCCCCGTTTTCGAGATATTCTATAATTCATAAGTACCTAAATTTTACCGGAATATTTCAGCTAACTTTTGAACAGGACTGTACATATTAGGATTCTATTTTAATAAAATATATTTTTTGTTTCAATTTAAATACGACTTGATGATTGAAGAGCTCTGCGGAATTATTTATATTCACGAATTATCCTTTTTTTTTTTTTTTTTTAAACAAACAGCAGTTCTGTAGAATAAATATTTAAAATCCTAGAGTCGAAGTAATTTATTTATTATTTTTTTTTTTTTTCGTTTCTAAACTTAAGAATATTCTAGAAAATAATGAAAAAGTTTTTATTAAACTTCTTGGAATTTTTTTCAAAGCAGTGACAGTTATTTTGTTAATTTATTCAGGTTAATTTAACTTGAAATATTTAATCAAGACTCTTTATATTCAATAGTTGAGGTTAAATTACACTAAAGTATCAAAAGACTCAAGAACGAAATTTTAATTAAACTTTAAAAAAATTAATTTTTGTTTTTCATTGATGGGAATTTTTTTTCGAACTCAAATCAAATAAATAAGACTAATCCTATTTGTAATGATGGAAAAAAGGGGGACAAAAAGAGGTTAGAATACGTAAGAGAGAGATTAAAAGGAAAACCTATCAAAGAATATCTATATGATGGTACGATTCTCAATATTGATTTGGCTGTCGACGATTAATTCAATTCAGTAAACAGTCCAGCCGAGTTCGACTGGTTTTCATTCATTGTTGGGATCAGTATCCCTGGGAACACTCCAATTACTCGAAATCGTAGTGTTTGTGTGCAGATGGCGCTGCGAGAGGGGGAATGAAATCAAGTAGACTAGCCACAAGTTTACACGGGCTACGAGCCAAGGGTCATAAGAGGGTTTTCGTGTACACATTCCACAGGGAATAACGAGATGACTCAAGTTTTCAACACCATCAACTCAGTCACTCTATTCACAAGCAATCCCTACTACTCCTTTGATTAGTTTCAAACTCGTTGGCCATTATTTTTCAATCAACTTCATATCATTAATTACACCATGCCTTGTAGATAACACGCAATCAACTGATATGAATATATACACCTGATATGGAACACAAATATTCGTTATATGCTTCAGCTAACATCTCGTCATATGTTTGATGTTGGTTTCAACTCATTGCTGTGTTTGACAGCTAGCCTGTGATGCGTACAGAACCACAATTTATGGATTCATTTCATTTTAGTTTGAGTTTAGGTATTTTTATGCTTTTTGCTCTTTAATGATCTGTGTTGGAAGCTCATTTAGCAGATTCAAACTCTGGTTGGAAACCTATTTAGCTAGGATTCTTGGTTGATTGGTTAGATGAGATGAATAATCATTATTAGACTTTGCTTGTCTTTTTTTTTCTTGAGGATAGCAAGATTGACTTTGAGCTTTTCTGAGCCTGCAATTGTTGCTTTCCACATTTAGGTTTTGATAATTAATCGCAAAAATACTTAGCAAATGAAGTCTTACTCTTCAACGAATTCTCTAATGACATAATAGGTATCATGCTTGAAATTGCTACAACCTTATAAAGTATAAGTTAGAAAGCTTCAACTGCACCAACAATTAAGATGAGACATCCACAATGTACTCCAACTCTGTCCAGTATCTTTCTCCTACCTTTCATCATTCCTTTCATCTGTGGCCCTGATTTAACTCATGCTCTTGGACCTTTCTAAGTCATTAAACAAATAAACCTATTTAAACATCTAGGGTTCCAAGTCCACCACAGCTATTTAAATAGGTCTAGCGATGTTTGACTGTCTCTACTGTCTCAACATGATTGTAAATCACTAAGAAAAATGGTCGATTGTCAAGTAAAGTATTAAAAGTAACATTTGTTAAAAGACGACAGAAAGTATTACATTTTATTTGCTATTTTTCTGTAGCAAGAGCATTGGTGCAGATGAGAGTACTCGTCACGTACGACGGCGGCTGTGAGGGAGAGCACGATCGTGAGGACAGGCGTGGGCTAACTGCAAAACATCGGACTCTGTATAAATTTCAGCGAAAATACTAAAGCTCAGCTCGTATCACAGCCGTTAGTGCTTAATCTTACTTATACGAGTGGAAATCTAAAGTTTCTCCCTTATTTCGCATCTTCACACTCTCAATCTTTTCTGCCAACTCGGCTAAATTTCCGCCCCATTTTTTTCATCATCATCCAGTTCCATCAAACTCCCTAGACCAACAAACGAACATAAAAAAAAAGGACAAATAATTGCGGACAGATTTTGGGTTTCGTGGTAATCAGTTGGATGCGTGAATTAGTGGTGAACCTTAGGTTTCAGTTAGTGGTTGTTTTACTTGGCCTACAACACTTGCAACCTCACATACAGGTATCTCCAACATAGCTCATTATCTTATCCTTTAATTATTCGGAATTATTTCCTGTCATTTACATGTCTCGTTAATTTTTTTTTTTGCTCCTTTTTTTGTTCCTTAACAGCTTGAGAATGAATGTGTTGGGTTTAATTATACAAAAAAGGTCAGAGGCAAACAGTATGAGAAAACGCTTTCCTGCTTGATTAAAAGAACAGTTGGTTTTAATTATCCTCAGACGCCTTTTCTTTATCATCAGGGAATTGTTTTGTCTTTGTGAAATATACTTAATAGTAATAAATCAAGTTTATTGAATTTTCAAGCTTTGGTTTGAAAAATTAAATTCCCAACTACTCAAAAAGGTTGGACAGTTTTTCGTTGATAATTTCGGGATAAAGCTTTTGATGGAGAAGCTTTTATTTTAAAATGCATGGATCTGTGGCGTTAGATACATACACTTTGCTGCACGGGTACGTGTTTCTATAGACACACATCTGTGCTTTACATTAATCTTCCTTGGAATGTCTACATCCCTCTTGCTTTGGAGAAGACGCTTTTCGATTGACTTGAGCAAAGCAGTCTTATTGCATTTAATATTCACAGTTACTATTTTCTTGCCAATTTTATTGTGCCTTAATGTGCAATTTAAGATAAGGAACGCAATTATTAACACATACTTATTAATAAATAAATAAATATAAAAAATAATTATTAATTATTTATTAATAAAGATCAGGCTAGACTCTTAATTATTTTGTTAGTAATTCCTAGATCCCTAATATATCAAATTGAGCTTTGTAGGGTAGATAATATTAATGATGACAAAATTTCAAAGGAAAACAATAGCTACCAAGCTTAATTAGAAAGGGAAAAATTAAAAAATAATTTCATAAACAAGTTAACAAGAAAAAAAAACCAAAAAAAGAGAAGGAAAATGGAGGTCGAACAGATAACTTTATTCTTGGGTTGAAAGTCGGTTAAAAATCTAAAGGTGTCTTAAAAAGGATCATCAAAAAGAGAAAAAAGAAACAATGAAGAGAATAATCGTGAGCTACATGCACAAAAATAAAGTCATTAAAGTAACAGAAGCATAGTTGCATAATAATACCCAAGCTCTTTATTCTTTATCTCAATTTTTTTTTCTTCAACGACACATTCCCCTAATGGACCATGGAAATTTAACTAGGGAAAAATAATATCTTGAGTCTAGGATCCCTTGAAGAAGGAAAATGCACAACTACTTACCCACTAGAAGCGTAGATACAAATATATCTAGTTGAAAGCTCTTTAATAAAACATGAAAAAAGGAAAGAAAATTCTTAACAAATCAAATATTTAAAGGCATCTTTTTCTAAATATACACTACCTGTCAACTGTCATTGTTTTTTCTTATCATTATCTCAACGCTTCCGACCCATCACTCCCCCCTTTTTCCGTGTACTCAGCTCTTGTATTCCTCTTCAACAAATGCCCCTCCGGTACTTTTATTCTTTTACGTGACTACGAGCAATTTCCCACATCAACAGTTTCCACATACTTTTTGATCCTTCATTGTTGACTGCCTTAAGAGTATTGAGACGTTTGCTTTTCTATTTTTCGTAGAAATTGTAGTGTAATGACATCAACTTAACAGCTCTCTTAGGTTGTTAGTTTCATTCAAGCCTGCAAATAAAAATAAAAAAAATTATTATTATTAAAATGATTATTTTATTCAAACAACTCGAGTAATTACTGTAAACGTTTGGTAATAAAATATTCATTGAATTGATAAATAAATTCAAATATATTCAAATGAAAGCAATGTGTTGATATTCCATTTATAAATGTTGAATTAAAATCAATAAATTTAACTAATGAATATATTTTTAAAAATTATTTTTAGGATTTTGTAACAGGCCTCAGTATACTATCGAGAGGATCGATGGATGAGAAACTACGATGGACATTTTCTCTCTATGATATTAATGGAGATGGTTGTATTACAAGGGATGAAATGACGGATATTGTGACGGCAGTCTATGAACTGATGGGAAAATTTTCCGACCCAAATATGGATCCAGAAGGTGTGAGGGAAAAAGTCGATAGAATGTTCCAGGTATGCAAATTAAAAAGAAATAAAAAAAAAAAAAAACAATAAACCAATTGATTTTATTAATTTTAACTAAATTAGAATAAATTAAAACTCGTCACCGGTTAAATAAAAAGTGGAAAAACTGGAAATATTTTGTCCTAATTTATTTAAAAAAAGTTGATTTTAGTAATTATTCATTGTAAATTTCAAATTTGAAAGTGTTTTATTTTAATGCATTACAAGAGTCCAGTTTCGGTGCAATTTTAATCACGTAACTCATTACACTATTCGAAACAAGGCATTTTCTGCACTAGTGTCGGAAAGTGTGAAAGTGTTTTTTTTTTTTTAAATATAAATATTTATAAAAAGAAAAATTTGAAATACATCAAGTCTTACAGATGCTTCCAAACTTTCCGACGGTAGAGTGAGAAAAAAATGCACTCTTTTCAAACAGGCCTGATTGGTCGAAAACTAGGTATCGGAGACAAAAACATGTAGGACATAATTTTGAGAGCTTTTTACAAGGAATAAAATGAGACCAGTTTCAGTTCTCTACAATAAATAGTTTTCAAGATATTTATTTTTTTATAAAAACAAATGTACCATTGGTTTTTCAAACAATTGTCTGTAGTTTATCAACAAATAAATTCTGTCAAGTCTTGCAATATCAAACTACCTTAATAGTCTGTTTAAAATATAAAAGCAAAGAATAAAATAGTTACGATTGAGGTAATACGAAATGTACGAATGAATGTTCATAAGTGGAAATCTGAGATCGAAGCTTATTGAAGATGCGCATATGTAAGTAGTCTGCAACAGAAGCTTGTCTGAGGCATTCAGCTATATCCGAAGGGAATTGCAATACCATCACCCTAAAGACTTACTAGTTAAACTGCTCGACTATTTGTGGCCCTTGTGGTTCTATCACGTATTCATGCACATACACACGGAATAGATACTTGCGTGCTCATTAACTCTGTATAAATGCTAGTTGATTGAAGATAATGTCGTTTCCAGTAACGAAATGTTCAGTTTCTCAGTAATCAAGCTGCTTAACAGTTACATTAAATAATCCAGTCATTGTCAAATTTATTACCTAACTAAATACACTCGAAATTTGATCATTTATTTTTTTGTGCTTAATATCTAGGGTAATAAGACCAACAAGTTGATGAAAAGATTTCTTTAATTAATTAATTTTTAATTTTTTTTTATCAAATTCTTTTTAAAAGTGTAAATTTTTAAAATTCGTTTCATTTTTTGACATTTGAAAAATTATTAAAAAGTTTGAAAATAAATGTACGTACGTACGTTTGTACTTAAATTATTTTATAATCATTTTGCTGTGAAAAAATGGCGTAGCCAAATTTGTTCAAACTCCTCTCAAACCATTCTCATTATTATTATTTTCAGTGGTTTTAAGAATATTGAAAATGCAAAAAAACCCTGGACATACGTACGTATAATTGTACGTCCGGTTTTTTTTTTATTTTCGATATCTCGAGAACTACTGAAGATATCGACTCCGGACTAATGACATTTATAATATAAATAAAATATTTTTATAAATAATGTAATTAAAAAATTGTATATTATTTATAACAATAGCAAATAACTGCTGAATTATTTATTATATTTTTTACTAAATTGTCTGCTTTTAAGATCTATTTTATAGGTAGATTATTTCCTATTTTAAATTCATTTATTCACCATTTTAATATCTAATTATTTTCTCCTCTATTTCAAACACTTTCATTTAGATTGTCATTATTGTTTGTGTATAAAACACATAATTAATACTCTTAATTAATTATAAACCTGAAACACCAGCTTAATTATCCATCCATTGGTCTTGTTTTATCTTAAACACTTTCATAGTTTATCTTTTTTATTTTCTCTCTCTCTCTTTTTTTTGTTGTTAGCACACTTGAATTCTAACTACATTTTATCGTAATAATTATTTTATTTGCCAAAGATCCTCAGGCAAGTTAGAATAATTACAATGAAGTATTTAAATACAATGAATTTACAATAACACACATATACACAACTATTTATAATGATCTTGATAATTCAGTTAGCTGATCTGTTATCCTTTGTAAATGAGTTTCCTTTAAAATATTATTATTTTATTTCAAAACAAAGACTTTTAACTCAAAGCTTATGTTGTTGAAATAAAATTGTATGTATTTATATATCTATATATATATATATATTTTGTATTTTTTAAAAGTATTAATAACTGTTGCAAAACGTGATCGTAAAAAAGTTTTTAAAAATTCACTTTGTAAGAGAAAATATAAACTTATTATTTAATACATTCAAATTTGAAAGGAGAAAAAAAATGTTCAACCGTCAGGAATTTTTCAATTATGCAAAAACTTGAAAAAGAATCAAGTAAAATTAGCGTTGACTCTTTTATCATTTTTTCCTTTCGGCAAAGCTGGAGAGAAAATATTTAAAACAAAAAGAAGAAGATTGAATAGATACATCTTAAACTCGAGAAAGTAAACTCTGAACTGTGCTGAAGAATTAATAGAGCTGATAATGATTAAATAAAATTCAGTGATTGGATATTTAAGCTAGCCTGAAGTAGAATATTAACAGTTTGAATTTTTTATTACAGAATATAATTTATTTATGAGCTTTTTTGATTTAAATAATATTAAGGAAAAATGTGACTCTCGTTATATTCTGGTGAGTTTAAGGATGAAATAAATTTTTTTAGATTAATTCATGGGTACTATCGTGTAGATCAGGTTCTGTAGTTTCTAAAACACTCCTTAAATGATATCATAAAGATGTTTATTCATGAGTTACGAAGGTTCGAAGTTCAGGGAGAAGGTAATTTTGGAATTTTTTTTATTTGTGGCCACTTTTACCCTCTTTTAAGGTTGTTAAAGTAAATTTTCTTAGAGTTTAATTTAATTCCGCATTTCTACGCATCAAAAGGAAGAGAATGACTCATCGATGATCGAAATTGGAGGACTTTTAGTTTTCAACCCCAAAAAATGGCAAGTGGTACAAATTACAAATAATCATCCCTCTGACTTTAAACCTCTATAATTCCTGAAAAGACGGTCTATTGAGCTTTTTTAGGAATGTTTTAGAAACGTCACAATCTAAACTACATGATAAGATCCAGAAATTAATTGCGAAAAATTTATTAACCTCTCAAAGTCGCAAAAATATGAAAAAAAGTCACATTTTCCAAGGAGTTCGCCAAATATTTTGGCGATTTTAACAGTGAAATACATTTTTTTTTTGCTTTTAATGAATCCTGATTTATTGCTTAAATTCTAAAGTTTTTATATACCTCCTTGAAATTATCATTAGATGACCCGTTCGAGAGTAATAGGAACCGGAAGCCTGGGTGAGGATAAAAAAATCGTCTACCTTTCGACTTTAAATCTCTGTAACTTCAAAAGAAATCGTTTAATGATAATTTTTGGAAGATATATAAGAACTTCAGAATCTAAGCTTTGAATTAAGATTCATGGAAGACATCTAAAAAATTTATTTCACTCTTAAAAATGTTAAAATACTCGACAAAGTCCCTAAAAAATGAGACTTTTTTATATTTTTACGATTTTTAGGGTGGAATAAATTTGTTTCAGTAAATTTTCCATTTCAATTATATAGTTTAAATTCTAAGGTTGCCAAAACGTCTTTGAAAAGCGTTATTGGGCCATCCGTTTCAAAATTATTGCAGCTCGAAGTCAGGGGGATGAAAATTTGTAATTTGTATCCAGTTTTACCCCTTTATAAGGATGTTGGAACGAATTTTTCTGAGTCATGACCCAATTTTGTATTTCCACGCATCAAGACGAAAAGAATAAGCCCTCAATGGTCAAAATCGGAGCACTTTTATTTTTTAACCCCAAAAAATGGTATCCCTTTCCATTTTTTCGGGTCAAAAAATAAAAGTCTCCCGATTCTTAAATTCAACCGTTTATTCTCTTTGTCCTGATGCCCAGAAACGCGGAATCAGGTCAAACATTTAAAAAATTAATTTTCCCACCCTCAAAACCGGATAAAACTAAAAACAAAGTGATTAAAAAAAAAAGATGCATACATACCTCTGGAGAAATATTTCATCTTCTTTGATCAAGATCTCAATACTTCAAAGATATACATTTTCTTCAAAATAATTCATGGAAAAATAATATTTTTCTTCTTCCAAATCCGAATTCAATCCAACAGCTTTAATATTCAAAAATTTAATTTCCACCTTTCGTCAAGTTATCACCATTCTGCATACTTTTTATTAATAAACTCTCTCTCTAAATTTCTCCCGACATCCGATAATTGCATAACAACAAAAGCACTACGTAATAACAATAAATTAAATCTGAAATAATATCCATTAACGATAAATCCTAGCGTAAAATTAATATCATAATAAACACGAATGCTTTTAATACTTTAATAACCTGAACATAACCTACATAAAATATTGACTCCAATCAAATGTGTTTTATTGGTTCAGAAAATGGATGGGAATAAAGATGGTGTCGTAACGTTATCAGAATTTCTGGAAGCGTGCAGATCAGATCCTGACATTTCAACATCAATGGCAGCATTGGACACGGCTTTCTGACACTCGGTACGTCCTCGTTACACACCATGGACCTGAAAAACAAAATCCGCTCAAAAAATTAGGATTTTACGTTTAGCGCCCCCTATTTGATATACATTGTCGAAGACTACCGGAAGAGGGCAGGGGGAGGGGGCAAGCTAGCAGAAAAAGAAGGGAGACTAAAAAAAAAAAAATTTACAGTTGGGTAAAATGAGAATTGTTTAATGACAACGATTATTCTCTGACAGTAGGTCAATAATTTAAGTTTGATAGAATGACAATTAAATTCATCCGAGCAACTTCCAACAGAATTTCAATCAACGGGAGAGAGAAAAGAGTGTAATAAACTATTAATTGACAAATGGATAAGTCATTAATTAATAGTTAATTAATAAATCTGCCATATGTGCAGAAATGGCTGTTTGTCAAATTTGTTGTTTTCTAATAGCACATAAGTGAACATTAAAATAACAAATGTTTATTTTTGTGATTGATTAACAATTAATGTGTAAGAGAAACTTGTAATTAATTATTACTACAATGCTGCATGGAAATGATTATCATTAGAATGCTGGCGAAATAAAAATACTTCATGAAAAATTTTTAATAATGAAAAATAAAAAAAATTTTTAAGGTTAGACCAACGAAATGATGATGATGGTTATCGATGTGTAACTACAAAATACATTTTTTGGTGATTATTAATATTAGATAAATTTTGAATAATTTGTTTATTAAATTAATAAATTAATTGTCATTTGGGTCACCACAAAGCCACTAAAAGTCAAGTGTTTAGGAATAAAACATCCAAAGTGTTTAATTACCAAATACCTTAAGGGTTTATAATATTACACATCGTATACAAACTATAACATTTGGATATTTGTCAATAAAAAACACTAAAGTTTGTTTGAAATTGTGAACACTTAAAGTGTTTAATTATTATACACTAGTGACACACAGTGTATAGTTTAACACTAAACACGGTTATGTATGTTTACTGTAACACACTTGGATCTTTAGTGGAGTGAGACAAAGTTAAAAAATTGTAAATTAAAATATCTTATTTAAGAAAAAGGAATTTTCTTTTTTTTACTGATAAACTTGATAAAATAAAAAAAATTTTCTAACCTCTTTATTATAATAAATTACCATTTTATTTCTATGGAAATACCTTTTTGTCACTGCCTTGTCTGCAATTACAATGATGAACTGAAAAAGAGAAGGAAAAAAAGAAATTCAAGTCAATTTTATTTATGAGGATATAAAAAAATAAAATAAAATTGTTAAATACATAGAAAAAAAAGGTATTATCATGGGAATAATAGAAAAAAATTTTTTGCAACAATGCTACGTAGTTATTAGGATTTAATTAAAAATTTAAATTGTAAGCCGAGATTAACTGAGATTTTACATCGAACGTTATTCTCATATCAACATGATCACTACCGCAAGTCTTTGAACAAAACAAAAAATTAATTATTACAAGAATAACGAAAATAAATAATAAAAATTAATAAATAAATATCGATTGCAAATTTTTCATTAGAAAAATTGCTAATCAAAAATTTTATCGAATAAATGTTAATTAGTCATAATGAGCATGAATATTAAATATTGGCCAAATCCTCTTGTTTTTTCATTTATTTTTATTTTTTTTTCTACCACTTGTCCTACGCTTAAATAATTAATCATTATCTATTGTCTTTAACGAAAAAAAATAAATAAATAAATCTATCTACTCAAATCTATATCTTCTATGTCAATATGGCTTATCTATTATATAACATTTATGCTACTAGACAGTAAAAACAAAAATTAGTAACAAAAACAAAGGGGAATTGCAAATTGAGAAGTACACTAACAAAACAAAAATAATATTTAAGAACGAGCTTATAAAAAAGTGTCAAACTACACTGTAAATCCTAAATAATCACAAACGTATTTAAATAACACACTTGAAAGGTGTTTAATGCAAAATGTCCATTAACAAATTATACATATTTTACATTGAACAAATTCTAAGCGTGTTATTTTAATACACTTGTGATATCTTGAATTTTCAGTGTGAGAAAAATAATTATCAATGTCTAGCAGAGAACAAAAAAATCTATGATCGATTTGTAAGAAAAAGATGGTCCAATGAACAATTGTTAGAAAAAATTGTCAATAAAAATGAAAAAAAAAAAAATCTAACAAAATAAATCGTTATCAAAACCTGAAAATTGATGAGTTTCTTTGATGAAATAATCTATCAAATATTAGTCTTAATTAAAAATAAATTACTCATCATTTTCAGGTGATTTATTAATCACAAAGTCTCTCAATGAGTAAGAATAAAAAAAAAAAAAGGAAATAATTATAAAATATATGATGTTAAATATATGAAGGATTTTAAACGACAAATATTCATGCAGCGATATATTTTCGATGTAAATCAAGTGTACGTCTATATAAACGTGGTAAAACTACGTGTTTAATAGCTTTAATAAATAGATTCATCAATATAAAGAAGAAAAAAAAAAAATTGACAGACGTATTTATTTTTTATCGACAAATTTCATTTTGAATAGTCAAAGGAAAAAAAAAAAACAAAATGTTATCAAAGAAAATAAGATTAATTATTTATCAATGCTTGATATATGTATATTTTCAAATAACTTTGTCGATAAAAGATATTTGCTACGTCATGCCAATCATCGACGATTGAGTGTGTAAAGTAATTGTTTGGATGTTGATTGTTAAATGTTAGAGTAGATGAATAAAAGTTTTAAATAAAATAATACCTCTACAAACAAAAATGAGAAATGCAGAAAGAAAGGAAAGATAATAAAAAAAAAATAAAACCAATGGTAAAAAAAAAAATATTTTACAAAATAAATTAATAATTATTAGCTAATATGAGTTAATTGGTTTTTATGTTGCTGTAAAAATCATTGTATAGAATATATTTATTATTCATTTCATGAATTAATTAACGATAAAAAATTCACTGCCTGTTATTTAACTCGACTGAGGGATGTTTTAATTAATTAATCATTTAAAAAAAATCTATATATATATATATAAAAAAAAACGAATGAGAAAATAAAATTTCAAGTATTTTATCATTGACTAAACTTTTGTCATTAATTATTGTTTTTGACAGATATTTTTTTACAATAGAGAGAAATGAAGTTTATTTTTTAAATAAATTGTTTAAAGAAACACACGAGAGATATACAATATTAATTGTTAAGTAATGAAAATGTTTTATTTTATAAAGTAATAAGCTCAGTCAATAATGAAATACTCTTTGAAATGCTCAGTTGGCGAATTACTTTATAACAGACTCCTTCTAAGGATGTAAAGCGATAAAAACAGAAGGGCTATTAATTATTAGAAGAACAAAAAACGAGGCATTTAATGGGCTTTTATGAGAACGTGATAAGAAGAAAGAGAAGAAAGAGAATGAAATATTATAATTGTTGGTAAAAGTTTAAAAATGATTATTTGTTTTTTCTTTTTTTTTTTTTAAATCTGTTAAAGATGCTTTTAAAGGTGATTAAGTTTACGCCAGAATCATAATTGTCATAATCAATTGATTATATTAACTATTAATTATTAATAACTAATTATTATTATTATTAAATTATCATTATTATTATAATATATGGAAGTATTAAAATATTTTATAAATAAATAGATCATAATTAACGTTAAAAATTGTATTGTAATTATTTATCATTACCTAGACACTTTGATTCATTTATTTAAACATTTGTTTAACACTGGAAAATAAAAGAAATTACTTAGACATTTGTCTCAGTTTCTCTGATAACTGTGATGCTACATAATCCCAGTACTTTTTCCTTATTTTATCGTATTTTTCTCCCAATTCATTGCACAACTGCAAATAAAAAAGTAAATTTTAAATACGATTATTTCATTTATTTACCATGTCTTGGTAATCTCACTTCTGGCAGAGTAATAAATAAATTCCGTTCTAATTGAAATAATTAATTACCATCAATGCATTATCTATATTATATAATGGATGATTCGGAGCCTTCTCATGCCGTTCATCACAAATGTCAATAATACAAGCCAGAAGATGATTAACACGACAATCTTTCGTATATAATTCTTCACATTTATTCAAGACTTTTTCATTGAAAGCTAGACCACCATTTTTGTCGTGCATTAAAATCCTGTAAAATATTTATAATTGTTGATTAATAAAAATATTATGGAGGTTTAATTATAAATTTGTTTTTCTTCATAATTAAACTGATCAATATCTTCAATAGAAATCTAATAAGTAGCTTTGATCCTTTGGCTAAACATTTATTAATTATTATTATTTTTTTTTCATATTATATTTTATTTATTACCTTGTATTTTAAATACTGTAAAATGTATGATTATTTATTTATGCTTAAATTGACGAGAATTTGTTTATTTTTAATTCCTGACTGAGACGAGCTGATCGGACGTTATTCCTTTCATTAAGATTTTCCAATCGATTTAAAACGCGTTTTCATTGCTTTACAATTCATTTCCAAGTTATTATTCCATCGTATTTCACAATATCATTGATAAGCAATAGATCTTTTTATTTATCGAAAAAAAGAAAAAAAAACACGCCACGATCCTTTAATTTATATTTATATATGCGTAGGCGTATGGTAATTCATGAACGAATGTATGGGTGATAATAATAGTACCCAGATTCATCTTAATTCATCAAGGTAAATGATCTGTTAAAATTTTTTATGATTGGAGTTACAGTTCAAAAGTTTTTGTTGGACGGACAGATTTTCTGCTTTGGGTAAAATGAAATAATGAAATTTATTTTATTGAATAGCAGATTCATATTTCGACAACTTAATAATTGATAATAAAAGGAAGTTAAAAGTATTATTAATGGTATTAATGGTCTTTGAAATATTCTAGATATTTAGATTTAATTTCCTTACCCTCTTAAATAATTCCAAGCACTCTCGTTGCCTTTGACAATCGATATCTTCCCTAACGCAAAGTCTACTTCTCTATCAATAACTTCTGGCTCGAACTTAGTTGTGTTACTCAGCACAAAATAACGCTGATTCCAGGCGGAATTATTTCTGATATCTTCAGTCAGCAGCTGTTCAACGTATTCAAGCTCTGAATCGAAAAGACTGCAAAAAAGTTATCCATATATTATTTTATTTTATTATTAAATAAATAATTAGCTAAAAATTGTTATTACTTGAAGGTTTTAATACACCATTGACGATACTGCCATGTGTGATAATTCTTGGAATCTTTCTCCAACATCCGAGCAGTGAACTCCAGCTCCTTGCTTGGATCTTTCAGCAATTCAACAATGGCTTTCCTATGATGCCATATTTGATAGTTTTTTGTGTTGTCTCCAATTATTGAATCGATGTAGGCTAATTCTTCATACAAGTCTTTGTTCAGTTCTTTCAAAATATCACGACGATATTGCCAGACAGTGTAGTTCGCTGGATTCAATGATAAACAAGTGGCCGTCAAAGCTAGAGCACGCTCTGATTTCTCTCCAGACTTGAGGACAGCACGAAAATAATCATAGCTATCTCTAACTGGAATAAATTATCATCAAATAAATCATCAGTACTATTTTTAAATTGCTGTAAACGCTCATTGATAGCGAGTCAATCTCCAAGTCCATCATCATTAACAGCTAGTTTAGACAAAAGTGTGTTTAATGAAAGAATGTACTAAGTGATAATAAATCTACTTGCAATTAATGAGCATCTGTTGTAAAATAAATGAAGAAAGATCATCAATTATAACCTACATTTATCAGAATAGGCGATGGCAACGATAGGATAAGGCCCATCATCTTGAGGTACCGGGGTCACATCTTTCCATTCTTCTCTGTCTTTATAAAACACCCATGTCCCGTTGTCAGCACCTTCATCAGAACTATCTGACATCTTTAATTACTAATGAACAAGTATTGATTCAATATATCGATATTTAAAAATAATTTCCTGATTATTTAGCAACAAAAAGCTCCAACAATCCTCCTATCACCAACAATAACACAAAACTGGCGTCTTTCGGCTAAAAAGCAAGATGGCGACAATTTTTTTTTCTGTCAGTAACTCTTATCGACATTCGATAACACATTTATTCTTAAGCGAAGATAACTACTTTATCAACTTTGTCTTGAAGGTTAGAATTTAAAAAAATGTCAATGTTTGTTGGTTAATGCGAAAATAGTGAAGCGAATAAGGAATATATGAGTTATTTAGTGATAATTAGACATAAATAATTAGAAAAAAGCAGTCATGGGGTTACTAACAGATCCAAGAGCTGGAAATATGAAAATAATTAAAATCATCGTGAGATGGGAGACACAAATATGTGCTTTGATGTACATTGCCGGAATTATTTGGATGATGTTGCTTGCATTACCGTATTTTAATGACAGTAAATATTAAATTATCATTATTAATTAATTAATTAATTAATTAATAACCTAAAAAAGCAATAAAGTAACCCAAAAATTATTTTTCAGGTACATATTTTTCGGAAAATGCATTACTACCTGGTCTTGTTACCAAAGAGAGTAATTTAGAATCCACAGCTAGACAGTATTATCGCGAGCTCCTTGATGAAATGTCCAAAGATCCTAATCGCATGCCATTACCATGGATATCAGCTAAATTAAATCAATTACACCTGGATGTTTATACTCACAACTTTAGTCTTAATTATCCGTTTCAAAAGCACCAATTCACCGGTCAAAATATTTATGGAATAGTCAGAGCACCAAGAGCTGCTAGCACTGAAGCTATTGTCATCAGTGTTCCTTTCAGAAAGCTATCAAGTGTTCATCCTTTAACAGCACCATCAATAGCCTTGCTGCTGGCATTCGCTAAATTCTGCAGGAAAAAAAAATATTGGGCCAAAGATATTATTTTTCTAATAACAGAGCATGAACAGTTGGGCATGCAAGCTTGGTTGGACGCCTATCATGGTGTTGTGAGTGGTCAGAAAGGCGTGCTGATACCTGGAGATTTATCCGGTCGTGCTGGATCTATTCAAGCTGCTATCAATCTTGAGCTACATTCCATAAAAGTCTCATATATTGATGTCAAAGTTGAAGGACTTAACGGTCAACTACCGAACTTGGATCTATTTAATCTAGCACAAAATATGATCAAAAAAGAAGAAATCAAACGGTCATTCCAACGACGGTTTGATATTCGAAGCAAACATGCTTTCAAAGAATGGTGGTATTATTTTAATACTTTGTCTTCAATGATCTTTACTCAAGCCACTGGAGTTCCTACTGGAAATCACGGGCTTTTTCACCGGTTTGTCATTTATTTATTTTTAATTATAATTTAGTTTGATTTAATAATTGATAAAATATTCTCTAGGTATGGCATTGAAGCAATCACACTAGAAGGCTTTGAAGCAACAGACAAAAAAACAGGAGTTAATTTCCATCAACTTGGAAGAGTTATTGAAAGTATTGTTAGATCCTTAAATAATCTTCTTGAACGATTTCATCAGTCTTTCTTCTTTTATTTACTACCATCTACTGATCGGTATATTTCTATTGGTAAGTAGAGGAACATTACATGACTTTATGTTATCCTGAAGTAATTAATGATAATTATTATTTTTTTTAATATAAAAAATTTTTTTCTGTCTCTCCAGGACTCTATATGCCATCGCTAGTGCTAATAGTGGGCAGTCTTTTCATAAAAGCCTTTTCAATATGGGTAAAAATGCAAGACTCGACATCAAAAGTCGACCCAACCACCAAAGAAGCAACACTAAAATCTGATGAAAGCGAAGAAAAATCATCAGAAATCCAAGTGGGAAATATTGCATCTGATTTCCTATGGAGTCACATTTTTGGAGTGGCTGTCATGTCATCACCTCCACTGCTAACAAGTCTAGGAGCTCAATATCTCCACTTGCAGACTGAAGACTCTATTTACTACGGATTTTTTATCATCACATTAATCACATGGACATACTTTATATTCACAAAAAGGTCTATTTAATTTTAAATGATATCTAAACTTTGTTATAATTCATTTTTTCATGCTACTCTAATTTTATTTCAGATCTTCAAAGCCTGATAGCATATCCCAAATCCGAGTTATCGTTCTCGTTGAATTTTCGACATCATTAATGTGTATTGGAATGCATAACTTCTCGTTAGCTCTGCTCACAGGCATCATTTACGTGCCAGCGATTCTACTGATAACTCCAAATGAGAATTCGAATTCAAAGGCTCGACATCTACTCAAGCTTACATGGATCCTATTGCATCCATTTATGATCATCTCCATCATCATTAGTGCTGTAACGTATAACAATTTCCCTGAAGAATCATTGTCGTCTTTATTTGTCAGATCCATTGATGCGACAAAGAAGGCACTTGTGTTCAGTATTGTTGATTCAATGATTTATGGAAATTGGTTGTTTCATGCGGCAACTATCATTTTACTTCCAGTTTGGCTTTTGCTTAGCAATGTGATCAGTACTAGAGTAGCACCTATTTCCTAAGGTAATTAATAATTATAATGATAATGATAAATAATTCCAGTGTAGTTTCAATTATCTATTATTATTATTATAATTATTGATTAATTTGCTGATAAAGTATTGTAAATATTTGTTAAGAATGTTGGAAAGCTTTCGTGATCACCTGGTTTGATGAGAAAAAATATAAGAAGTTGATTTGATGATGAGAAAATTTTCTATCAAGGACTAAGGTGATCAACAATTGAGACATTGATTTCAGCTGGACACCACCCAGAAGATGGACAAATGGTTAAAATGATGAATAACTAAAAATTAAAATGTATCAAGATATTTTTTATCATTCAAAACAAGATTTCGTTGATTAAAAAGCATGGAATGCTTTAGATAAAAAGTTTTTTTAAATTTAAAACCATTTTTTGTCCATCTTCGAGGCCTAACCAGCCATCTTTCAGTTTCTCTTGATCAGTAAAATCCATAAAACTATTAGAAATCTTGAATTTAAAAATTTCTACCATTTTTTTCTATAAATCTGATATGATAAGGAACATTTTAAGACATCAACCATGAAGATTCATCAATTTTTCGATTTTTTACAGCCAGATGACTGCGAAAGTAGCGAAAATTACCAGAATGTTTTTACGTCGCATAATTGAAAGAATTATATTAATGATAATTAGCTCTAATAAAATAGTCATTATGATTTAACTGAGAAACATTCAGTATGAATGAATCATAAATATTCAATACTTCAGTTGATATTTATTCTAAACGAAGAATGTTCAACTGTTGTCTGTACTCAATTACTAAAAGATGAATACTTAAAAATATATTCAATCTTTTATCTTATCATAAGGCAATCTTGTGCAACAAAATAAGTGATAACTAATTGTTTTTTTATAAATGATTTTCATTGAAATAGAAATAAAATTTTCTCAACAATCTGCTAGATCTAGAGATACTTTAGTTGATAGATATCCTAGGATATTTGTCATTATGACTTGGATAATAATTTCCTAAGTGAAATGTGATAATTTAATTTGACTGGAGTACGACATTCCAGCTTGAAAATCATCGTAAATCATTGCTGCAACATCGTAAACAATACGTCATACTGTAGAGTGTATCTACAGTGATAACCTATTACAGATTAACTTGAGAATCGAGTAATTTATCGTAAATTACATCAGTCTAGCCATTTAACTTGAGACTGCAACATTATTTTTAAATAATTTGGTGCACTTTTCTTTTTGTTTATACTCTAATTAATCTATTTATTTCTCTCTCACAAAGGTCATTATATAATTATTACTCCACTCTTATAATTATTAAATTTAATTTATTAAATAATTTCATTAATTAATCAATAAAAATAATGATCAATTTTTCGTTTAAAAAATATTGTTAGTTAATTTTTTAAAAAAATCTATTTGTTTATTTTTTAAGTGTTCATGGTATTATGAAATGCTATAAATAAATAGGAAAACAGATGCAATAATATGGCAATAGAATAAAAAAATGGTAAAAATAGTGATAAGTGATAGATACTAGGTCGTAGAAACTAATCCATATCAACTGTCAGACTAGAGTATTATCTTTACCAATTCCCAAGGATTTGAATACATTTCCTAACAGACGGGTCAGCGACTTTCACCTGCAATATGATGTTAATATTTCAGTAGTAGTTGATACTTGGATTCGACTTGTACCAGAGGACAGACTGTTTTTAATTGACAATATCTCAGGTACTTTTTGAGACACTTGGAAATAAGCGACCATGGGAAAGCCTAATGATGAAAAGGTCAAGAGTGATGCAGTGAAAAGTGAAATTTTCTTTGAAGATAATTCGTTGAAAGTTAATTCATCAAATACTCTAGTATTTTTTGTCAATGGACAAGAGGTAAATATTTTTGATAATGAAATATTGTAACAGATTTAGAAAATTGTTTGTTAATTGAGACTAGACAATTAAAAGATTAAATGAAATTTGAATAAATATTTTTTAAATATATTTCAGGTACGAGATAGTGATGTCAATCCTGAATGGACTCTTCTTTATTATCTCCGCAATAAATGTATCCTTTTGTTGTTTGCAAAATGTTTCATGCAATTTTATTTCCCAATAGGATCTTTTAAGCAAAAAGTACCCAAAATATTATCAAAAATCGTTTCTCCAAGGTCATGTCCTTCTCTCGTTAACAAAAATAATTATTTTCTTTAATGAAATAAATTAAAAAACAATAGTAAAGTTAACTGGCACCAAGCTGGGCTGTGCAGAAGGAGGATGTGGTGCTTGCACTGTCATGGTCTCTAGAATAGACCGGAAGACTCATAAAATTAGGTATTATTTTAGAATGAGAATATTTTTATAATTATCCTAGTAGCTTTAATTCACAGAAAACGAAATGAATTTATTTGTCTTAACAATTTTTTAGTCATTTAGCAGTGAATGCATGCCTGGCGCCAGTATGTAGCATGCATGGATTAGCAGTGACGACAGTGGAAGGTATTGGAAGCACTCGGACCAAGCTTCATCCAGTTCAGGAGAGAATAGCCAAAGCTCATGGATCACAATGTGGCTTTTGTACTCCAGGAATTGTTATGTCTATGTATGCTTTACTTCGAACGAATCCAAAGCCATCAATGCATGATATTGAAGTGGCATTTCAAGGTATCAAAATAGAGTGAATTAATTTTCTTCATTTTATTTATTGATGGATAAATTAATTTATAGGCAACCTGTGTCGATGTACCGGTTATCGGCCGATTATTGAAGGCTTCAGGACATTCACTGAAGAATGGGAACAATCACAGCTATTAAATAGCATCAAAGAAAATAATTGTCAACAAGTGTGTGCTATGGGAGATGCTTGTTGCAAGAAGGCATTTACTTCAGAATTACCATCAGAAGTTTTTAATTCCAAAGAATTCCAACCTTACGATCCATCACAGGAAATAATATTCCCTCCAAAATTGAAGCTCTGTGATAATCTAGACAAGGAGTATCTAATAATCAAAGGAAAAACAACCACTTGGTATCGTCCAACAACATTAAAAGAGTTATTACTGCTAAAGAAAAGTTTTCTAAATGCAAAAATAATTGTCGGGAATACTGAAGTTGGTGTTGAGATTAAATTCAAACACTTTAGCTATCCAGTGTTGATTCAACCCATGCAGATTGAAGAAATGCGAGGAATTACTGTGGATGGAGATATTCTGAGAATTGGAGCAAGTGTGACGTTGATGGAAATGACAGAAGCTATGGAGGAATATATTAGAATAAAACCTGAATATAATACTCGTATTTTTGTTGAAGTTATCAACATGCTGCATTGGTTTGCTGGCAAACAAATTCGAAATGTTGGTGCGATTGGTGGTAATATTATGACAGGAAGTCCTATATCTGATTTAGTACCAATTTTGATGGCAGCAAAGGCCAAGTTAAATGTATGTAGCTTGGATGGAGGCTGTCGTCAAGTGGCTCTAGATCATACATTCTTCACTGGATATCGTCGGAATGTGGTGAAACCGGAAGAAGCTTTGATCTCAATAGAAATTCCATTCACCCATGAATCGCAATATTTTATTGCTTATAAGCAAGCTAAAAGACGTGATGATGATATAGCAATAGTCAATATGGCTCTTAATGTCATATTTGAAGCCAACTCTAACATTATTTCTGAAGCTCATCTAGCTTATGGTGGAATGGCACCTATGACTAAGCTAGCTGTTAAAACTTGCCGAAATATGGCTGGCCAGAAATGGGATTTAGAGATGCTAGAAGCTACTTATCAGTCGTTGATAGAAGAATTTCCACTTCCTGATGATGTTCCAGGTGGAATGGTACACTATCGTCGATCATTAACCTTGAGTTTATTCTTCAAAGGGTTTATTCATATTTTAAAGCAGTTACATTTAAAATTAGGTGGCCAAGTGTTGCCGAAAGAACTTCAATCAGCCTCGGAAACATTTCATTACAAAGCACCAAAGAGTTCACAATACTTCCAAGTGGTTTCTAAGGAACAAAATGCTAGTGACTTGATAGGAAGACCAATTGTCCATGCTAGTGCATTTAAACAAGTAACAGGAGAAGCTATTTACTGTGATGATATACCTCAAATAACAAATGAATTATATTTAGCTCTAGTACTTTCTACCAAAGCTCATGCTAAGATTCTACGAATTGATGCTTCTAAGGCATTAGAAGTTGATGGAGTCGTGGCTTTCTTCAGTGCAGAAGATATTCTTGAACACAACAGATGGATTGGACCAGTATTTCATGATGAAGAAGTCTTTGTTTCGCAAAAGGTAACAAGTCAGGGGCAAAGCATTGGAGCTATCATTGCTGAAGATCAAGCAACAGCACAAAGAGCCGCAAGACTGGTTAATGTTGAGTATGAAGACTTGGAACCGATCCTAGTGAGCACTGAAGACGCAATAGCAGCGCGATCATTTCTACCAGGTACTCCCAAGAGCATAATTAATGGTGATGTTGATGAAGCTTTTGCACAATCAGACCACCTTCTAGAGGGAGAAGTAAAGATTGGTGGTCAGGAACACTTTTATCTAGAAACTCATGCTGCCTTGGCCCATCCTAAAGAGGAAGAACTCGAAGTCTACTGTTCAACTCAGCATCCAACAGAGATTCAGAAATTAATCGCTCATGTTTTAGGAACACCAATCAATCGAATTAATGTTAGAGTTAAGAGACTAGGTGGTGGCTTTGGAGGTAAAGAATCACGAGGAATGTTGGTGGCATTACCAGTGGCTCTAGCTGCTTATAAATTAAAAAGATCCGTGAGGTGTATGCTAGACCGTGATGAAGACATGATGATAAGTGGCACTAGGCATCCATTTATGTGTAAATACAAAGTTGGATTTACCAAAGAAGGTTTGATTAAAGGTGTGAAGATAGATATTTATAACAATGCTGGATGTTCAGTAGACCTTTCGCTATCAGTGCTTGAAAGAGCCATGTTTCATTGTGAAAATGCCTACAAGTATGCAGCAACTCACGTGACTGGGTATGCTTGTAAGACTAATTTACCATCAAACACAGCATTCAGGGGGTTTGGTGGTCCTCAAGGGATGTTTGTTGCTGAAAACATCATGTGGGATATTGCTAATTATTTAGGAATAGAACCAGTGAAGGTATCAGAATTGAATTTATATCAAGAGAATGATATAACTCATTATAATCAACCGCTAATTAATTGTCCTTTGCAACGATGTTGGAGACAGTGTATCTTGTCATCGAATTATGATGAACGCAAGCTAGCTGTTGATAAATTCAATCAAGAGAATAGATATAGAAAGAGAGGAATATCAGTGATTCCAACGAAATTTGGTATTGCATTCACGGCATTGTTTTTAAATCAAGCTGGAGCTTTGGTTCATGTTTACACTGATGGATCAGTGCTAATTAGCCATGGAGGTACGGAGATGGGTCAAGGTTTACATACTAAGATGATCCAAGTGGCAAGTCGAGTACTCAAAGTGGATCCAAATAAAATACACATTTCTGAGACTGCAACTGATAAAGTGCCAAACACATCAGCAACTGCTGCCAGTGCTGGGTCAGATTTAAATGGAATGGCTGTGATAAATGCTTGTAATACAATAATGGCACGAATTAAGCATATTATCGATGCTAATCCAAAAGACTCTTGGGAGCAATGGATATCCAAAGCTTATTTCGAACGTATTAGCTTATCAGCAACTGGCTTTTATCGAACTCCAGACATTGGATACTCTTTCGAAACAAATTCTGGTACTGCTTTTAATTATTTTACCTATGGAGTCGCTTGTTCAGAGGTTGAAATTGACTGTCTAACTGGAGATCATCAAGTTCTACGCACTGACATTGTCATGGATCTTGGGAATAGCTTGAATCCCGCTATAGACATTGGCCAAGTTGAAGGTGGATTTATTCAAGGACTTGGATTATTTACCTTAGAGGAATTGATCTATTCTCCAACTGGTACACTTTACAGCCGAGGTCCTGGAGCATATAAAATTCCAGGCTTCACCGATATCCCACAAGAATTCAATGTATCTCTTCTGAAAGATGCTCCTAATCCTCGAGCCGTTTTTTCATCAAAAGCTGTTGGAGAACCGCCACTATTTCTTGCTTCTTCGGTATTTTTTGCCATCAAGAATGCGATTCAAGCTGCAAGAAAGGATGCCGGGGTTAATTTATTGTTTAGATTAGATTCACCAGCCACTGCTGCCAGAATTCGGATGGCTTGTGTTGATGAATTAACTAACAAAGTAATCAATATTTTTTAGTTCATAATATATCTTCTATTTTTATGTTTTATTTAAATTAATTGAATGTTTTATTTTCAGTTTCCAATCCCTGACATCACTAAATGCTGGAATAAAGTGCCTTAGAGTTTCACTGAAAATATTTATTGAAGAATTATTTTGTTATAGTCAGTATCGAAATAAAGAAGTAAATAAAAGAAACTGAATAAAATTATTTACATTATAAATAAATGTTTAATTGTAATAAATTGATAGTAAATAAAGACTTATATATTAATTATGTAATAATAAAATATAATAATTGCATTATACATTGCTTATACCCGATTTTTCAACAGTTTCTAATAAATTCACTAGATGAGTGTCGAACAATTCACACCTTATTGGCATATCCAGTGAGTAGAATGGATTTTTTAGAGCATAATCAGCATAAAGTTCATACACACGTTTGGTTAGAATGTCCATCCCAGCTTGTGAAGGTTCAGCTACGATCATAAACTTAACTCCTGTTAATGTTTGAAAACAATAAAGTCTAAAGGTATCAGCTTCTAACACTTCTATACCAGAACATCTTGGTTCAGGACTCAGTTGACTGGCAATTGCAAACAAAGGATAGAACATTGAAGCGAGGAATATTTTTTCATTTGTTGTCATCTTTGCTCGACCGAATTTTAATGTCACTGGGAAATTTTGTGGTTTATTCAGGTACTCTAGAACATCTGTGCCGTCTTCCAACTCCTTTCCAACCACTGGGTTTCCGTTGACTGACATCAAAACATGTCCAACTGTTGAAGTTCATTAAGATATTATTTATTTTCATGAAAGAATAAAATTATGAGATCATTACCATTGATGCCATCCCGTTGTCCAAAAGATACAACAATCTTCTTATTTTCATTAATTAATTTAATATCCAAAGGATAAGTAAAAGTTCGTTCATGTTCTATTTTTGGAACATTATGATCATAATTGAATATTAATCCTCCAGATTTTGACACAATATAAACCCCATACACCACCATTTTTAAAATATTAGTGATTACAAGTAACAATTGTTAGCATTGTTTATTTATTTAACGTATTAAACGTTGTCGAATTTCTTTAGGTTATTGTTGACCATCAACAAAAATGGCGGCGTTTCCACCTGTGGCGAGTTGAAAAAGAATCGAGTTCAACCATGAACGTTGCGTCCAGAGAAAAAATGTGTTTTCTGGTGTTTTCATATCGTACGGACATAAATTCTTGAAAAACAACACTAAAAAATGCTAATTAATTAATTATTATGTCTCAATTATGTGGACTTGAAAAAAAAAATTTGAAAAGTCCACAAGCACACAACGCCATCTATGGAGTAAAGAAGATAAAAGTGAGTGTTTGCGTGGGCAGGAGAGTGGGTTTTTTTTCACAGTCGCCCTCAGTGACGCTACGTCATTTGTTGTGTAAACACTGTTTGAAATTGTGTCAAAGTTTTCTTTGGCAAAAGATAACATAAAATTTAAAATTCCAACGAAATTTTATATACAAAACGTATAGATTATTGTTCAGATCATCCTAATTATTGATAATAATTAAAAAAAGGTATGTATTATACAAAATTTAAATAATAATTGAGCAAATTTTTGTCAGCGTCAGTCGATGATGCTGTAAACGAAGTTCATCACGTTTCGTTTGGTCTATTTAGCAAGAATTTGTAATTTATTTTTCGGTAAAGAATGTGTGATATCATTTAAAAGAAAATTATTAATAAAATAAAAGACGGTTATTTTTTTTTTATGCATTTTCTGCGATTTTGTGGCAGCGTGTATCTGAGTGAGATAGCACTATGGATGACGCTATGCGTTGAAAAAGGACATGAATAAAATTAGTCATGCCACGACGCAAACTAAGTAGTCCAGTAATTTGTGTTACACGTGTGACTCGGGCGTGTTAGTTTATTAATTGATTTATTAATGTTTATCTACATAAAATTGCATTGAAATATTTTTTAATTAAAAAATAATTGAATTTTTAGTTTTTATCAGTAATAATTGTAAAAAAAAGTCCCAGGGTTTTTTGCAATAAAATTTATAGTTTTGATTGAATTTATACATCAGCTTTATGCTAATATTGATTAATTTATCTTTTATTACTTCCGTAAACATAAAACGATAAAAAAATTAAGAAAGGACTGATTTGGTCGGTAAAAATGGTAAACAATATAAAATGTGTATAAATTTAATAAATAAAGTAGAATTGAAATAGTTATTTTAATGACCATAAATCGAGATAATAATATAAAATATTACTAAACAAATAAATTTAAATTACAGTTAGTCGTAAAATTATTATCATCTATATGCATGACTGACCGTTTTTGAAATTGTTTTCTAGTAAGTAAAAAACTGTAAGATTGATGAAATATTATAATTATAAATCACATTTGTCTATTGCTACTTATCGTAAAAGTTTATCGTGTTTTAATATTTTTAAGAAAACGAAAAATATTTATCTTATTCACTCGAAATCGAGCCAATCATTTAAACAATTACAGACGCCGAGCATTGAGTATTACAGTTTATGGTCAGGTACTATTTATGAGCAAAAGAATCTATTGTACTATACCTGGGTCTGTTTCTAAAGATGGTCAGCTGATAATAATGTCTGAATCGGCATGCACCACAAGAATTTAAGACACATTTTTTCTAGTAATTTTTATTAGAAAAATTTACAATTTTTACTAGATTTTGAAAATTGACTAAATCATTTTCTTGATGGATGAATAATTCTTTTTTTTTTTTTTAGAAATAGTATGATATAACTTTATTTTTTTAACAAAAATTAAAGAAACTGTTGAAAAGTTTTATTTTTTAATTCTTCATAGTTCTAATCTGGTGGAAAGAATTTTTAAAACGATTATTAACAAAAAAATTGTTTATTCAGATTATAGACATCATGGATCAAGTTCTTCATAACCGTCATACATACCGTCCACTTCGACCTATGATGAGAAGACGTGTGTCCCAGCCAATTGACTACAATAGTGATACTCCAGAAGCACGTGCATACCAACGAAAAATGAAATACTGGTTAGATCTGTTGAAATCACCGGACCAGTATGATGTAGAATTTAAAGCGACTGGAAGAACACCTATTTTTTTCGTGACAATGAGTCACTGCTCCACTCAAATTTCTGCAGTTCTTGATAAGACGCCTAACATCAATATTCAAGACAAAAGTGGACAGACTCCTCTTCACGTAGCTGTTGCAAATAACAATCTCGAAGCGGTGAGATTGATTATGACTCGTAAACCTGATCTCTGTATTCGGAATGTGTTGGGTGACACTTCTCTTCATGTAGCAAGTGCAACGAAGAACATTCGGCCTGAAATTGTTCAAGAGATTTTAAGAACAAGAGTGTGTCTTAATCTCAAGAATGACGACGGGTTGACGCCATTGCATATAGCTACGATACATAACAACATCGAACTGATGACTGATTATCTAGACCTCGGAGCAAAGACTGACATTACCGACAATGAAAATAGGTGGACTCCACTCCATCATGCAACTATGGTACGCTATTCCCATGCAGCATTACTTCTTCTGAGACGCGGGGCAAATCCTAACATCACTGATAAATTTGGCCAATCACCCATTTTTAATGCTGTTATGGGAGGTGAAGTGGATCTTGTTAGCAATATGGTAAAATATGGTGCTGATATTTATATCCCTAATAAATTTGGACAAACACCACTTCATCTGGCTGCCCAAAATCCTACCTCTGCTGTTCTAAGGTGGTTTTTGGATCGTAATTGGAATATAAACATCAATGTTCAAAATCGTAAAGGTCAAACACCACTTCACTGTGCTGTAGAAGACAATAGAAGTGATAATATAGTGACTATTTTACAAAAGGAGCCTGATTTAGATCTCCGAGATCGTCAAGGCCTTACTGTTTTTGACTTACGTCTTGACGATGAGTTAATCAAGCACGTCGTCAAGCTAAAAGTAGCTAAATTACGGGTTTCTCAACGCACGTTGAACGTGGTTCATACAGCAGATAACTCTGGGTTCACCCAAAAATATGAACAACAGTGTTATGAAGAACTAGAGAGAATGAAAAAAATTCCATTCCCAGGTCTAACTGTAAGCTATTATCAGTTTACATTCACGACTCTACAACATCGAGCAGAGTACATGATGAACAAGAAATTACGCTTGTATCCTCGTGATACCACTTCAATCGTACGGAGATTTCCTATTTATTGGGGTACAATTGACCGATGCTTCTTTGAAGCTTATGAGCGATGTAGGGAATTGGAGAAGTTCCAACACGAGAAGGATATGCTTTTTCGTGGCATTCCAGATCATTGTGTTAGTAATATTCTCACCCATTTGTCTACTCCAGATGTAAGAAGATTACTGAAAGCTTTGAAAGTACCTCTGAGATAAGACAATTTTTCATATGCAATTCTGAGAACAAATAATCAAATAATCTTTCATTGAAGAATATTTTCATTGCCAGGACTTCCAATTTTTATACCATCTTCATTTATGATAAATATACTTGTATATATTGTTTGTAATATTTTATTACACAATTAGAAAAGTATTTGTACTCAGATAAAAAAAAAATATATTTTATAATATATTTTAATATGCGACAATATATTACTGCAACATTTTTTATATCAAAAACAAAATGATTCATTAATTAGCGTGTGTAAATATTTGTAATGTTTTTTAATTAAATATAATTATTATATCTAAATCTAATCTACAATTTTAAGAAATCCGTCTGAGTTGTTTCATTGAAACAACAATAAATTACATAATATTATTTATTTATAAGATTTATTTATTCTTTTTTAATTTTTACAATTTCGTTCATTATCATTCTAAAAATTAATGTATCTAAAGGATATGATGAAGAATATATGTATCTAACATCTTGATGTATTCGAAATAATTGTCTATAAAAAAAAAAATCTTTGATACTTATTTTTAGATTAAAATTAATTAATTAAGAAATGTCACAGCTGCATTGTAATTCATATGTCCAAAAATAAAAGCAATTAAAGTTAATAAAAACAATTAAAATCACTCAGAAGATACCAATTACAATAATTAGAAATCAATAAACATAGCTTAATAATACTTCAACTCAAAGGAATTTTTTGACAGTCATCGTCAATATCACGAGAAAGGTAAGTGCATACTTTTTATTTTTTTCTTTTTATTACACTAAAGAGAAATTTAATTTTTAGAAAAAAATGTTACAATCATTGCATCGAGCGTGTGCAGAAAAAGATTATAAATCAGTGAGAAAACTTTTAGAAGAAAAAAGAATAGAAAACATCAATAGTGTTGATTTACATGAGAATACTGCTCTACATGTGGCATGTCAAGTTGAAGATCTTGATACTGTAAAACTTCTTCTGGAACACAATGCAGATGTGAATGCAAAAAATAATCAAGGTCAAACTCCTCTCTATATGGTATTGGGTGTCAATTGTTTCTACCATGGAAGTGTAAATTTGAAGATAATTAAAACTCTACTGGAGCACAATGCTGATCCCAACAATGTTGATAACAATGGCAAGACTCCAATGGCAATTGCTTGTGAAAGTGATGATTTAACAGTTGTAAAAATTTTATTGGAGCATGATGTTGATATGAATTGGACTGATCTCCAAGGAAGAACACTTCTTCATTTAACAACAATACTATATGCATCGCATATATTTGAATATTTATTGTCTCAAGGTGCTGACATCAACTGTAAATGTGATTTTGGTAAAACTGTGCTTGATTATTTACGCGACATGGTGTTTGCTGATGGATTCATCAACGGTCAAGGTGAAGAGGTGCACCGATATCAGATTTATTATTGCATCAGAATATATGAACGAGCGAAAATTCAGATAATTAAATTAAAATGTGCTGGACTTTATGTCAGTCAACATAATGTTGATTTAATTTATTCAGACTTGGAATTCCAAGATGTGATAAAGAAACTTGAAAATACATTTTCACTGCAGAGTGACGATATAGCGACACTTGAATATCAATGTAAGAAAGAAATAGATATGTTGAAGCGTATTAATGTTTGTTGCATGACACTCTATCATATTTTAGCTAATGATATCAATAAAACTAGCAGTCTAGCTAGGAATAAAAGTAAATGTCAAGAGATTATGAGAATTTTAGAGTTGAATTTGATCAAAGTTGTTTTTCCGATATACATTGATTTGATAAAAAGTAGAGTCAAAGAAGCGATGAGAAGGAATGAATTATTGGATGTTATTGAGAATTATAATGTCTCAAAAATTTTTCAAGGTTTACCTTTGATATGTATTCGAGAAATATTCAGTTACTGTAGTACAACCGATATTAAAAAATTTCAGAAAGCAATTGAGAGGATGAAAATGATATAATTAAAAAATCGATCCAGGTGCACTCTGTAATTTTGGTCATCTTTTAATTTTATATAAATAAAGTTTCAGATAAATTCTGCTAATAATTGGAAAATAAGTGAACGCTTTTTCATTATTTGAAAATATTTCTTTACACATCTATGACTGACAATTATTTGCAATTTTATTCAAGACTCCAGGATTCTAAACCCATGGAAGATGCATGGTCCTCAGTAGAGCTTGAATTAGATCTAGATTATTTCCAGTATAGAATATGGTGTTATTGAGCCTAAGATCACATTCATGAAGTATGTGAATCTAGAAACATTTGAATCAGTGAATAAAATGTAAAAAGAAACAAAATATAATAGAAAACACTCACCAACATGTTCTCAGTTGGCTTTAACTTGTTGCCAGAGTATTTGGGTAATATTTTAGAAATAGCACCAAATACACTCAGAAATAAGAGCAATAGAATAATAGATTGCTTCATAATTGTTGGGAAAAGTTTATTATTCCTTCACACGTCTGTGATGGTTGATCACTCGTGAATCAACTGCAGTATTATTTAGTTTATTGTTCATTATTGTTCATAAGTATGACATGTTTTTTTTTTTAAAAGAAACGCTTTTAATAAAATTATTTCGCACTAAGTTAAATTATTCAATCCATAAAAGTATCATGTATCCACGTACATAGTTTCTATTCGTCATTTTTTCTATCATATTATTAAAGTAATATCAATAATTTTATAGAAGCAAAAGATTTGTATAAATTGTAATTAATTAATTTTCAGAATTGGAATTTTTATTGATTCTTTCCTCTTTCATTTCAACACATTAAATGAACAAAGTATATTTTATTATGGAATCTCTAGTTCAATTGATTCAATTAGCAATTTAATTATAGGATTAATTCAATTTGTATACTTTTTGAATAATTCAATTATTCTTGTTTGAATTTGAGATTTTTTTTATCAAATGTCGATAACGAAGGTCACGTGTTATATATTTATCATCTAAGCACGGAAATATACTTTACTACACTCTGGTGTCGAAGACACGAACTAAAGTGCAGATCAAGTAGGACGCCATTACGTCCACGAATTCCGTGAAAAGACTTCTGTTCTTTTCCACTTTCATTTTTAATAAAAGTAGATTTCCCTTTAGAATCTTCAAAAATAATTAGTGAAATTGTGTTTAATATTTACTTTTCATCAACATAAAAAACAGTAATGAAGATCTGGTCAATTGAGCACACATTCAAGTAAGATACTACAAATAATTCAACTCAAAATTTTTATAACCTAACTTTAGTTCTACATTTAAGGAGTTGAGTAAAGGTCATAAATACTTGGCCATGAAATAAAGTATTTATTTAATCAATCACTCACTATATATCCAGGCTGTTGCAACTCTGACATATCATTATATTAATAACCAACTTTTGGCATGTGTATTTATCAATATATGTATGTATTGCAGCCACCCATGGGAAACAGTCGTGGCAGCAGCTTTAAAAAAATATCCAAACCCTCTTAATGAAGCAGTACTAGGCACTGATATAATTGATCGCAAGATTGTCAATGGAATTCTCTATACTCACAGACTTGTTGTCAGTGAATTCAAGTTCCCTAGTTATGCTCAAGCAGTAAGTTTAGTCTTTCCTATCATCAACAACATTAAGTCATTAAATTAAGTAATTACCTTAATTGTTCTTTATTCTAGATCATTGGCAGTGCTAATGCTCATTATGCCAGCGAAAAGAGCGAGGTGGATCCTGCTAGAAGAGAAATGGTCTTGAGGACTAGAAATGTAAGTACTAATGATTTGCTAATGTCTATCAGTAGGATCCAAGTATCTCCAACTACTTAATAATAAGCAACTAAATAATGTTAGTAGCAATAATTAAGTGAGTAATATTAATCATTTTAATGTTTTTAACCTAAATCAGTTGAAAATAGGTGGTGTTGGTGATACATAGACTCTACTGTAGCAATGTTATTAATTCTAATTAATAACAGGATAAATATTTTGCTAGAAAATAAATTGGATTTAATATTGATATGTTTATTGACATTAGAACATATTAAGTTGATAATCAATACTTGGAGTGAATGAATTTAATTAAAATTAACATCTAGCAGCAAGAACATGTGGAATTAGCAAATGAAGCTAATTGTGTAGGGAACACTCCACATAAACCCTCCTTTTGAAATCAGATATCTTGACTATTGTGCAGTATTACACTGCTTGTGATCTTGCTAACGGCTATTAAATGAGCATCCCAATCACTTGGCTTGATTGCTTATACCTAAACCATACTGTTACAATATCAGTCGATTATCATATTATGCTATCAATCCTACATTTGTAATTACCAAGTTGGTCGATTAAGATGTTAATGATATATATTATCTTGTGAGGTTTGAAATTACTTAATTTATTAATAATCTTCTCATTAAGAAGTTATTGTAATGGGGCCGAATTTTTGTCATTTCTCTACGTTTTGTGACACTTAAAATTACATTAGAAGATTTAAAAAATATTTGTCTATCTGTACGTACGTCTGTCCGATTTTTTTTATAAAAAAAAAAAACAAAATTTTCTTTTTTTGTTAAAACATTAAATGGTAAAGTGATAAATATGATTACCAATGAAATTTAATTTGAATATTTTAACACTCTTAGTGAAGAAAAAATAATTAAATGAGACAAAAATTTTTTTATGTGACTATAAATTTTGTTCACATATATATTTCACCACCGAATTTCATTACGCGCAACTTTGGCCTCATTTTTTCAACTCCCAGTAGAATAGGAGAGATGAGTTCTACTATTTTTCATTAAGCTGGACTATAACCAGTCGACTGTATATTTCAATCGCAAAAAATTAGGAAAAGAGTAGGGAGTGGGAGGAGAAGGTAGGAAAAAAATATCAATGAAATCAATCAAAAATAATTTTTTTTTTTATATAATTCAATAGAAGAAAATATGAATAAATAAAAATGGAATGAAAGAGAAAGAAAGAGAGTGAAAATAAAATCGAGAAATCGATAAAATAGTATGGTTTGCCTTTATTTCACTAAACTTCAAGTGCATATAGTAATAATAATGATTCAATGGCAATCTTTTTGACCAGTTTGTTGTTTCTATGATTTACTATTTTATTATAAGAAATAAGTGTATAGTAATTTTCTCGAGAGGGTAGTAAATTCAACAAAACTCCATCAAAAAATTCCACTGGGAATCAGACGGTAGCGTCGAAATCCATATAAAGTATACAACACAAGTCTTGTGTTTATTCATTTATAGACTACAATATGTCTGTAGGAATTACATGAACACAAAGTTAAGAAAGCAAACAACTGAATTTATTTATAATTCATTAATTGAAGTCTGGCAGGAGTCAGGTATTTTTAAAAAGTCGTAAATATAAAGTTGAAAATTCTATTAGCAGAATTTAATTGAAAGGTGAAAAGACAGAGAAATGAATACCTGAATAATTACTTATTCTTCAAGGAAAGATTGTTCAATTTTTTATTAATTATTGCATTTAGTTATTTAGTGTTCTAACAATAGGAATACTGTCGTGTTACAATTAAATTATTTTTTAGAATCAATTATCTGATAGATGTGGATGGGAATAGTTAAGTAGAAATGAAATATTGAACGATGTTAATGTCAATTATATGTGTCTAAATATTACGACTAAATTTCAAAGTAACAATTTTATTTAATAATGATTACTTAAGAAGTGACAATTGATCCATAAATATATCCATCAAGATGCTAGAATTATTTATTAAATAAAAAAGTCTTATGCTTTTGGAGCAAATAAAAGCTTCATCAAAATACCTTAGTAGGTCTAATTATATTTTCGTATGGTATACTGTAATGTAACTACCCTACAGCTACTTCATTACTAGAAGAGATAGTTGGATTGACCATAGTACTGGTTGGGCCATAATCCTACCCTCTGCCATATAATTACCTATTTAATTACCCTACTACCACTGTAGAACTACCCTATTGCTACCTAACAATGTTACTTACCATAAAACTACCTTATTACAAACATGGAGCTACCCATTATATAAATAACTATTAACTAACTTCAGTCTCATTGTCTCTTTTGATCCTGAATTTCCTCTCTTCTTATTATATGGATCAGAAAAATGGTAGTATTAGCAAAAATAAAGTTAAAAAAAATGATCAGCACAACATCAATCCATGAATGGAATAATTAAAATTCACTACCATGATGAAACAATGTAATGAAGTAGGTTAGATCCAACTCAAGTATCAACAAAGTTTGATAATGCCACATGCTATGTAGTGACTACTGCTGTGATACCACTAAACGAAGTATGTGTGGGTTAGGATGGCCTCTTAGCAGGATGTATTGTTAACCGACATGATCTTGGGTAACCCTCACTTGTCCAACGACCTTCCAAACAAGTATACTGCAGCCACTGAATTACGCATACTATCCTACTTCTCAATGCCTGTGGCTTAATCTAAAATTGAACGAATCCCCTTAGGTCATATTGTTAAGTGGTAGGGGAGGTATTTTAACTGCGTATCTAACTCAGGATGTATCTGTTGTTATATTCTTGCGTTCGACCGGTAGCATCGTACCACTTCCGATGTATTCTACATAAGCCCTTAAGGTACAGGAGGTGATGGTCCAGTGCTTCAGATCGTTGCCTATTCGCTGGTTACAATCCTTTGGGAGTGATATATCTCTTAGTATTTTACCTTGCTTGTCTCACACGAGATGTATCGTATATACCACAATTTGTTGGCTGGCAATCGCCATTGTTATAAATTGGCTGACGTTTTTTCTTCTTCCTGTTTTTATTTCGTTTTGATAAATAAGTAAAATGTGATGAATAAAATTCCTAAATTGAATCATGCAAACATTTTTATAGCTACGAAAAATAGTTTGTAATTTATCAGATATCAGTTCAATTAAATTTTTTATTTTCAAAAGCATATCACACATATCTCGAAATATTTTTTAATCCAATTTATTGGAGGAATCTACAAATGTAAATTAATTTTTCAGTCAGCCGCGGAATTTTTTTACTTCATGTCACTTCAATTATTAATATTACAAAAAAAAAACAAAAAAAAACATGCATCTCCTTTGATAAAAGTGCTTTCTATTATTGATTCGTTTTGATATTTATACTTATTTATATTTCAGAATTGAAGTTTATAATATTTATTAATCCAATGAATTGTTTATAATTAACAACAACATGTTAATTTTTGACGTTTATACATACGATTTATTTATTTTTATGCAACATATAAAATCATGTATTAAATAAATATGACCAACATTCCTCATACATAATTTTTTTCCCCTGAGTAATTTTGATAATTTATTGGACCACGTGAATGATGGATTAATTTATATCATATTGAGTCAATATGTAATTTATTTCGTTTGACAAGTTGAAATAAAACAAATATTATACTAAATTGGACGAATGATTAATTGACTGAATTGCTATAATCGATAGACTGTATTTACTAATGGTAAAATTATATTTTGCAAACTGATTTATTTTATAAAATGACTTTATTTTTTATTATGTTGTTTTCTTTTGTTTATAAATTGACATTATTTACTATTTATTGATTATTTGTTGACATTTTGCTTTTTTTTTTTTGTTATTAATTGAAAATTTCGGTTTTACCAAAACTACTGGTGCAGCTTTGATAGGTATACCGTGTCACCGATCGGTTAATTGAAATTTTGCTCTTCACTGCACGTCAAATTCTGTGTTTGCCAATGCTACGAGTGCTGCTGATGTGTCTCATATCAAGCATTTGTTTTTCATTTACTCAATTCTCGATACTGTGACGTTTTAGAATTGGTTTATTTCCATTTAAAATGAAAAAAAAAAGTTTAATGCTTCTATTCATGATTTTAGCCAACGAGGTTTAACTGAATAGAAAGTTTTAAAAGAATTATTGATAAAAAGGTTTTATTTGTTCATTTAATTATTAACTACTTTCATGGTAAATTGATTTAATAATAAAGCTAACTGAATGCTCTCTGTACTTGATACTCAACCAATTGTAGTAATGAGCATAGATTAACGTCATTAATGATAAGACGTAAGTAGACATATAGCACCAACTGATTGGTGTTGAATAATATCGACAACATAAGCTTCTAACCCTAAAACCCTTGTCGAACATTCCACAACCGCGATCTCCTTCATAAATGAACGGGAATTATGTCAAGTAAAAATCGAAACATTTACAATTAGTAGCTAGCTATCAGTGAATATTAATAAGTAATGAGCATCAGTGGGTATTGAACTTCAAATATAAATTCATAATAATTGGTTAAAGCTGATAGTTAGTGAATAAACAGTTCTCATTATGATAGTAGAGATCAATTTCAAATCCAAAGACTACTAAAAAGGGGGTTGGAAGCATGATAGCATTGATGGCATTGATGAGCTTGGAACCATTCTATCAATTCCAGAGTTGAAAATTTGCATCCATGCTCTTCTCATTAACTTCTCCAAGGACTCATTGTCTTATAATTTATTATTAAAGGATGTATGATCATCATATAGGGTTTGGTGATGATGATGATGGTGGAAGTTATCACTGAAACATTTCCTAAAGTTTAAAATAAAATAAATTGTCAAAGCAGTATTGAATTAAAGTTGCTATTTTACTTGACAAAGTTGATTCATAATTTTTATTTTACAACAGACATTTTATTTAATATTTAAAATACTTTTTTATGGCCAGATAAATTCTGTTTTCAATAAAATGTAGGTTATTCCGGTAATGTCACATAAATTACGAGATGCTGGATAACGTGTCTGGCATACATACACCATTGTTTCTATTTCTTTTTTATTTCATTTTATTTTTGTTTATGTTACCTTGTATCTATTTTTTAACTGGATGGTAGATGACCACACCGAATCATTTGAAACGACCGCAACAGAAGAACCCACTGAATCACAGGATTTAGATAAATTGTACGATCCAAGCGGAAACGTGAACGTCATGCCAAGGTTTCTGAGTGACGGATAATTTTTTGCAATCTACTGAACGTCTGATTTTTGTTTTATTTCGCATTCTTTCATTATATTCCCCAAAAATGCTGGTACGTCGAGTTTTCATTACTACCTAAATCCAATCACGTTTCTCTGACACATTTGTTTGTATTTCCGTTTAACAAATAATTTATTATCCTCTTTTTTCTTCGTCATACCATGAAAATTACTAAAATAGGTTTCGTGCTACTACTGAACACATTAAATGATCAGATGAATTGTTTATTTCAAGTCAGTACTTATATTCTTCATCATTTTCTGAGGGTTCAAAGTTTTTACCACATGTATTCATCTATTTTAATTGTATACTTTGCTGAACGAGGTTTTTACAATACTTCCTTTCTGTCACTATCGTATAGATCCTATCACACATTTCCTCCAACTCCTCTCCTCTCCATTGACCCATCATATCCCACCTACCTGATGTACTATTACACACACAGTCCATTGAGTTGCGTTTGCAGCAAACTTACACCCTAGCTACTGTATAGCATTTGCACGAGGCTAAAGGGAAACTGCGGAAAACCTGTGTCAAAACAGTTGACATCAATAAAGAGACCATTTGATCTCAGTGATCTTTAGGAAAGCCATACTCGGATTTCTCCTGGTCCAGGAACAAAGATTCTACCACTATTAGCTGTTTATTCATGAATATCTTACCTTAGAGGAACAGGGTGATGGGGTCCAGGTGCAAAGCTCCAATACACACTTGTCCGGTTTCTACAAATTGATACTTACTTCTAGGTAGAGTTGGTTTGGTTTAGGACTCCAGGCTAAGTAAGACTGACCCGACTGTACTAATGCAATGTTGGGCCAGCAAATGGACCAGTCTTACTTCCTGTTGGTCTCTTTTTCTTCATGAGATTCCATCATTGCTTCCTAGGATATTTATTCTTCCAATCATAAAGCCACGTATGAAGTTGGAGATCAATAATCCAAAATTTGCAAATTAGCAGCAAAAGTTGGGAAAATATTTTGAGATATTCCAATAAAATAGATATCAAATCTCTACAGAGAGATATATAAGCACGATGGGTATCATCAATGTCATTGTCTATTGATGTTATAAACGAAATATAGTGGTGATATAATTGAACGTCGGTTTACTGTCAGCAGTTAATTGGAAGAGAGTAATTACATGCTCGGTCATGACTAAAGGACGAGCATTTATAATATACGCATTACATACAGCAGAATTCGTTACTAAAATTAACATCTAAATTATTATATTTTAATTAACTCAATATAATATGCATCAAACAGTTGATTAATTAAATTCAATCTACACTACTTTAATAAAAAAAATACTTCAATATTACCTTGGAAATAAAATAGCTAGGATTTTTTGATAGGATTCGTTCAATAACATAAAGCCAATTAAAGTGCCTGAGGAGATGATTCCTTTTTTCTGCTAAGTGCAAAGTCCACGCCAAAATTGCTGAGGGACACGTGGGATTATCTGTGCTGAATACTCAAGTGCATTGATGCCTAGAGGGTCTGGCTGCTTAGTATGATAATTATTAGGAAAAAAAAAAGATAAAAGAGAACAGACTGAAACAATATGAACAAAGAGAAGTAAAAGAATATAAAGTAAAATAGAAAAAGAAAACAAATACTTACCCCTAGTGGTATCTAACGGCTCCAAGTATACGGTCTTAAGAAACTTTAAGAATAATATCAAGATGAAATCTAGCAAGTTGTTGCTAAATAAGTTTTCTTGCTGGAAATTGTTTTATACATGATGTCTTAGTGAATGAGTATTGCAATGTTTTACAAAATACTAGACTGGTTTCCACCAACTCATTTCAGATGTTTTCTTTTCTCTGTGATGGAGAAAACTATTTCAAAGCTAAAAAATTCTTTGTTCATACAACTAATATACTATTGTGAAGGAAAAAAAAAATTGAAGACTTTTTTAAGGTTTTTAATATTTATTGTGAACATTATTTTTAAAGGATACATTTGTTATTGTTTTGTTGAAACAATTACAATGAAATATGGTGATAATAAGCCAGCTAAAAAATAGTTAGGAATCAACTTGGCAATCTTTTAAATCAAGCATGATGGTTGGTAATTCAGCCTAAATATCTAGTACAAAATGAAAGCCATGTGGTAATTGAAAATGCTACAACAATGACTTTCTTATTGCCAATATGACCGTGCAATGCTCGCCACATCATACACCTTGGTGGTAGAACAATACTGTGGGTGCTAATTTTCTGTTGGAACGTTGAATTGTACTACACTTTTCACTTCCTCTACCACTACCTCCCACCTACCTTCTATTATTTTCACCATTTTCCCGCTCTTTCTGCGTATTCTGCATACTCTTCCCCATTTCAATTGTTCCTAGTTTTCACTATATACTGTTCTATATATGACTCACACCTATAATAATACCCCTGATGCTACACCTGCTACAAACAGCATATTCAAGTGAGTCCTTGAGCTCATGAGCACACTACAATATAATCTATATAATGAACCTGTCGTTTCTATATCATTCAAAACTAATTATGTTACATTATTGTTAACATCATGTGATATTTTTTATCAACAAACATTGACATAAAATTTATTTAAAGTCTAAATTAATTAAACATTTCTACATATCTTTGGTATATTTTATTGTCAATTTAATTCACTTGCTGTGATTTGACAATCGTTTTAGTGTTATTGATGAATTAAAGCTCGTGGTTTGCGTGATATACCAATCCAAACAAATCACAGTTTGCATTAAAACTTTAATTTTATTATTGATCAATGGAACTGCACGATATTTGGAAGTCAAATATTTAACCATTTAGTCATGAATATTATTTTTTGTTTCGGTAGGTTTACAGTAGGGTTTCAATTATTTCAGACTCATAATTGTACTGAAAATTCAAATTTATTGCCAGCTCTTTCCAAAAAATAATAAAACAGGTGATACATTGGAGGGAGGGAATGTATCAAGGCTTCTATACGCTGTGCTAGGTTTTAAGCTAGATAACTTGCTCAGTGTCTTGGAGGCAGCCTTGCATGCTGCACTGCTGGACACTGATGTTGCTGATGGCTTTGATGCCTGCTAGGTTGCAATATTTCGATAATAGAATTGGTGCTATTTTTCATGCAAAGCTGCTTGCTAGTTGAAGAGTTTATCCATGTGTACAGGGTGCTGATGGTCTAGCTGCCAGAGCAACAAGCTTCATGTAAAGCTGAACTAGCAGTATGTCTTATCAACCTTCAAGCAACATTGTTGCAAGCGTGCTAAGGAATCTAGCAAGGGAGTTAGCTTGAAATCTAGCACTGAGTGAAGAGTTCTTCATACTCATAGACACTTTTGATGTAATAGGAGACAACTTAGCTCCTTTTATGTTGAAGAAGTCTATGATCTTGGAACTGATCTGTGTATTGCTGAAATCATTCAAGCAATTTATTCAATCTCCCGTGAAAAATTCAAAAGATTGATTTATTATTAGTCATTAATAATTGTGTATCTTTTTTATTTTAGCTGTCGTTTAGTAAATTTATCGATGTTGGAGAAACTCTACGGTACATACCTCATCCTCAAGATAAAAACAAAACACTTCTGAAGCAGGAAGCCATTGTTACAGTCCAAGGGGCACCGCTGGCGTCTTATATGGAAGACATTTTGACAAAAAAGATTTCTTTTAATGCTGGAATGGTAAGAAATCTAACTAAAATACACTAAAATGTTTTAATTGAAATAAAATTAAAGTCATTGATCAACATTGAATGAGAATAATTTGATTGGAAGACGATAGAGTGATGCATGAATAACAAAATAATGTAAAATGAATACGACGTTCATTTAATTGCATGTTTTGTCTATTTTCTCTTTTTAGGGCCGCCAAGCCGTTGAATGGGTGATCAAGCTTGATGCGGAAATGAAGGATCTCGCAAACACGGCAGTCAAGTCGACAGATGAATTGCTGTCACAAACGCGTCGTCAGTTGGATGACATAACGACAAAAACGAAAAGAGGAATGGATGATCTTCAAAATGCTGCTAAAAAGTCGTTAGATGAAATTCAAACATTCACAGCACCACCATCACCACAGTCTATGCCTAAATTATAGCTGAGGTTCTGGACTAGTTTTAATCTTTTCAATTGATCAAAGCTATTAATAGGTATTTCTTTTAAATTATTCCAAATTATTAAAATAAAAAGAAAAGAAATAAATAATTTTTTATTTATAAATTTAATTTATAAAAAAATTATTTATTTTTCATTATAAAACAATTCTATCATGTTAAATACGTAATTAATTTATGCAACATTCAATGCATTAGTTTACTTTGATTAGTAATTGATTATAAACAAGAGAAATTAATAATTTAAAAATAAAAGAAATTTTTTAAAAGACTTGTATAAAAACAAAAAACAGAACACATTGATAAGTAGATTAATAGTACTGATTAATTTTATGTTAGTCTGTTAACACTCAACAGTTATTAATAAATCATATTTTCTGATAATCAATTTTTAGATTTAAGTGTAAATAAAATATGCACTTGTATAAATATAAAGAGATATAATAAATTTTGACTGCATGAATTCATTAATTAACCGTTTAACAATTCTTATTTATCAATGATATCAACTACATGAAAAAAAAAAAATTTAGCTGTAGGAACAATACCGTCACTCTTGAATTACTTATCTCATTAGATAACTGTAAGAATTATCTAGATAGTTGAGTGACGCCATCTGAAATAATTGTTTCGGAAAGATACTGTTCGCAGCTATTTTAAAGATTAGCTTAATGTAGATAATTATTATAGATATTTAGCTGTCTATAACAATACTTTAGATAATTTCTACAGCTTAATTTGTTATTCTGTGTAGATGCTTTACCACTTAAATTATTACCGGCCCCCTGGTGGCATTAAGTGAAACTAAATTAAACAAACTGTTAAATGAGGTTAGGGGATAGTTTTCAATATAATCACCAACTTTAATGATAAATAATAGAAATGTTGGAACAGTTAAGCTATTATAGAGATCTTATATAGCTAAATTATTATTTTTTTTTAGTGTACTGATGAATTTTGGTTTATTGATTTATTTATATGGACAAAAATTCGCTTTTATGACAGAAAATCATGCAAATCAGTGTCGAGAATATTGCAGACGTGTGTAAAAGATAATTGACGAGCTTGCGGTTTGTAACTCTTGGATACTTATCAAGCTCTTCAGATGACGTTCTAAAAGCTAAGTAAATGTTTACACTGTCCTCAACTGCCGATCACTCTAGCGATACGACACGATCAAAATTAACTCTTGAAATTAATTATTCAAGAAATTATCATGTTGGTCTTGCATCACCGTAATTAATTATAGAATATTAAATTTTAAAAATGTATTTATGGTCTGATTGATTTTTAAATAATATCACAATTCGTGTGAAAAATGGTAAAAGGATATTTTCAATTCCACGACTGCATATGATAGTGTTTACAAACTCGACTGAGCTTACGTTTACACAATTCATGCGCATCACCAACCCAAAGTGGTAAGGATAGATGCAGGAAAGACGGTTGTTCAAAGCTTGATCCATATAAGCTAAGGATAAGAGACTATTAGTTCAGCAGGGTTAAGACGTAAGCTCTCTAGAATGACATGAATACTTTTTCGTGATTCTAATAAATTTTTTATAGTACGTTTATTGATGTTCTCAATTACAATTGGATGCTTAATTTAATCCAGACGATTCATCAATGAACAATAACCTTTTTTACCTGTTCATGGCCATGTCATTTATTCAACCGCATTTTCCAGCTAAACTATGGGAGATCGGAAAAAAATACTTCAGACAAAAAATGTTCCTTGTTTCAAGACGAACAACTTTTATTTCAACCATTTTTACAAAATTGTCAGAATTTCAAAAGTTACAGGCCATCGAATGCGCCTATAAGCCATGGATTAGTATGTATTATATTTTAATAAGAGAAATCTTTTTTAATACTTACTAATACATAGATATTAACAGCCTCATTGTACCGGACGTGAAAATAATGTTAGACGTTGGTTGATAGTCAAAGCACGTATGTTATTAGCTATTCTCGTTGTCTAAAGTTCTAAGAAGTTCCACAGACCAGAGGGCAAAATCTAACTCGATAAGTTTCTCAAACGACCTCACTTCAAGGCTTACATACTCTATCGAATAACCACTTTGGGAACATCTGGAATACAAGAAACTTTCACATTGAAAGGTAAGAAGTTGATTATTTTTTTTATTCTTATTTTTCAGGTGATAAAAATGTTAATAATCCTAGGGATATGAAATGTTGACAGTTGAGTTTTATAAACCAACAAACATATTCGTATACTTGGGAAAAATAACCGTCAACATATACAAGAATGTAACGGCTGAGAATCATTCAATGCTTTTATAGCATCGTAATGTGTAAACCATGAGATTCACTCAAGAGTCCAACTCTAACGTGAATTCTTAAGAAGACGGAAGGAAGTGAAAGACGTGAGTGTCATTCCCTTGAGGTTGCTATCACTTTTACGATGCCAGCTTCCAAAGACCACACGAGAGATGCAAGCGAATTCGTTTCAAACTCGAATGGATTGAAAAAACTTGTTCTATTTTTTTTTTTTATCTAACTTTGACTTTTTTATCTTTATGTCATTTTAGTTTTATTTTTTAAACTTTTTCTTTTCAGATAAACTTTGTTGTTTTTTTTTTAACCAATTGATTAATCAAAATTCTCTGCTGGTGCGAAATTCAGTATGACAACTCAAATCCTGTCGACAACATGTCGCTGAATCTTCTTGCTACATCAAAGGGAATACGATTCCATGAGTTAGGTTAATAACAAGTTCTCGACAAATAGAATTAGCTACCTTTCAAAGAGAGCTTACGTGTCTACTCGAGTCTCTGTATCTTTCTACGTTATATCAAATTATGAGACGCGTTCCAAATCTTTGATTCTGTTTATTTGATTTCAATATTCATGCTACCTCAGTTGAAAAAAATAACTAATATGTCATCATACGATGTAAATTGGCCATGGATGTTTCATACATGAGTTTATTTTGATGATAAGTATTTTTTAAAGACAAATTACAAGGTAGGTAGCAAGGTTGTGACTCATGAATTTCATACAATTTTACTGATATCGTTGGAGATGGTCTTTTCTCAATGCGTACTTGAAGCAGCAAAGCACCATTTTCAGTGTTATTTTAATCACTGGATAAATCAGTAATTAGATTAGCATTGAAAATCAGTAAATAGTCACAAATTTGTGGCAGTTTTCACTGATTTTCAGTGTTAATTTGATTACTGAGTCATCTAAAGATTAGAATAGCACTGAAAATCAGTGACAAATGCCATGAATTTATGACTATTCACTAATTTTCAGTGTTAATTTAATTATTAATTTATTTAGTGATCAGATTATCACTGAAAATCAGTGAATTTTCACTGATTCATTGAAGAGAGAAGATTTTTATACAACGTATTATTTGAGAACACAACTTTGCCATGTGATTTTTTTTTTTCAAATTAATTTTTTATAACTAAAAATTGCCAGACCTATACATTAAACTTGCAGAGTAATTATTTAATAAAAAAATGATTCAGATAAATATTTAATCTGATTTATTTATCATCAATTAATATTATTTTTCAATCTAACAAATCTTAAAATGAGTATTTCTATTTTTGCGTAAGTAAAAGAGGAAGAAATGAAAAAAAAAAACGAAACAAACTTTAAAAATCAGGCTCAAAGTACTCAAGGGATGAGAGCACGTCGCAGAGGGAATAGATTCAGCTGGTGCTTGTCTAACGTTCCAACCAATATTGTAAAAGTTTCTTCACTCGTCCTTGGACTTTTAAGGTTCATCGATCGTTGCCAACCGACTAGGAAGACAGGAGTAAAGAAAACGGATAAAAAAGGAATAAGAACTCTTGCAAGATAAAAAGAAAAATAACATGAGGTAGTAGCACAACAGTTTGTATGAAGAAAAAGACGGAGACAGACTGACCAAAGCTTGAAATAACTCGGAATCTATTTCTTTTCTTCTTCCTTTTTTTTTTTTCTTACCCTCAGCCCATCATACATAAGCGGAAAGAATCAACATAAATTTTCCCATCTCACTTGAATGCATTTATGTTTTCGAGTTTATGCGCATTGGAAATTTTTATGAAAGAGAAGAGAAAAAAAAAAAAAAATAGTCAACTATAAATGTTTAAATAATAAAAGTCATCATTACTTGGGATAGATTTATTTTTTAGAAAGGGTAGAAATGAAAGAATAACATGGTATAAAAATATGAGGAATAAAAAAATATATATTCAGGTTGTTATCACTTATCGTCGCCTCGCCATCCTTTTGGCTTGCACAGAATGAATTATATCTCCGGCTCGAGGATTTAACATTCAAAATGATAGACCACCTTTGGTGATATCTCGGCCCCTAGCTATATGACTTTAACCGTTATCGTCGATTCACATTGTTCAATTTTTGGTGAAAAGGACATAAAAGTGTCAGTAAATTTTCTTGGAACATTGCCAATGTTATTGGTGAGTCGATATATCGATAAAAAATTTATAAAGTCAAAATTTTAGAGCTTCCATAATCCATTATTATCATCAAATCCTTTTTAATATTTACTGAATATCATTTTTCTTTTGTTCAATATGATATTTAAATAAATGCATTATTTTTATAAAAGAGACTTGATGCAACTGGTCTGCCTAAACTGCCACATTACTACTTGATGTCTTTGAAGACTAAAGATGAGTCTCTGAAAATAGTTCAGTATCTTTTAAACTGAATCAGTAGAAAAAAATTTTCAGTGATTCGTTCTAGGAAATACATTGTTTTGCACTCGATAAAAAAAAATTAGTAAGAATTCAGGTATTCTGTCTGGGAAGAATGCCTGAATTATCCAGAATTATGCAAGGTAATTTGTATTCAATTAAGTGATTTTTACTAATTTATTTTAAGAGAGTGCTTTATTCATTCACCATTCGAATCAAATCGATTTTCAAACTGCCATTTTTCAATCTAAAAACCTGATTATTCATATATTTAGTAAATCTGATCAGGCACAGTGTCTCAAAAAGTGAGAGTGCTATTCTTGGATAGGACCTGATTGAAATTCCTTCTCAAGTATGAGTAGGCATAGATTTTTTTTAAAAACCATGGATTTCTGACTCCTGATCAGGACCTTGAAACCTTAAAAAAATGAGATCCTGTAGAATTATATAAGAAGTTAATTGTAAATTTTGTAGATTAGCACACATGATGAACAGAGTGTTTATGAAAACGATCAAACTTACTTGCTGATAAACTCTCCAATGCATAGCTCAGCAAATTTAACAAATGATATCACTAGGCAATTCACCATGTAGTCATCAAGAAATAACAAAATATCAAGTAAATTAAGACTTTCAGACTTGGTAATTTAGAGTAAATAATTGCGAATCTCAAGCTCGTCAAAAGGATTTAAGTGAATTTAGCAGAAAGTTGGCGATAACCACAACTCTGATGGGTGCTTTCTCGTAAAATTTACTGGTTAGATGCAAGCGGCACTTTATTTGGTAACAGCAAGAACGTATAAGAACTTTGTTAAGGTTCTCAATTTCAGGGGCTTTGATATCAACAAGAAGTTTTGATCGAGCTTCGATCTTCAAGTAAACAGTTTGAGAGAACTCTTGTACATGTTTTTTTTTTTTACTTTTTCTCGACACTCTATTTTATTTTTTTTATTTATACATTTTCTCTCTCGTCAAATTCTAGACCATGATAACACAGTAATAGTAGCTTTTATTCATTTTTTACTCTTCCGAATCAAGATAACATATCAAATGTTACATCAACTTGTCGTTGTTCTCTGTCACTAAAGTGACAGCCAATTTTACGGTTTACTTCTAGATATGAAGTGACATTCCAATCAAATGTAAATTGCAAAAAAATATTACCTTTTTACAGAGTATTTTTTACGCTTTTCAAATGATAAGAATCATTCAGATGCATATATGACATTTTTTTTATCTCAATCTTTGCTCTATTCGAAGAAAATGTCTGATTTTCAAGTTCGACCACTCATTCTTTTCCTTTTGACACCTAGAAATTCAGAATCTGGTCAAACATCATTATTATACTTCAATTATGATTTTGATGAGTCCATTAGAAAGCTCTAAATTATGATTGAAACATCTTTTAAAGTCAAACTCAAAACAAAAATTCTTGGATTATAATAAATCATTAAACCTTCTTGCAGTAAATCTGGTTTTCAAGGAAGGATCACTAAAAAAAAATAATGAATTAGTTTATTTAATTAAACAAATAACCTGTGCATAAATCTGAAAGGAATATTCTGGAAAATCATAAACTTACCTTGTCCTGCTCAAACCACTGACCTCACATAATAACCTTTCCTTTCAACCTAGAGTACAGACATAACCTTGAATAGATACTTAACATTTACTTTGACGATGTCCAAACCGATTACTCTACTGAAATGTCGAGAAAATTAAAGTAACCATGAGAATGATAATAAGCATATCATACATGTTGGAGCCAAAGGTCGATACAAGCAACGCCATTCGACTATGCACACACACACACACTATACAGACATATTTCTCAGTATCGCCGGCTCCCTCGAGCCGTGAACGTGTTAATTTACGTGCTGATAAACACGTGCTTATCAATCGAAATATTATCAAGTATTTATTTGAATAACCTGTTAGAATCCAACTACTATTGTGATACTATTAATAATCATCATTGTTTCTTATGATAAAAATACTAAGACAATTATAATTACCTTGTTTTCATTTCACATTAAATATTGATATTATTTTACATTTATTATTATCAAACTACTTCTTTGATTGTCTGAGTTAATAAATTTCTAAGTGTTTTTTATTTAATTAAACGAGTGTGATTTAATTGAAAGTTTATTCGAAATGTTGGAAAGTGATCATGAAGCAAAAGTGAGGTTAAGACGGACTAAAAGTGTCACTCGTGCCGAGGAGATTCAGAGATTGGATTATATGATGAGGAAATCACAGCCAGATAAACCGTAAGTATTAAATATTCCTTGTTTTATTTATTTATTTATTTTTTGCTTTAAAATTAACCTGTCTTTATTTAGTAAACATCAGTGGTTAGTTGGTAGATTCTCTGCAGCAGATATTCGTGGCACCAGGGCCGTATAGCCAAATACTTGAGAAATAGTTGGAATTTTTGGAGCTTGACATAAAAATGATTGGATTAATTCTTATGAGATTATTAAGACATTGGACTATGCACTGGCAATTATACTTTCTAATAACCTTGATGTGCCATTCTTGGATTAGAGTTTTTTGTTGGTTATGTAAATATTGAACTGATTTTTTTTTTTGGAGTTACCTCATCATCAATTGGACTGGCTGGTGTTATTAAAGAGATTTGAATGAATAGATTGATTATTGCATTGCCAATAAATGTTGAAATATGAATATGAGTTGTGTAAATATATTCCAATCAACTGTTTATTGATTAAACAATGAATAAAAATGGAAAGTTTACATACAAAATTGCTGATGTGATAAAGGAGGAATGAAAAAAATCGAAATGATTCAATATTTATTGATGAATATAAAATGAATTGAATTATTTGGTGGTTGAGGTAGAGATGGTAAATAAAGTTGGTGATTGTTAATGAGTTTTAGGATAAAATGTTAGAAATATCATTGGTAGAATGTTAATAGCAGCATGGAACCTAAACCCTCAATCCTTAATTAACCATCCAAATACGGAAGATCCGTGTGGAACACATATGGCTGACGCCGGCAAATCCACCCTTATGTAAATGAAGCTAAATGGGATTGTCGGAAAGGGCAAATATACTACTCCAAGTCCAGCTTATGGTGCTTCTTATGACTTGGTAATTTATTCAGAATTATTATCATCAAGTGGTTTAGTTACTTTCTTTAATATCTTTATGGAGAATAGATTTCTTAATTCATTTATTAAATTGGTTTAATTTATTCTAAAGTATTTTTCAATTAGAAATCACAAGTTATAATTGAATATTTGATTAGTTAAATTAACACTTTTATTTCTTTTTATTTTAGCAATAATGGTAGTTGATGCTTCACTAGGAAGCTAGACTTGCTTATGATATATTTATAAAATATGGTGTAAGATAGTCTAATTTCTAAGGCTGGTCTATTCCTGCTGCAGTGGACCCCAGATTTGATTAGGTAGGATTATTCTGTTAAATCTGAATGAGTTGGTAATGTTAGACAAGATTTAAATAGTCCCATAATTCATATTTGATCAGAGCTGAAGATTTTTCCACTGGACCAAAGCTGACCTGAGTACCCAAGTGTTGGGATGGTTGAGCTTTATCTTGATGTATCGTTAGAAACAAACTCCAAACATCAGTAATTTCCAGCATCACTTGTTAAACAACCCCAAAACTTTGCTCGATAAAAAAAAATTCAAGAACTATTTTTATTAATGAACTGCTAGATACGTTGGATCCAATGCTATCAAGACTTCTAACTCAACTCCAGCTGTATCTCCACGAAAAATGGTCGTAGCAAGATGAACCAGAGCTCAAATTAAAGCTTAAATTCTCTACTTTATGAATACATCATGCTAGAATTTTTAAACTTTAAGGATGTCATGAAAAATCAGCTTGACAAGTTAGCAAGATTCTTCCTATCTTGATAGTTGATAACTTTTCAAATATTTATCGAGCCAAAATAAAAGGAAAACTTGGATAAAATAATTATTATGACAATCACACGTAAGAGGTGAAAAGTTGCTACTGAGTCAACAATCGTAATTACGTGGCTACTTTTGAGTTTTGAAACCAGTAAAAACTTTTACTTCACCACTAAAAACGTGCTTCTCCAACTTTTCTTGCAATCCACCAGATAAATTTTAACCTCGGATTATGTTAGATTGTGGATATTGCTTTTTTTTTTTATCTTCTCAAATGGACTACGACTCTTTTATTAAATGTTTTATATACTCCTTAATATTTCTGTTCAATTGAAATGATACTTATTCCAACCATGAAGCTTTTGATGAATAATGATGAGAAAATCATTGAAAATATTGGGAAGAATGCCGGAATGGTGATGATAAGAAAAAAAATAGGAAGATTGCGTGCTACGTGTAAATAGCATGAATGAGAAAACTGATGCAAGTTGCATGTCATCTAAGGAATATTAATAATAATGCTTGAATGATAAAGTAGTCATGTCGTCGTCGTCTTCTCTCTACTCATGTATGCAAATAGATCTACGCTTGTTGAAGTTTAACTTGTTCAATTTTATTCACTGTCTAACAGATATATATATATACATTTTCATTAATATGATGCTTCTATTTTTTAGGATCCAAAGTTAAAATGTAAAATTTCGAATATTCATTAAATAAATAATGAAAATTACTAGCAGAAAGTTTGAAGCAAGATGGAAAAAAAGGAATAATAATTAAAAACTTTCTTTGGAACTTAATTACAAGAACCATCATTATGGCAACGAATGCGTTATGAGTAAAGCAGCAAATTGAAGAATAAAATCTTGAAGCTACTTGTGCTTCTCGGATAAAAGATAATGACCTGCAAACATGAGCACTAGACCCTTCAGCTTAAGGTTGCATTTTACGCAATTTGAAACTCGCTAAAGTCTGCAGTGTACAAGTAGTGTTTTTTTTTCTCTCTAGATGATTTGTATAGTACCTTGCTACTAGCACCAATCTTCTTTTTTTTTCTTCTTTCCTTTTGATATCAAGACTTGTTTTTTATTTTCATATTTATTCGTGAAAATGTACATTTGCAGTAGGTATTTCTATCAATGATTGATAATCCGTAACGTAACAAAGAATTTTTTAGAGTTAGAACAGTCATTCATAGCTTTGCTGATCAACAAAGCTGGTGCTTGCTATCGTCAACAATGTACTGTAATCAATAGCTTTTTTTATGTCTATCCAACGACTGAGAGGAGAAATATTAATTGATAAAAAATTTTTGTCTAGAAAATGAACGAATGTACAGTGCCATTCAAAAGTTGGTTGAATTATTGAGGTAAAAATTTTTGAATAGGGAAAATTGGGGTAAAACTGATGGGACAGTATATGAAATACGTGTATAAGATCAACATGAAGATAATTTTAGAGTAAAAATTATCCAAAAATATGTTATAAAATTTACCCTACAGTAGAATAATTTTTACCTCATTTGAATGTAAAAAATTACACCGTTCTATTGTAAATTTTACATGTGAGTTTGGTGAAAATTATTTACTCTAAACTCTTAGAATTAAATTATTTACTTTCGATTTTATTTGTAAAAAATCTTAAAATCCACATTTTACCCCAATTTTCCCTATTCTTTCTGTCTTACTCATTGAGGTATTTTTAAGAATAGTTAGTTGGAATAAAAATTGTGCTGTTGATGTCGAATGAAAAGATATTATTGATATAATTTTTTTTTTAATGAATCATAGCTTATTTTAGGGTAAAAATTATTCCAAGTGACTTTTGAAAATGACTGTACATATCTTCAAGATTATTTTTTAATTCATACAGCTAGGGTAATTAATCTGAAATGATATGATGAATAAATTGAACAACTATTTAGCGATGAAAATCGTTGATGAATTTTGGATATTATATGTACAAGATAATACGACAGATCTAGGGCAAGATGAATGCATTTAAAAATTAATGTCTGAGTTGCAGGACTAGAGTTCATTACTCATCGTATCATTCTTACTAATGTTGGTATGTCTCTTTCTCTTCTTTGAGCTGATTATTCTGGCTGGCAGAATCTAGAGGAAGTGTTTGTAGAGAGAGAGTGTGCTGTTGGAGACAAAAGACAGCTTTCTACAGCATGTCTTTTGAATAAATTTAAATATGTTTTATTCACTAAAAAAAAAAAGTATTTTTGTTCATTATAACTTGCAGTAAAAATAAAAAATATTTACTACAATATTAATATTCACTTCGACGTCTTGTGATAATTTTATTTATAAAGAAGAAAAAAAAAAAAAATTGATGTATTAATGAAAAAAAAATTTTTTTTTTTTATTCTGCTTGTATTATTGAATTAGTAATTTATTAAAGTTTACTTTACTTATTTTTGTATTCTTATTTTGTTGTTACAGTTGCCATAAACCACGAGATAGCCTCTTTTCCTGGAGTTCCGGCTTTAACAACTTCACAGGATTCATCAACTGGGGCTTCCTTCTTCTTGGGCTCGGTGGTGTTCGATTATTGCTTGAAAACTTCATAAAGTAATTATACCAACTTTGTTATTATTTTTTTTTTTTTTATTGAATATCTTGATGTAATTTTTCTAATCTGTTCATTCTATTTTACAAGTAAAATATTAAATCTTTTTTAAAGGGGATGTTAAAGGATATGAAGTTGAAGGAAAAGAAGCTTCTATAGCGTAGAATTTTTTAAATTTGAAGTATGTAAATTGATAAGCATCTTTATTTGTAGTTCAGTTGTAGAAAGGTCTTGATAAACGGTTCCATAGATCATAAAGTATTTGCAAAAAATTGCGACACAAAAAAAAATATTCATAACTTTTATGCTAATTATGGTACGGGGTTCATTGAGGGCTCATTTTAAAGATCTGAACAAAAGAAAAAAAATCAATCTCTATCATAAATCCCGTACCTCTCATAGTTTCCGAGTTATGAGCGTCCAAAAGTTTTTTATGCTTCACTGTAGCATAATTTTGATTTTTGCTGATAACTCTGGATCTACATGGCTTATGAGCATATCAATAGATTCTTGAGGATGAGATCTGTCTAACGCACTCATCAAAATCATAATTGGAGCATAATTTATGCTAAAATCAGACTAACATAACTATTCAAGATTCCAATATTATCATTAACTTCTTGGCTCATACTTTTTATTAAATATCTCAAAAACTATGCGTCTGAGATCAAAAGTATAATTAACATAATTTTTAGTAATTGTTATGAAGAATAAAATGAGACCAGTCTCAGCTCTCTACGATCAATAGTTTTCGAGATATTGAATTTTTTATTCAATCAACATTTCTTTTTTTTAAACAATTGATTATAGTTCATCAACAAATCAATTTTTTATTTAATAAATTAAAAAAAAAAATCTTCCTCGACCCGTATAGTCGAGTTTGTCGTCAAACTCATTCGTCAATAAGAAAATAAAAAAGATCAATGAAAAAAATTTATATTTATTTATTTTTTTTATTATTTTTAGTCAGTACTTTTTATTTTGATTGTATAAGAGTTAAAATTTTATCAACAGAATAAATACTTGAATATTGCATTTAGATATGCCATCCGCAGTAATTTAAAGCCGAGCTTTAGACCAATATTTATTCAATTTAATTGACAGTATGAGCCTCAGGCGTACGATTCAAAGAGAACTTCTAGGACAATGATATAAACTTTATGGAAAATCTTTACTTGTTCCCCAAATACATTAGTAGTTACGATAATCTAAATTTGCATTATACTATCCACATCTATATGTCCTCTATTAAAAGCAATATTGAATATTAATTTTTATTATCATCACTACATCCACGATGTTTAATTAACTTCAATATTTTTTATTTTTAAACAATACTCAATTAAAAAAAAAATTCACACTCTATTATTTTTATTATTATTATTATTATTTTCAATAAGCAGAAGTGTGAAAAAATATGTGTGTGTTTAATCAAAATATGTTTACCTTCTGACTGACTGGATTAAAATTTAAATTAAAAATTAAATAAAAAAAAAAAAAGTTATATTGAACAAACATTTTGTTTGAATGAAAAATTTTTTAATTTTGTTGGCAAATGAGCTGATATACCCCATCTGGTATATTCAACTATTCAATGTAATATGAAATATTTTTCGCTCTAATATTTTTCTTCAAGGATCCTTTTCTTTTTTCTCTTTAACGGAAAGCAATTACGATACTACGGTGCCACTGAGCTAAGATGACTATTTTATTTTCTGTACCTATACCTCTCTGTGGGGTATCGATGTAATCAAAGCCAATTCATCTTATCCAATATTAAAAAAAAAAATAATAACAATAGGAATATACAATACCTAAATTATTATTATTTCCTTCAACATCCTAGGGATTTATTACAAATCCGCCATTTTGTCATCTTTTAATTTTTTTTTGTGCTTATAAAAACAGCTACCGAATTTTTTAAAACTCTTTTCAGATTTTCGATATCTTCAGTGGTTCTCGAGATATCAAAAACGAAAAAAAATCGGACATACGTACGTCCGTTTGTACGTACGTACGTACATATATTTTTAAACCTTCTAATATGTTTTAAAATATCTCAAATCGTAAAGATATGACTAAATTACGATTTTTGAGAAAGAAAACCGGATATACGTACGTACAAATGTACGTACGGACAGAAATATATTTTTAAATCTTTTAAAATGGCTTTAAATGTCTTAGAATGTAAAGAAATGTTAAAATTTTGACAAAATATTAAAATTAAAACAAAATTGTGATAAGCAATTTATTTTCTTTAGAATTTTCTATTTTAACATAAACAATTGACATATTTATATAGTTATTTTTATTTTATTTTCTGTTTCAGATATGGAATAAGAGTAGACCCGTGGGAATGGTATTTATTCCTCAGTGGAAAAAATGATGGCAGTGAGGAGCATCCATCTATTCTATTGATTTGCTGTATGTATTTTTCATTCACTTCACTAAATAATATCGATTAATTCCTGACTAAAATTTATCGGAGTGTTGGTTGATTTTATTAAGTTTTTCTGCAGTTGATAAAACAGGAAAAAAAATAATAATGAAAAGCTAACATCACCTCTTTGATGATACGTTTCAATATGGTATTTTTTATTGGTGTTCTTATTCCTAACTTCACATAGATCTTCTCTCACCTTCGACCCTAGGGTCTTTTATCTTCTGCCATTTATCTCGATCGTAGGGAGTGTTAGAAGTACGTAAGAAATACCCAACAAAAACACACGAGCTATGTTCCACGTGCCTGTGTGGTGTCTAGGAAAAATTCCAATAACATTTGTCATTGCATCGGTTATAAGCTGTGTTGGGAAAGAAGAAGACGATAAAGAATGTTCAGTGTGTTGAAATTTTGTCAAGAAAATGTATTGTAATCATTTCAATTAATTACAGCAGTGAGGATGTTTGCATTTATTACAGCAGTTTTATTTGATGCATATAATTGATATGAAGGTGCTTTGAATGGAGTATTTGTTCACGAAGACAACTGGCATCTGGGTGGAGGAAATTTAAAGTAAAACAGCAATAGCAGTGTGTGAGTTGTTCACAAGGTGTCAATGGGTCATTAGAGTTGTTGGTCATCTAAATATAATTATCGTTTGAAGATGAATCAACATCTAGGTTCCACTTCACAGTGGATGTGTTAGTTGATGAATACACTCAATGTCGCCTGCTTCTGAATCAGTTTTCTCCAGTTCCATCATCAAAAATATCCGTCCATCTATCGACGACTGACTGTTCTTCTTCTGGACGTCCTGGTCATCACTGGAGTCGATCAGTCATGCGTGCACTTTCTTCTATTTATTTTCACTGCTACCTTTTCAGTTCAACTGCTCTTCTACTGGTACTTCTACTCCACTTGCAGTGACTTACCATCTCCCAATCAAAGACTCGTTGATTATAATAACACTGTAGCTGTTCATTCATTGTATTCACAATCAGCTGTTCCAGTCTGTTGTTAGAAAAGCATTCGAAGCCAAAGAGATTTAGGAAGTCTATCACAAATTTATCACCACTGGAAAGAAAAATATCATCAATTATTCTGATTATTTCTTTTTTACATCTCCCTAGTGATATAAACAGAGTTCGTTCCGACATCCAATAATTATTTAATTCAATCTAAAACTTTAGCTTCCATTGTGCTATTCAACAATCCTTCATCTCCAATAAAATAAGAACTTGAGACTTGAATAAAAATCATCCTCTTGATTTTCAATATTCCCTATCATCATCAAGTCGTGTGTTAATTACTGACAATGAGGGATTTAGAGCTGTTAAGAGCTGGAATTGTTATGAATTGAAGAACAAAAGAGTCATGTAATGAATAGAAATAGGAAAAAAAGAATCATTTTATTGGGGAAACAATTCGATGTAAGCTCGTGGCAATTGCATTGTTGGAATGTACTTGTTTCCCCTATTTTTTTCCTTTCAATACCATCCTACTATATAACTCCCTCACTTCCTGCCTCAACTCATTGCTCAAACTATTCTTCTTTCTTTTCTACACATTTTGCTCTCATTATCCATCTTGCTCTCACTCATATCTAGTTAAGCCATGAAACGTCAAACGAACTGGTTGTTACCGCAATTTTACTCGCGTTGTTGCGAATAAAAATCAAACAGAAAATAATAGTAATAATAAAAATAGCCTTCATCTCTTCAATAAAAATGGACGCTTCATTTTTTTTATCTTCTTTCTGTTGGACCCTTTTTTTTTTATGTATCGTTGACTATTATTTTTCGTGTATATTTTCTTCAACGAATCATGAATGCTTTTAGTATGAAACTATTTTTCTCTTTGTGGATGTTGATGTCAATTATTCTATTGCTTTGTATTTTTATACATTTTCCGACGTTGTGGAACTTTATGGGATGGAGTGTCAATGAAGAGGACCCTGCTGCGGTTCCGGGAATTAAACTTTTGTTTATGGAGTTATTTATTGTTTAATTTAGCGGTTGGATGAGATGGGATAGAGGGTGTTTGAGTATTTCGTTGGGAAAGGTTTTGGACAAGGAGATGATTTTATGGACAAGAGTGATTTTTGGGAGATTATGAGCTGTATGTAGGTGTTGGGATGTATTTTTCAGATTTTTGACGTGATTTTGTGTTTCTAGAGGTCGAGAGGAAGAAAATGAGTGGTCGAACTTGAAAATCGGACTACTTTTATTTTTCAACCCCAAAAAATGGCAAGTGGTACCCCTTTCCATTTTTTTTGGCCAAAAAATAAAAGTACTCCGATTTTGATGATCGAGGGCTCATTCTCTTCGTCTTGATGCGTAGAAATGCGGAATCAAGGCAAAGCCCGGAAAAATTCACTTTAACACCCTCAAAAAGGGGTAAAACTAGATACACATTAAAAATCATCATCCCCTTGACTTTAAACCCCTATAATTCATGAACAGAAGGTCCAATAATGTTTTTTAAGAACGTTTTAGAAACCCTAGAATCTAAGCTATATGATGATATCCGCAGATTTATTAGAAAAAATTTATTTACCCCTAAAAATCGTCAAAATATAAAAAAGGTCACATTTTCTAAGGAGTTTGTCAGTTATTTCGGTGATTTTAAGGGTGAAAGAATCATTTTGAAAATTTTTTATGGATATGCATGTTTAGCTTAGATTCTGAAGTTTCTAAATATCTAGTTACAATTATTATTAGATAACTCCGACTTTCCGACAGTTGTCTGTCTTTCACTGAACATATGAAATTACGTACGAAATATTAAATAAAAAAATTTCCTTTATAAAATGATTTTTAATTTGCCTCCTCAGTAACTTAATTTACATGTTAAGTTAATGAAAAAAATTATGTTTATTGTGATGAGAAAAAATCTGGAAAGTCATTTTTATATATTGATTTTATACATAGTGCGTTTAATACCATATTCTAAAGCATTACTTTTGAAATAATTCCAATTGTACTCTTCGATGATTGCCGCTTAAACCACTTTATTGTGCTCACTAAATTGTTATGGATTTTCCATCCAACTGGTCATAAATTTATCAGCAACAATACTCGCAATAGCTCTGCAATAAAAAATAAATTGATGATAAAATAAGGAAAAATATTTTATTTCCATTATTTAACTATCAAAATTTTATTGATAATCATAAAAAGTGTGGTTAGTTTGTAATTATTATTATTGTCAATAAATTAAAGTTAAAATTACTTTAAAAGTACAAAACAACAAGAATAATAAAAATAATCATTTTCTCTCACAGATTCTATGGTACCTGTAACTATGTGCCTTCTTATAGAAAAGGGTCTTGCCTTGGTGAGTAATAAAAAGATAATATTGTCTTTAAATGATTTTCTGAAATGAAAACAGTTTTATTATTTTCTTTTCAATGTAATAGATTCCTTTTTTTAATCAAGTTTTCATTCAATTTATCAATTTTTTTTCTTTCTTTATTAATTTTATAATAATTTTTATAAAATACTTTTGCTTTTTGCTTTCGATTTCTTTTTCAATTATAAAATAACTGTTTCGTACAAATTCTACGAATTTAAGTTAAAAATTATTAGATTTTACAATAAAAAAAAACCAAATTAATTAAAATTTGTTTTATAGAAAATTTTTTATTATTTATATTCTTATTATTTTTTAAATAAATTGAATCAAAACCTCATCAAAACAATGCGGGTAGAAAAGACCCCATTACCACACGCCGTGTGGAAATAATGTTGTTCTGACACTTTAACCTACAAATACTTGTTTTAAATCATTATTTGAAGTAAATTGTTTCACAATCCCAATAATAGAACAATTTTTTTATTTTTCATGAAGTTTGTTTTTCACTAAAGAGTTAAGATAATGAAGTCAGGAATGATCATATTACTTCACGGCGTGCGGTAATATTGTCATCAGAGTTTTTCTATCGAATTTAAGATAAAAACAAACGTTTAAATCGAGAAGTAACACTAGGATATTTAAATCATAAATTACTTTTTGTATAAAAATTTTATAAATTTTAATTAAAATTTACTTGATTCTCAAATAAGAAAAAAACTTCATTAAAATTTGTTTCGTGAAAATTTTTATCTTTTATGATAATTAAAAAAATGATTGAGTAAAGTATAAAAATTAATTGGAATAAATAAAAATAAATATGAACATTTACTTTTATATATTGAAATCGTTTTGCTTCTGGAGAAGTCACAGCAAAAATATGGTAAAAATATGCAGAGTTAAGCAAATCAATGGAGGAATTGTGAGTTTGAAAGGATTTTTCACATGTTATAATTTAGCTTGGAGCGTTAATCTGAAAAAACAAAATACGCATGTTGTTGAGATAAAAAAAAAAAAAAAAATTGAAAAAAAAAAAAAAAAATAAAAAATAAAATACATGCTCTGCAAACCGGAAACCAACTAACCGGATTACATTTCGTTGATGAATATCCCGAAGTATGCCCTGAGGAAATCCACATAAATACCTTTACGCTGTTGTTCCTACTTTACAAAGAGAACTATATATACAATACATTCTATCTTGCAATCTTCTGTAATCTGAAGTTTAATGAGTAAATGTTTTGTTGCACAAAATGAGAAAATTCAATTATTAAAAGTACATGGGATTATTTTCTGCAACATGTTCGAGTAATACTTATTGATGATGCTGAAGTATTGACTTCTAGGTAGTCATCAATACTTTACCCATCAATTATGTCTAGCATCATGTTTTCTATCTTTCATGAGCTAAGAAGCAGGATTAATCTAGTTCTGGTCCAATCCTAGACCTGGTTGATGCCAAGTCCAACTCTGATCCAACATAGAACTTGATGCTTGGTCTAGTGTTGGACCTAGACTGGACCAGTCTTGCTTCCATCTAGATCTCCACTGTTAAATATAATAAATATTCTCACCTGACTTTAGCAAACTTACTTTTCTTTTCTTGCCTCCCAGGACATAATCGAGCATGGTCCAGGAACAGTCTTCCACGTAATCAATCTGGTGGTGATGGTGATGATGCCGATGGTAATTATACACGTCAAGGGTTCCGGATTTAGTTTGAGTAAGCATTGCTGAAAGCTTTACGTATCGTTTCTCTAAACTGTCAGACAAGGTCGATAGAACTGAGGGAAAGGTAACAGACAGTTGAACGGTGACTATGTAAATGTAAACGGCCCTGTGGTCTACCATACTAGTCTCTACTTGCTTTCGTATTCCGGATATTCTAGCATGTTACGCGGAGTTGAAGCTTTTGCATCTAGGGTCAATCGTACCACGTCTATTGTATCAAGGAACTCGGAACTAATTTGCCTAAATTGTGCCTCCACCCTATTCTAGAGTATGTTCTCTTGACTCTAGTATTTTACCACATTCCCATGTTTTAATTAACCAAACGAATCGAATTGAAAAATCGACATTTCGATATAAATAAAAACAAAAAAGCCTCTAGACCATGCGTCTTTTTTTAACTCTTCCACTCTCAAATTCCTCGCGTGCTTCAAACTGTCTTTTAGGGAGTTTAATTAAAATCAGCTTTGTAAAGTTTTGTGATACGTTGATTGTTTAAGGTTTGATTGAATTTTTGTTTTTTTTTTTTTTTTTTTTTTTGCATGTTATTTTTTTGTAAACGTCAAACTTACTTATCACAATGAATAAGAAAATTCAAAATGAAATTAATTTTTAATATTACTCTTTGATAGTTTCTTATTAAATGCATAAACTTCAACATATATATATATATATCTTTCTGGATGAAAAGTTTTTAACTACGGAGTATTATTCTCTCGTCATAGTGTATTCTCTCCATTTGACAGAGAATGTGTCATTCACGTTTACATGCAAATGCAATTATTTCGCGTATCCCGAGATAGTGTCGTTGGACCGGTTGCAGCTGCTTCATCTACACGTCGTGGCAAATGATCATCGAGTGACATGCACATCCGTTTGAATTTCAATGCCTGGCATAAGTGAACAGACAAACTAGCGTGCTGTCAATCATTAACTTTGTATTATGTTGATTTTAAAGAATTTCTCATGAATTCTTTCTATCTTTTCTGACAGTTTAGTTATTTTAATTTTAAAAAAAGAGAAAAAATATATTAGGAAGGTGGGGAAATGATTCTATTCCGGCATTTTAACCTATAAATATTTATTCTGAACTATTTTTTTATTTTCTCTTTATCCTTAATAATTTTTTTTTTTCGTGACACATGTGTTCGATTGAAAGGTTAAGGTGACGAAGCTAAGAATGATCTTATTACCACACGCCGTGTGATAATATTGTTATTCTGACATTTTAACCAAAAAATACTTGTTTTAAATCATTACTAGGAAAACTGTTTGATTAATTTAAATACGTCGTTAGATGAATTGGCGGCAATTTGAATTTTTCCAAATGAATAAATCATTTTACATCAACACACACTCGAGCATAAGCAGTACATTATTGATCTCTAGTTAAAAAAGTTACCATCAAATTCGCGTGAAAAAAATTAGCTGATACATTCGAGAAGTCACAAAATTTCACTTATATACTTATCAAATTTATATCTAAGTATGTTTCAAACTCTTTGCTCATCTTCAGCTGTATACTCGACCTTTCAACGTTCAAAAAGAACTTGTGTATGCTTGCATGCACTCAGAAACATCCTTACTTACTTAAAGACTTGAAAGTCTTCTTTCTCATAAAACTAGGAAGTAAAGTCTCTTCTACATTACAGTCGAATGTTTGGATTTTTTTCTTTCTACTAAAAGATGACTTTAAGGAAGTAAAAAGGATCGGCAAGCTCACGCTAAATATCAATAAAAGCTTCTTTTTTTTTATGTATCATTCGAGCTGTGAGCTGTTGGTACTTATTTGAAACTAGTTCAGGATAAATAATTAAAAAGTATTTAATAAATAGTAAATTGCGATGAAAGCGAGAAATAGTGATGTCAATACAGATATGAATTTATCACTGTAATATTGCTGACAAACTCATTCTAGATACTGAAGCTTTCGAAAATTGAATAGCCTACGGGAACTTCTGGTATTCAAAGCTGTTATCAAGTTTGCAGTTGTACCACAAAAATTCCCTCTCCGTCAGAAGTAAATCTAAGATCCATTTAAATGATTTGCTATATCTATTTTGTAATCAAAGAATGCTTTTTATCTTTTGATCAATGAGATTTATTTAATCATCAGTATTGGAAATGTAACTTTACAAAATGGTTTAATTAACAATTGGTTTAGGTTAGCTTACTTACAACTGATTCTAAACCGGGAAATGAATTCAATTCAGAAAGAACTTTTTTCTGCGCCGAAGTCAGTGTTTCAATACCTTTTTCATTAACAATTGTGAGAAGTTTTATTATCGGTGATAGCGATAGTTTATTATCTAATTCAGTTTTTTCTTTGGTACTTTTTAAATCTTCTAATGGTTTGACATCATCCACTTCTTTGTTTCTTGACAGAGAAACCGATTGTTTTAGATGTTGACCTTGGACTCCGGAATGTTGATCACCTTGATCACTTGATGATGATGATGAGCTATAGCTGGTACTGCTTGATTTCTTATGCTTTGTTATTCCCGATTTTCTAATAGATTTACTTGACTCTCCTTCTTCTTCATCTTCTCCATTCTGCTCATCAAGAGCTGAGTCTTCATCTTCCGTATCATCATTTTGGTCATCATCTTGATCACTTGATGAAGATGAGCTATAGCTAGTACTGCTTGATTTCCTATGCTTTGTAATTCCTGATTTTCTGGTCGATTTATTCGACTCCCCTTCTTCTTCATCTTCTCTATTCTGCTCATCAAGAGTTGAGTCTTCATCTTCCGAATCATCATTCTGGTCATCATCTTGATCACTTGATGATGATAAGCTGTAGCTGGTTCTGCTTGACTTTCTATGCTTTGTAACTTCTGATTTTCCAACAGGCTTCATTAAATCTTCTCCATTCTGCTCATCAAGAGCTGAGTCTTCATCTTCCGTATCATCACTCTGGTCATCATCTTGATCACTTGATGAAGATGAGCCATAGCTGGTACTGATTGATTTTTTATTCCTTGTAACTCCTAATTTTCCAACAGATTTATTCAAATCTTTTTCCTCTTCTTCATTTTGCTCATCAAGAGCTGAGTCTTCATCTTCTGAATCATCATTTTGATCATCTGATAAGGATGAGCTATACCTCGTCTTACTTGTCTTACTACTAGCACGATGCTTCTCTTTTAATATGTTATTACTATTAAGTCCTTTGTTAACCATAGCTGAAACTGATGGTTTCAGTCGTTTAAATCCACCATTCTCGTTATCGTCTTGATCGTTTGACGACGACGAGCTGTAGCTGGTTCTGATTGACTTCTTATGTTTTGTAAGTCCTGATTTTATCGTATGCTTAATCGAATCATCTTCTTCTTCCTGTTCATCTTCTCCATTCAGCGTATCAATAACCGTATTTCCGTCTTCTGATTCACCATTTGATGATGATGAGCTAAAGCTAGATCTACTGGTCTTGCTAGAATGGAGTTTATTTTTAGATACACCATTGTCATCATGTCGTTTTTTAATCTTACCAAGAACCAGTTGTTTTAGATCTTTGACTACTGAATCTTGAGCACCCTGATCACTTGATGATGATGATGATGAACGATAGCTGGTTTTGCTCGATTTTATGCTAGAACTTTTTGCTCTTTCTTCATCATCATCGTCATCTTGCTCAGGTTCTTCTTCTACAGTCATTTCTGAAACTTGTGGGTCTTCAGATTCGCCATTTGATGAAGACGAACTGTACCTGCTGCTCCTTAACTTTTTATTTTTTGTAACTCCCAATTTGACAACAGGCTTTATTAAATTGGATTCTCCTTCCTGTTCTATATCTCCAGTTAGCGTATCAATGATCGAATCTCCGCGTTCTGGCTCATCACTTGATGAAGATGAGGTATAGCTAGTGCTACTCTTTTTCTTGTTTGAACGATTTCTATTCCTGGACATACCACTATTATCTATATCTATATCAGCTATTACAGGAACTTCTAGGTGAACACCATTGTCTACTTCTATGTCACCTATCGCAGGAACAGCTAGGTGTAGATCTCCAACTCCTGAATTTTGGTCGTCTTGATTACTAGATGAGGATAAGCTATAACTGCTACTACTTGACTTTTTATCCTTTTTAAATCCAGACTTTTCAATAGGTTGATTTAAATCTTTTTTTTCCACGATCGAATCTTGACCTTCGGATCCATCATCTGATGTTGATGAAGTATAGCTAGAACTACCAGATCGTTTCTTTGAACCATTCTCATGTTCGTTACTTCCAGAAACTTCCTTATCCTTTACGACTGAAACTGATTGTTTCAGGCCTGAGAGTCCTGAATTCTGATCCTCTTGATCATTTGATGACGACGAACTAGAGCTGCTCCAACTCGATTTCTCAATTGTTTCGCTTCCCTGCTTATTAGTTTTAGGAGCCTTCTGACTTATATCTGGAATGGATTGTTTCAAAACTTGATTTTCTAAGTTGCCATTATCATTGAGTGTTTTCGTGTTATCGCTACTGCTCGACTGATGGCTCAAATATTCTTTATGCCCATTATTTTCTGAATTATCATTTCGACTCTTCTTATTGTCATTGACATGCACATGATTCGTTAATTCTTCACCTCCTTTTGAATTTTGATCATTCGAAGATGATGATGATGATGTGCTGTAGCTTCTACTAGACGATGTCTTATCTGTCAATTTCTCATGTTTATTATCACCTAGGCTCTTTTTACGGTCAGATGTTTCATCGTTTTGTTTTGATACAATTTCTACAATTTTTTTAGTAACTTTTTTTTCTTCAACCGCTTTATTTTGTCCACTGCTATCTTTTGATTGCTCTAAACCTACTAAATCTAGCCCAGAGTATGTTTGATGTTCAGCATCATTATGTGATGATGAAGCACTTTCACTATTACCACCTGTAATCAATCCTAGGTTATTTACATCTCCGTTGCTTGCATCAGATTTCATTCCTACAACTTTTACTGACTCTTCAGGTTTCTTGTCTTTCAAACCTTGATTTACATTAGAATTGTCATTTGATGTTGATGAGCTACTGAATTTGCTGACAGACTGCTTATTATTTTTATTTTGTACACTTTCATTATCAGTAGATTTTTCTATATGTTCAGTAGAACTTGTTTCTACTCCTTTCGTTGACTTTTTATCATCTTGATTATTCACATTGCTTTGATATAGACTTTCACCAGAAATCTCTTTTGTTGCCTGTTCGTCAACTTCTGAGGATTGCGTCACTTCTCTATTAGATCCAAATACTTCTTCTAGTATCTTTGGATCAATATATGGTCGTTGACCGGCACCTGAAGTCACATCAACTGATCTTTTCACGCCTTTTGCAGTTATCTTTGAGTCCTTTTGATCGTTTGTTAGGGCTTGTTTTATATCTCCATTGGATCCAACAACTTCTTCCGATATCTTCGAATTAACAAATGATTTTTGATCGGCACCTAAATTATTATTGACTGATGTTTTTACATCTGTGTCTGTTGTTTTTGATTCGCTCACTATTGCTGATGTTCTCGGATTCAAATCTAGCCCATGGGGTACCTGATTGACTTTTGAATTCTCATCAACCAATTGCTCCTTATATTGAGTGTAACCAGGTTGGGTTCCATCAAAATCTGAATTTCCATCGTCTATGTTATCAACGTTGCTATTGATCTCATTAATGAGTTGAGCGAATTGTGGGTCTGACTCTAAATTACCATATCCTCGTCGTTGCGTCCACGACAATAACCGAGACATTTGTTCTTTAAGAAGTCTAATCTTTTCTTGGCGAAGACCACGTTTCAAATGATGGCGTTTTTCGAGATGACGTAATTTTTCGGAGACTTTGTACAGTAAACAACGTGGGTCATTAAGTCTTCCTGGACCAATTAATACATCAAATTGATGGATCCATGAAGTAATTTGGGCAAGCAAGTCTTCATTAGCGTAAGCTGAATCATATCCCCCACCAGCTGCTTGTTCAACTAATGATGAACCTCCAAATTGACCGTTTCCCATTATCAAGTCGCAATTTCTATTAATATCTTCGAATAGTTGGTCGCATTGTTGCCGATTTTTTTCGTAAAATTGGGCACCATCTTTCTGTTTCAATGCCAGCAAATCACCTATACATTTCATAACCATTCCATATTCCATCCCATGACGACCGTCCTTGAAGAACACATCAGAATGATCGCAAATGTGCATCAGTTTACGAGAGATTTCTGGCATTAATTTACTATGAGAACCAAGTAATCCAAACAATTGATTCTTGATAAAACTTAATTGTCCAGTTAGACCGAGATTCAAGAAATTCAGACGAGCTACATCACCAGATGAACCTCCAAATTGAACATTTCCCATTATCAAGTCGCAATTCCTATTAATATCTTCGAATAGTTGGTCGCATTGTTGCCGATTTTTTTCATAAAATTGGTCACCATCTTTCTGTTTCAATGCCAACAAATCACCTATACATTTCATAACCATTCCATATTCCATCCCATGACGACCGTCCTTGAAGAACACATCAGAATGATCGCTAATGTGCATCAGTTTACGAGAGATTTCTGGCATTAATTTACTATGAGAACCAAGTAATCCAAACAATTGATTCTTGATAAAACTTAATTGTCCAGTTAGACCGAGATTCAAGAAATTTAGACGAGCTACATCACCAGATGAACCTCCAAATTGAACATTTCCCATTATCAAGTCGCAATTTCTATTAATATCTTCGAATAGCTGATCGCATTGGTGCCGATTTTTTTCATAAAATTGGTCACCATCATTCTGTTTCATATAGATTAATAGAGCTATGTTTCTCTTCAAAAGATCATACTCTCTTTCATGATGGCCATTCTTCAAAAATTTATTGGAATCTTTGCAAACAAATCGTATTTTGTCTAAGATTGATGGTATTCGTTCATTGTAACGAGCATAATCTGATCCTCGACCAAAGAATCTTAATAAAAGGTTCTGTATGATATTTCCTTGGCTGAGTAAATCTGAGTTTAAGAATTTTCCACCAAATATGCGACCAATAAGTGACGAATCATGTTGAGCATTGACATTAACACCTACGTTGTTACCGAAATTCGTTTGAAGCCCATTTGTTTCTGCTTGTGGTATATAACTCTGACCAGGATAACGATATACAAATGATTGACTAGGATTAACGTAATAGCGTACGTTACCTCCGAAACCCTGATCAAATCCATTTTGACTTGCGTAGCCTCCACCACCACCACCACCTCCTATGATTTGAAGTGGTTCTTTAACTGGGTCATGTCCTAAAAATCCCTCTACAATGTTTAGAGGTTTACGAATAAGATCGGATCTTCCAAAATGTCCTTCATCATCACCTAGGAAAGATCGCAACAGTGAACGTCTGTGTCTGCTGTGACCTTCACCATGATCCTCACCTCCTTCCCTGTTGATAACAGCACCTTCGACGAGTATGGATGCCATAATGAATGAAACTAGCCTAGACACATTCAGAGAAATTCCATTATCTTTTAATACATCGTTTTAACAAACAATTAATTCAATTATTAGAAGAAAAAAATTGATAATTCAATAATAACTTACATTATGACTCCTCGTATCTTTTGATCTAGATTGTGAGCTTTCATTTTTTTTCAACTTCAGTTAATTACAATCAGAATAGCGGCACTTGATAGATATTTTTTTTTCTCAATAATTTCTTCAAAGTTTTCTTCTTTTTATATGAATTGATAAGAAATATTTTACAATAAATTTTTTTATTATTACTGTCAATCGTGTTGGAGCGATAGGAAAAAATGTAATAATATTTTTTATTATTATTTTTATGAGAACGTTTTCTTCTTATTCTAGAAAATTCTTTACGATATTAATAAAAAAATGTAATAAATAAATCCGATAAGTATTGATGAAAAATATTAGCTACTATTTTTTTTAAAAATTCATTTATATTTCAATTAAATATATTTTATGAATTGTTTTTAAAATAATTATACATCTTTTGATTACATCAAACTATAATAAGCTATGAGGACTATTATAGTGCAGTTTCAAGGTCATTCAATTGGTATAATTATAGGTTATAATGTCAATCTTATTTATGAATTTACATAGATACATGAAGTTAGCCAATAATCGATATGTATTCAAAAAGTGAGTGACTTTTTTCTTATTGGTTACAACATTTAAATCATTATCCAATCATCAGCGTGCATTTAAGGCGCGCAATCAGGCAAACAATCGAAAATGTAAATACTTAAAAAAAATTTTCCAATAAATTTTTCGTGATTATTTTTTATTATCTGTTTGAAATATTTAAAAATTTATCTTCAAACAACAAAAAAATTTTTATATCATTTTAAGTATTATTTTATCAATTCCTCATCGTGACGTAAAGAACAAATATTTTTGAAGGTTAACTGAAAATCAAACTGACTCAATTCTGCAAAAAGATATAAATTATTCGCAATAGATTGCTAAAGAAAATGTAAAGTAGATAACATGAGCAGAAAAAAATGAAAGAGAGTGAGAGAGATAAGAAACAAATTATGTCAAAAAACGACGAAACTAACTCTCCCCTGACTTCAAACGAGAACGGACTCGACGTACCGTGAAATTTCGCTAACGGAAAAGTGTAGATGTGCTTGAGTGTGGAAGTAGATGCTCGTATTACGTACGGACTGTAGAAGTAACTACGAATATAGTTTGCACTCTACGTCTAGACTACGCAAGTATTGCGTATAATTTTGTGCACACCAGTAAAATCACTGGTCTTGTGAATGCGCAACTGGGATTAAAGATGTCATGGATAAGGGATTATAATATTTCATTCGTTTAAAAGAAAACAAAAAAAAATATTCACTCATGATTGGAGTTTATTTTTTAATGATATTAATAAACACTAGAGTGCGCAGTAATGATTAGAAACTAATTTGAATTTTTTAACCAATCAGAAATCAGTCACTCACAACTTCGATATATATCGATTATTGACTAACTTCACACGTCCATTTAAACTCACAAATAGGATTACCAACCAGCGGTAAGTGTTAATATTATTTTTTGTGATATTATCAAGCATCATTATCATCCAATCATTGATGTACAATAAAATCTAGTGCTATTTATAAATTTATTTAGACACATGAAGTTGGCTGATAATCGAAATATATCGAAAAGTGAGTGACTGATGTTTTATTGGTTGAGGAATTCAAATTGTCATCCAATCATCACACTTTTTGCCCATAATGTATTCTAGAAATAATAAAAAAGACTTGGAAAGTGGTTCAGAATCCTAGAAGAATCTAGAATTTTTTTTCTCCACTTTCAGCATTTTTTTTTTCAGTAGAATAGAGGTTAGAAAAAATTTTTTAGATGTTAAATAACAATCGTAGAATTGTTTGAAAAAAAATTCCAAGTGTAGAGATATATTTTTATTTGCATTGCATTAGAATTTTTATCCCAGTATAAAATAGCAATTGGATTGAAATCGTGTTAAACTTTAGTTTTGTGGTAATACTAGCAATATATTCAATGGAAGTATGTACACATATTTCGTGAGATAAAATCTATACTCCACGAGAAATCTACTAGAGGATAATGTACACATTATACCATTAAATTAGTAATGTAAATCGGCCTAAGCAGTGAATTATCATGGAAATGCGAGATAAGGAAAAGGAAATAGTTTGCAGAGACTGAAACAACTGAGATACCAAGCGGAAAATTCTCCGAGTTATCAATTGTTAAACTTAAATTGTTCATTAATCCATAAGAAAGAAAAAAAAAAATAAAACAAAATAAAAAATACTTAGTCAACAAAAAAAAACAAATTTCAATATCAAAAGTTATAATTTATGCAAAAATATATTTTTTTTTTTTTTAAATATTTATTAAGTAATTTTAATTTTTTATGGTGTTACCATAATTTAGTGTAAACAAATAAATTCTCAAAATGGTAGTTATAATCGTGAGCATGTATTTCTGGAATTGTAAGTGAAATTCCTGGTTAACCAGATTCACTCGAGAAACTTGAATAATTTCCACGTACAGCTGAAATTATTCCAATATTATTGATTTTGAATTCCCGAGATATTCGATAGAATAAAATACAGAAGACTAATATACGTTATTCATAAGTCGATAAGAAATTACATGAATGTTTCATTAGAATGTATATTAGTTCATTTGAAAAATCATCATCATCATCTAAATAATTTCATTTTTAACAAGCACATAATTAAGACTGTACTATCAGAGGAATGATCTTCATAATATTTCCTATAAAATCAGAAATATCAGTATTATTTTTCTTCCAAAATGTCGCCTTTTTTTACCGAATTGTTTGAACAAAATTATTCAAACAATTGAGCAAAAGGCGGCATTTGTTTGAATAAATGCAAGTAATAAACGAAAAAAAAACACGAACAAATTTTTTTTAGCTATGCTACGGATCCAATAGTGAATTTAACGATATCTACTGTAGATTCATCGTGGGTTTTAATAGATAATCAAAATATTTAGCATAATTATCCCAAGATAGATTTAGTTATTAATCACCGACTTGATTTCACTGAATCCCAATACTCTAAATAAATTTACTGGCTATAATTTAGATTGTAGGGTGTAATTCGCTACTTATGTCGCGACAAATCCCTTGGCGAGAGCAACTGAGTTTCTCGCAAGAAACGTTTGCTACTTTCTGGCACAGAATTCAACTGGCAAGGAAACGTAATCACTAGCATGAGTTACTGTGCGTAAAACTACCATCTTGGCAAACCTCACGCATTTATTCTCAACTTTAATTTCTTGCTTTACCCTCTTTCTGTCTATTTTTTTTATTACTTTTTACCCTCTAAGTTAATATCAACCGTGTAAACTATTTTCTTGTTCTTTTGACAATTTTATACAACACTATAAACATCTGATTTATTATTATCATCTTCTTTTATGATGCCATCCATTAAATGAGACTCTCTTTTTGCCATGGAAATCAGTGGATCAATTATAAAAACTTGAAGAAAAAAATCACACCTGTCCTAGAAGTATCTTCTATCCAAGAAGAAGAAAGAGTTCACCCGAATAATTCCCTGGAAAAAATATTTTCCTTTTTCCTCGTATCGACAGAACCCAGCGAATAAATCGAATTCTAATACATGTGAGCAAATAAATATAAGACCAAAAAATGTTGAGAGTTGGAGCATGAAACGACGCGACGATTGCACGTATAAGAATGAGGTAGCGGCTATTCCTCAGTTACGATCCAGGTTTATATATATAGAAAGAAAATAACGGAAGGAACGAACATGGAAAATTGAGAAACTATTTTCTTCGCTTGGGAAAGTTGCCGGTGTGTATGTATAAGCTGAACAACGTGCTATATAAGATGGTCGTTGTAGGTACGATACTATCTTGATACACGTGCTAGAGTTATCGATAAAACATACTTTGCGACTTCTAGTTATTTTGTACTTCCGACCTTTATCATAATACGATAAAGAGTGGGTAAAAAATATCTAGTTGTATCTATTGGAATAAAATAGCTTGGGAATGATGTCAAGTTGGAATCATCCTAGCAATTGGGACAGTCCAGATGTCAAAATTACCCAGTTGGAGATTAAAATGATCATCATCATTGGATAAGATGAATGCATGGAAGCATTGGTGATGGAAAGGAGTTCATGAGAATCAGGAATCATTGCTAGTAGAGTGATCTTGATGGGAAGCATGATTTAGTAAGTGGTCCATTCTTGGTCCAACATTTTTATTAGTCTAGGATCATTGGTACTTTCAATTGGGCTATTTTTAATCAATACTCTTTCCAATACAAAGAATATTATTTATTACAAGCAAATATGATTTTTATCATCACCACGTGATATTAAAATTCTATTTTTCTTCTTCCAGTTGGTGCTCTCTATGTCTCCATGCTCTACGCAGTGCTTTTCCTCAAACTCTGGTCCTACGTCCAAGTCAATATGTGGTGTCGTCTGAGCCAAAAAAATCACTCGTCTCAAAATAGAATACGAAGACAATCTCTATCCTACAATGATTTGCAATGTAAGTACATTAATTACTTTTTTTTTTTGCTCTTTAAATAAACCTGATTGCCTGACATGTGTACACAAACGAAGAAACAACAAATTGTCGTTATATTTGAAAAAAAAAAAGGGAATGACTGAAATAAATTTTAAACGGTTGTAGTATTGTAGGGGATTAAATGAGACAGATATAGAGTAATCATAAAGCTCTTGCACGTTATTGCATGTCACCAAGTCATTTTATTCTGAATGAGTTTCTGAAAACGTTCACTCTATTTCAGAGAAAGTCAATCAGACCAAACGATCGTCGCGTGATGTTCCGATTCTCTGTATATCTTACTATCCGTTCTAAAAAATATATAATTTCGTATTAAATATTTAAGCAGAGGAACAAACTCCCTTAATAATCAAAACCAACCTTTTATCTTATTTCGTTGGATCTCCATGACCATCAACAACATAATTATTCTCCTGGTCATCAACATTCTCCATTTTCTACACGGAAATAATTTCATAGGGAATTATTACTAGCAAGATTAGAGTAAAATTTACTAGTCAAAAAAATTACTAGATATTTTTGATTATAATACTTAAAAATTTTTACCAACCAACTAAAAAAAAATCTAGTAATTTTTTCGGCTAGTAAATTTTACTCTAATCTAACTAGTAATAATTCCTAGGTAATTTTTTCACCAGTTTGTCTAGATCTCGAGATCGAAACAGCACCAATCAAATTGATCCTTTAATTAATTTACCTTTAAACCACTTCCGGTTGTTATCAAGTTGAATCTCCAATTCTATCAATGCATCTTGTAGTTGCAATTGAAACCAATAGACAAAGAAACTGGGGAGGAAACGAAAATAAAAAAATAAAATACCCTAGAAGAAAGAATGAAAGAAACGAAGGAATCTCGCAAATTAACTTGAAAGCTCCAGCTTTCGACAACGAGCTTTCTTGGTAAGAACAAGCGTCGGCAATTTTCGCCAGGCAATTGCGGATGCCCTTAAATTGTGGAACGCCAAAGACACACCCATAGGTACACGAATAATCCCCAGATCTTTCAGTCTAATAGGTTTTAAAGGTATATATATATATATATATGTATGTGTAGATGAAGAGAGAGAAAGAAAGATAAATTAGTGGCAGAAAGCCAAAATTGGAAATTTCATCCACTCTAATTGCTATATAATAAAATGATGATATTAAAAGTATCTAAGATTGATGCCGGCAAAAATTAATCGACTGATCTTGGGTGGTTTAGACTCATCAACATTACAAGAAAAAGCAACAGAAAATAGTTAGGAACATGGAGAAAAGATTCTTGGATTTTTACTGGGATCAATGTGCTGAAGAACTCAACTACAAAATGTTAAATAGGAAATTAATGTACTCAACAAATGGTTCACTTTCCCCTATCTTGTTAAATCTAATTAAAACAATAAAAGCTCGAATAATTTTTTAGAATGTTATCTGATTAGTTGGCAGGCAATATCATAAGTAATATGACAGAATTAATTTTAATTTTTTTTTCCAAACAGGAAGAAAAGAATGTAACTTAAATAGTTTAATGTTAAATTCCTTTTTTCCAACAAAGACTCGATGACATACTCTATCGCATTTTCGTGAGCTCAGAGATAAAGTTAAATATTCTGTTAGACGTGTAAGACATGTTGAAGAATAGTGTGAGTTTGATCGAATGCAGAAGGTGCTACTTTATACGTGCTGGTGTGAGTTAGAAGCTAAAATCTACTTTAATGTTGTTCTTTTCATATTTACCAGAAACTTTTTTTTCCTCCAAATTTTGTTTCACGAATATTCATTCCGTCTGGATACTTTCTCTGTTTTATATATTCCATTATCCGCTATTTAAAAATCCATTTATCAAACAACTAGAAAAAATAATATCATTCTATTTATTAATTTATAAAACAATTAATAATTTTATAGGTTCAGGAGTTATTCCTTGTAGTATTGACCGAGTAATAGTGATCAGTTTTTGGGCGTACCTAAAAAAGGCCCAATTGGAGCTTGAAAAATATTTTTCAGACCCAAAAATATTTTTTAAGCCTATGGTAAGCCTAATTTAAGCTCAAAAATATTTTTCAGGCCCACAACACGTCCGATCTAGGCCTAAAAATATTTTCCAGGTCGATAAGAGGCCTAATCAAGGTCTCAGAATATTTTTCAGGCCCACAACACGTCCAATCCGGGCCTAAAAATATTTTACAAATCCATAGTAGGCCTAAAAATATTTTCCAGGTCCATAATAGGCCTTATCAAGGTCTAGAAATATTTTTCAGGCCTCTAACAGGCCCAAAAATATTCTAAACCCTTAAAAAAACAAATTACAATTAAAACTAATCATTGAATTAATTTTCATGCTATAAATTTACAGTTGTAATAATTTATTGTCATCATTGATGAATACAATCTTAGAGAATGGGCTTGGATTGGGCATACTATGGGCCTAAAAAGTATTTTTGGGCTTGAATTGGGGACCTTCGGAATTCAAGTGTGTATAAGGCTTGTTTGGGCCCTGAAAATATTTGTAAGATAAAGAAGGGCTTCAATCGAGTCTGTATTGGACTTTTTTTTATCATTTTAGATGTATTTTAGGCCTCTTTTAGGCCTATTCAGTTGAACTCGGGTGATTAAAAAAAACAAAAAAAATATTCCTAACGAGATAATTGTATAAATGAATTAATATTCAGCAAGGCATCTGTTAATAAAAATAAATATTTCTGTAAACGACAAGAATTCATGTTAAAATGTGAGCAATAAAGAAAATGTTGAGAATTTCATTGAAGGAAAATGCTTGGCGCTCGTTACATCGTTGGCACGAAAAGCAGGCGTCGAAAGCTTGAGCTTAAGAGTTGAAAAGCACTACTAACTATACAAGGATGATGGTAAGACGTCGACAACAACAAAAAGTAGCTACGAGAGAGAAGAAAAAGAAGGAGGAGGGAAAAAAATAATATAAAAAAGAAACGTAAAAGCAAAGGATGAAGATTCCTGACCCCTTCCCCTTGAACCCAGGAGGTAAAGGATAGGCATCCTTGGCGCGTTGTTGCTGTAATCCCTTGCTATCTTGTCGTTCGAAGATATTCTCGGGTAGGAAGGTGAGGTATAAGCTGGTGTAGAGATAAGAAGAAAGATGCGGGATATAAAGTAAGATAAGGGGGTAAAGAAGTAGGGGAGTAAAAGAGGTAAAATTTCTTAAAGTTTTTTGATCGAGATCAGGACTGGTGAAATGTGCATTGGATGCCCTCTATCCAATCTTGTCCTTATTTGAATTCCAGATTGAGATTATCTGACGGATTTGGATAATTGAAGAAATTCTATCAGTAAGACAGGTGTGCACTTTGAGTTTGAATCAATCATTTTTCTATATTTTTTACTTTACTTTCATCGAAACTCGAAATAAGAATTATTAAGTTAGGCAAATTCATTGAGAACAAAGAATCAGAATCTTATACATATCAATATCTCAATTCAACACAGTGAGGTAAAGAAAAGTTGTGGAATTTTTGATTAAAAATGATTTTTAATTAATAAATATTTTATAACAATAAAAGAGTCTTAATTACAAACACATTAGTGGTTTTATAATCAATTAATTTTATTATATCATAAAAAAATATTTGTCAACAGTTAAGAAGCTTTCTTTATCATTAAAAATTTCTTCTACACTGATAGAAGGATTTCTTTGAATGTAAAATAATTTATTTGCAGCTAACAAATATATTATTAAAAAAAAAATCTAATAAATGTTTGTTAATAGTTAAGAAATTATTCATTAGGGTAGATTTATTTAGTTCAAATAAATGATTTCTTAGCTGTTACCAAATATTTCTTTCCTACCCCAAAACTATGATTCAACTCCGGGGATATATTTTTGTAATGACTTAGCAATGAATCAACTAACAACATAATTATTATTCTTTGTAAATATTAAAGTCAAAAGTATTATACAATACAATAATGACTCCGTAATTCTTAATATTTATAATTATAATATTTGTAGGTAATAAATCTTATTTGCTTAGCTGTCTGATATTATTATATTTATAAAACCATTAAAAATTCACACGAAATTAAATGGTTATAATGTAATTATCTCGTCGAGTTATTGTTTAAAAGAAAATATTAATTTTAATCATTACGAATTCGTTATTTTTTATTTAATAAAAATTTTCAATAAATAAAAGTTATTTCATAATATAACCAAACATTTGATTATGCTTGACCATCATTCTACTTTACTATCGAGTCCAATCATAGTATTTAGATGAGAAATAAATATTTGTCAACAGCGAAGAAATCATTCATTGAGCCAAATGAATCTATTCTAATAAATAATTTCTTAACTGTTAACAAATGTTCATTCGATTTCTCTTTCAAATAACATATTTATTAGCTGCTAATAAATTGTTTTTTTTTCTCCTTTTGTCTGCCCCGCCTCCCCTGCACTTAGCCACGGGGCCATTGTACTGGGTCCAAACTTATGGTAAAGGCGGTCTTAGGTGGGTTGGTACAGACCGGCCTCATAGCAAAACTGCAGAAGCCTGTCCGTCCCGACCGTCTCGAGAATGGGTGCGTCGGTTCCAAAGTTCCCTAACAGGCGCTGCCTGGGTTCCCTTAGCCCCATTCCCTTATCATGTGGAGAGGCGTCTCCTCTTCCTCACCACACCACCGGCACGCGGATTCCTCTCCGCGTCCCAGCATCTTCATATGGCATCGAGTTAGCCAGTGCCCTGTGACGGTGCCCACGGCCACTCTTAGCCTTCTTTTATCCAGTTCGATCAGGTCCCTACTCACTTGAGTTGTGGGTTCCCTGACGAACGCTCTGGTGTGCCTCATCCCCGAGGTCTCCGCCCAGTAGCTGGTGAATCTTTTGTGCATAATAAATTATGTTAGATAGAAAGAAATACTTCTATCTAGTGTATCAGTGTAGTTTTAACACGAATTTTTCGTCAGGTCCTAGAGCATAGCCATCATAAGTATGATGATATTTAAAAACATGATGTCAAAATAACAAATGATTGTCTAGTACTTTCTATTGTATTTCATCCGTCAAAATGATAACAATAAATAACTGGAATATTTTGTTTCATTTCAGCATCATCTGTCCATCAGAATGACAATGATGAGGATATTCTTCATGATGGCACTGGTATTCCAGTTCTAGTTAAATATCCAGATAATCTCAATATCCGTGATCTCATATACTTCCTGTTGGCACCAACGCTCTGTTATGAATTGAATTTCCCTCGAACAGAGAGAATTCGTAAAAGGTATGTATTTAGTTATTTTCATTCCAATTGATAAAGAATTTTTCAAAAGTTTCTTTCAAGCTCAATTCATTCTCTTGACTTCTATCAGGTCTCTCTCAATTCTATCGCTTAATCTTCAAGTTTAAAAAAAAATTTTCACCCCAAACTTTTGGTACTTTCAATGGACTTGAAACTGCTATCTCGTTTCTAGCCTATTCACAAGTCTTTTTACTTTGGCTCGTTCAGCTTTTTATTTTATTTTATATCATGGCTAAAAGTCAGAAGAAAATTCAACTACTGTGGGAGGTACCAAGTGAAGGCACTCGTTGAATTAGATTTGAGTGTAGTGAGGCCATTGTTGTGAAACGAAGGAGGTGGTAACCATTGCAATGGATCGGAGTGATGTATTCTCGTTGTACTTCCGACCTGTTTCAAACGATTCGTATTTCCACAATCTGGCAATACCAAGATTCACGGCGTTCCACACAGTTTCATGTTTTCTCTTGCATGAGATACTTTTAGTGTTGGTATTTTATAAAAATAATACCCATGGTATTAATTACAATTATAGCGGATACAAGTGTGAGAAGATGAAAAATAAGACTGTTAATAAAGCTGAACATTAGCACCTGTATCTACATTTCCATGGCCAATAACTTCGAAAATAATCAGCATCAAGTAAAAATGGTTGGAATAAAAGTTGTTCGTCTTAATCTAAAGAATTTTTTTTGTTTAAACAATTTTTTTATATCTCTAATAGTTTAGCCAGAAAATGAGTTCAAACATCGTTTTTATTTCGTTTAAAAAGTGGTGTATTTCATGCTACTGATATTGATTGTCATGTGGTTATGATTCGTAGAATTTCTTTGTGTATTTTTTTTACATTTTTTAACTGTTCAATTGTACATGCGTGTACTTAACACTTCCCCCACCATCATTCGTTTTCTGCTCCCTACACTCTATTGTTCGTATCTGTTCACACTTCAATATGTCATCTCCGATTCAAATTGTTTTAGTCAAAAAGACTATGCTTATGATATTCATCATGTAGGAATATTTATGTTCATGATATCAAATTTGAGCCGAGATGAAAACTTCAAGATCATCTAGCTGTGAGAAACTTAGCCATCAACAAGACATCATGACTTGAGCTAATATTTAATGAATTTATTCCAGATTCCTGATGAAAAGAATCTTTGAAGTATTCGTGGGATGTCAAGTAGTAATGTCTCTTTGTCAGCAGTGGATGATCCCATCAGTTAAAAACTCTCTAATTCCCTTCACAGTAAGTAATAAAATAATAGTGATAAAACTATCTCTAGACATTGTCAGAAATATTAGACTCTAGATGTTAGGATGATTTATTCAAGTTTCATTAATATTCCTCACCACTTAGGGTTAATTTAAGAAGTTATTCAGTTAATTTTTGTTCTAATATAGAATTTAGAACGTGTTCAAAGTTAATAATGACCTAGCAGACAGAAAGCATCAGTCTTGAAGTAGAAAGTAACGCATCTAAGGTACATATAGACAAGCAGATGGTTGTTTGAATGTCAAGCAAGTAGACTAGCTAGTTTCCACGAAAGTGGTTAATCGTAAATGCGAAAGTTAGAAGACACGGTGTGCTTCCAAACCACCATCGCCATTCTCCTCTACATTAACCTCAACGTATGCAACTTCCATCCTTTAACTTGAATCTCTTGTGTAACCTCATGTATGTATTTCCGAACGCCCTTTCCAACTTCTTGATAGACCGTCGAGCGTGCACGTACTATCAACCATTCCTAAATGTGCATCCCTCTTTACTTTATGCACGTCTGCTCATACCATCATTGCCGCCATTTTGTCTTAAGAGACCCAACGTATCCAAATATACCTTCAACATACCCTTCCTCAACAACTTCAAGCCACACAATTAATCCTAAAGTTTCTCAGACCAAGACCTGGAATTTGCTACGTCCTAATCGAACGACCTGCTGATGACAACTTGTGGATTATCTTCTTGATGAGGTAGTGGACTTATCGTGAAATAAATAAGTTTGGCATTTAAATTACCACATGCTCTATTATTCATTGGTGGATATTGAAATTACTGAGTGCAAGGTATAGGAAGCAGCATCACTTGCATAACCTTTAAAAAATTGAACAGACACACTTTCGATTTACAATGTAATTAAGACTTGTTCATATATTCCATCATTATATCCAAAAATATTTTTACTAAACACTGGTTGAAAGAATGTGTGATGAATTGGCTGAGAATGGTGGAAAGCAGGGAATTGAAAGAGTTGGAGATAAAAAAAAAACGAAATGACTGTGAGACTTTTAATTTGATCTTAATTCTCTAAAGCTGGACATCCATCAAGTTCCAACAATGTCTTGTTAATTCAGTCATTTCAGAATTATTACAAGTTTCTCAAGTACTCTCATCTCTTTTTGAGCTTACATTTATTTTTGCTTTCAGCTAAAAATTGTATACCTTGACAAAGAAAATAATCAACTATAAATTTACGTAACATCTCATCAAGTTAATTATTCTGTTGAATAAATTGTTTCTATTTTCTCGAATTTCTACTTTACAATATTTTATCCACATTTTTTTCCTTCTTTCGTTTAATGAGATTCTCCTTAAGTCTCTTACATTTTTTCCTATTTTCTAATTTTTACATTTACTATTTTTCTCGTTACACTTTTCAATCTATTCTCCTCTCACTGTTTACTTTTACTTCTTCATATTTAATTAATTGAAACATTTCATTAACTAAAGTAAATTTTTAGATAAAAACTGAATAAAAAGAAAGGGGGGCGAGGGGGGAAAAAAAATAAAATGAATGAAATTGTTTACGTTTTGTTTTTATGTTGTGTTTTATTATTATTATTTTTTTTTATTTACGAGAGATGATACTTTGAAACGCATTTTCGTTGGGATTTCAAGAAAATACGAGATATTTCATACGCGGTATTGTGCTCTTGGCTTTGAAATTCACAAGGATATTCCATGTTCCAAAGAGTCTCCTACCATTCCACCTGTGTGTTAAAGAACAAAAATGAAAGCAAAAGAGAGTTCAAAAGGCTTGTAAAAGGTTTTATACTATGATACAGTATATGTCAAAAGTTATTTAGTAGGAAAATTCATTTTCTTTACAAAGTATTTCAGAAAAAAACAAAAAAAATTATTTATTTATCTGATTACATATCTATCATAATTTTATTAATTTCCTTTTTTCGTTTCTTTTACAGAACATGGACGTCGCAAAAGCTGCAGAGAGACTTTTAAAATTAGCAGTGAGTACAATTTTTAATTTTATTATTTATTATCATAAATTTATAAGTAGGTTATTTATTTATTTAAGTAAATATCTTCACTTAGTACAACAACAATCACAACATTGGTAATCGAAGGTGTTTTAGAAAATTCGATGGTGAATTTTTTTTAATGATTTATTCTCGATTTTTATTGTTATACAACGACAAAATAGCTGCTAGAACAGAGAAATATTCTATTCCGTTGACAAACCACTGGAATTAATGAATATTAATGAAAATTAAATCAATAAATGATTATTAAATGATGCGGAAAAATTTTCATACTTACATTTTTATAACATCGAAGTGAAATAATAAAAAATCGACATCCAGTGATTTTCATTGGTTTATGAGATCTGTTAATCAGTACAATAAACATTTTTTTAATCTCATTATTTTTGTAATTGTACCATGGTAAATTGTACAATGCATTCCCTACATTTTCACTCTGAAAAAAAATTTATTTATCAATTTTAGAAATTTCTTTTTCTTTTCAATTAAAAAAAAAAAAAACCTACCTTTTCTAGAATTTCATTGCAGCTCCAACAGTAGGCGAAAAAAATAGGCATTATTGATGAAATATAAGCAACGTGATGAATGACAGAAAAAACATGTCCATTTTGGTAATGCTAAATTATGAAATAAATTAAAAAATAAATTCCATCATTTATTTTTTATCATATTTAATAATTAATCTTTACCTTTATAAGTCCATAACTATTAAAACAAAAGCTGATTGTTCCTATTATTAAATGTAGAAACATGATGCCATTCAATACATTATCTATTAATTTAATACAACTATAATTAAAGGAGTAATTTTATTAATGATAGTATTCAGTATAAAGGCCATTGAATTTAATGGAGTAATAAGATAAAAGTAAGTTCTATTATATTAATTTAAAATAATTATATCAAATGATGATTTTAAAAATTCTTTCCTTCACTTACTCAATCAATTTATTGTGTTTATCAACAATACATTTGATGCAACAACAATTAATGTCTATTTGTTTGCTGTTCGGTATTTGATTATTAAATATTCCTGATTTCTGATGATTTATTTCCCCTCGGAATTTTTTTATTGTCTCAATTAGCACGTCTATTTGGCCAGAAAAATGATGTATGAACAGCAACACGTAGGAATCAATAGTCGCGCAGATAAATACATTTGTGATTAAACATAATATTTGAAAGAAAAATATCATCTCGAAATATGGTGAATGGTCCCATGAAAATGGATACCATGCATCAAAAATTAGACATGCTTCCTCGGAAATGATGTTCTTAACAAGAGGTTGTACAAACCAAGCTAGAAAAAAATTATTAAATAATAAAGGTTTGAAGAAAAAATATTTGAGATATGGAAAGTAGGACGGAGTAAAAATTTAGCCCAATTTTTTGTGATTATAATAAAATTATTGTCGTTCTACACTAGTGTAGTTTGTCTTACTTTTCTACACTAGTGTAGTTTAACGTTATTTTCTACACTAGTGTAGTTTGTCTTACTTTTCTTCACTAGTGTAGTTTGTCTTACTTTTCTACACTAGTGTAGTTTGTCTTACTTTCCAATACTTGCACCCATCATAGCTTTCTGCACGCCGCTGGCCCTCTTACGGCAACAATTATAATTATTATACATGTTTTCTCTAGTAGTAAGGTGATTGTATTTTAATTAGACCCTAAAGTGCGAATTCTTGGGAATTTATTTGAATGCAAGAGTAGAAAAATATTTTTTACCTATTTCTCCAGAGTGCAATATAAAAAATATTACAAACGTTGTTCTACAAGTTTTTATGGCACATTTTTGCATGAACTGTTGACTACTTGGAGTGAGATATTTAAAATGCTGCCAGGTTTCATTCATCTGGTAAAGTATTTCCCTCAAAATGGACTCTTTATATTTGAATAAAAATTGCTGTGCCAAACTGTGAACGTAAATTGAAGCTACAAATATTGAATATATTTTCTTGTCATAATTGTCACTTTGTATTAAACAACCACTAACAGATGACAAAGCTGTGATGGTCGATATAACAAAACAGATGGAAAATTTTAGTTGACCATTTTTATTGTAATATGGCCAGTAACCAATTAATTTTAAACATCTCTCCAAAAATTTTAATTCATCATGAAATGATTTTATCTCTGATGCTTTTTTCATTTTTTACCACAATTCTTATCACTCAAATAATTTTTTGAGTGAATCAGAAATAATTTTCAATACGGCAAATTCTTTTTATATAACACACTTGAATTCTAACCTTAAAAAAAATTTTTAACTATCCCTCTAACAATTAAACTTCATTCGACTCTTACTCTTATTCAATTAAAACATAAAACTATCACCTTATTTATTTTTTAATTAAAAAATTTCCTGTTTCTGTTTGTTTACATATCCCTGGATGACAAGACATTAAATAAAAGACATAAAGAATTAATTAAAACATTGTCCCCATGTTTATATTAAATACTTCCGGTTTCAATGTCACGAAATTATTCTTCCCCTTTGAAAAATTTATGTCAGTCAACGTTGTAGAATTATTCAGATTCAGATCGCTATTTATTTTTTGGATTTGAACTGTATAGTATGATACATTATTATACTATTATTTTTCATTTAATAACCAATCAGGTCATTGGATTTCTTTCAACATGGCGGCCTTTATTTATCTTATCATCTTTTTTTTTCATCTAAAGAGTAGATTGTCACGGAAATAATCATAACCTCACCATTTAATTCGATTTGATTGGCTGTTTTAAGTAATGGCGGGAAAAAGATTTAATTTGAATTTAAATTTTTATGAGAATAAATAAAAAAGCGGATTGCTGACTACTATTTTTATAAATATTAATAAATATTTTTAAAAACCAAGGGAAACATTATAAAAACATACATGAATTTAATTTTTATTGTCATATCATAAAAGAGATATAAAGGAAACTACTAAAATATGTATGAAGAGTAGACAAATACGTAAAATACAAATACTTTTCGACATTCGTTATAAAATAAATTCCGGATCGATATGGGGTAAAGGAAAATATGTACATAAAAGGAGTAAGGCAAATGAAATAAAAAATTTTAAATGAAATAAAATAAAAAAAAAACAAAATAACAGTATAAATATAAATACGAGGATAGAAGAGACAAACAAAGTCAGTTGACTGGCTAGAAAGAATTTAGAAAAGCTTCGGGCAGTTTGCGGACGTCAAAGGACACTCAGGGGTATATTTCACGTGACTTAGACTCTGATGCTTTGTGGCCATTTGTGACGCGTCACAAACAACCCTTGGCACGGCCACAAGTATCTTGTCTTGGTGGCTGGTCGAGGGTTCATAAAGAGACATGGAAGAAACGATGAAGAAGAAAAAAAAAGATAAATTAAAAAGGAGTCTGATTATTTTCACAAAGAAGTGTTGAGTGTTGAAAAAAAAAAGACTGATTTGAACTTGTTAAGTCAAATATTCATCAGAGATTTATGTTTGAACTTTAAATTAAGTTGGAAAGGTTGTCTTGCCAAACATTATTTTTAGCACATTTTAATTTTCATGTTGATAAGTTAATGTCCAATTGTTGAGTGTTTGTTGAAGAGAAAAGAAATAAAATCACTGTACTAACTGTTATGTATACTTGAAATGGAGTGTAATAATTTTGCTTAACGTAACATAAAAGCTGGCAATTGAAATGAAACAACTTCCAAATTCTTAGCATGAACTAGATAAACGGAAACGTCTTACCAACTCTTTAGCTTTCTGCTTCTTCGAACTTGTTTATTTCCTTTTATATCTCTCGGGCTTTTTTTTTATTACTCTACCGGGATCAAAGGATTCAACTTGAAATTGCGACCACGCCCGAGAATATTGTGCGGGTCAAATGGGTCACTTGGGACTCCAATAAGAATATAGAGACGAGGAGCAAAAGTGACAGTCTATTGTTGAAAATGTGATATCAAATACCGTTGAACTCGATACAATAACAAAATATGCAAACTATCAAGAAATAAATTGCTTTGACACTTTTAAAGAGACTGAAATATCAACGATAATATGTTAATAAACATCAAATTTAAAACTCTAAAAATATTTAGAGAATTAAGAAGTTGAGGTGATTAGAAAAATTACTGCTATATATTTCCTAAGACTAATATCAAAATTAAAGAAACAAAACATTTAAATAATCGTCTGTAAATATTTGTAACATTTTTGTTTTTGTTCGTGACTAATTAGTTAATAAGTTATTCAATTATCAAGTTGAAAAACAGATGGTAATGTAGGTTTCTTCTTGATTGATCATATGTCATTGGTCAATTTTGTATATGTATGGAATTGAAGTAAAGCGCCCTCTTTTTAAATTCATAAAATCACAGACATTGATGCTGTGTTAGTTTGTACAAGATTGCATGTATAACCTCTCAAAAATTTTAATAAAAATGGTGCTACTTACTGGCTTATCTTTTACCTACTTATTAAAGTGTCACCTGGGTACTGCATCTCTTTTATTGCGGTATTTCTAGGCCTAATCCGTATAATTAAGTGACTTATTCTCAAAGACAATAATCATTATTACATTTAAACCTATTACAGATCATTCTTTAACATTTAATTTCCTGTGCTCACGAAAATCCAGCAGTTTATTATCTAAAATAAAGTGACTTCTTAACCTATAAATTTAAAACCGTTTAATAATGCATTATTTTCAGATCCCTAATCACTTGATGTGGCTGTGTTTCTTCTATCTGGTGTTTCACTCGTGCTTTAACTTGATAGGAGAACTTTTACACTTTGCTGACAGAAACTTTTATGGTGATTGGTGGAATGCAAACAACATCGACACATTCTGGAGAACGTGGAACATGGCTGTACACCGTTGGGCTGTAAGGTAACTTAAATATTCCTGATAACAATCGTTGAAACCTCTAGCACACCCCATTCAATTTCCTTTATCCTCATTCGATATTCCCATTGTAGTCCAAAGTGGATAGGGAGTTTCTCCTTGCTATCTTCTCTTTCTCTCTGTACCTCATTTTCTCATTCTGAGGATCTCGGATGTAATCTCTACAGTGATGAAGTTTTGCTACAAAGACCTCGAGAATGTAGGAAAAGAGACAGAGTACGTAAAGTAAAGGATGTAGAAATTCCCTGTCGACGAATCTTTGATCGAAACCGTTTTTCACTAAATTTCATCAACATCTTCTATTGCTTCGATAGAGCTTAATTAAAGTCTCCTCTTTTTTTAACTAACTTGATCAATCAAATTTATTACTTAACCATTTTACTCATATTGAGGATGTGCGCAAGTTCTTAGCATTTTTTTTTTCTATAAAAGAAAATTTATCCAAAAAAAAACATAGGGTTTGTTTTACTTAATGATATTGACTAAAGCTTGCGAGAATTTTTGGCCCTCTGGTGAGCAACGAATAAATTCCAAATCAATACTGTAAACACTTTAAGCGTCTATTCATTAAACACTAAAATTTTCTTTCAATAGTATAAAATAGTTTTGAGACTTAGACTTTAACTAGACCTTACAACAGCGACATCTACAGTTGGCGTCACTGAAGCTTTCTCAGTTTTGTATAAAAAAGTATAGGGAAATCGCATGTATAACCTTTAAAAAACTTCCAGCACATTTTTATTGTTTCACATATATTAGCACGTAATATAGATCCATAAAAATAGTGACATTTTCTCGTTTAATATTAATGATTCATCAATAAAACCCCATCAAAATGGTGGCATAATTTTTTTATCGACCGTCGATATAAAATTTTGATGTGAAAGTTAGATGAAGTAAGGCTATAAAAAGGAAACGAGATCATCAGTTATCTCGTTATTAGAATAATAATATAACACTTTAGATGAAAAGGAAAAAATATATCATCGTTTTCAAAAAAATCTTGAAATATATAAAACGCTAAAGACCAAGAAAATTAGTTCTTACACATACCGCATCTTTAACTCTGTTTACAATTTTATCTTCTACATTTTTCCTCGTTTTCTACGATTCCTTTTGACCTTTTTTTCTGCTTCCTTTTATTTCTGACTAGAAATCTTTGCAATAGCTGCTTTATAAGATCCAAGTGCTAAGCAGTTTTAAGTGCAGAAATGCTATGTATATCGTCTTTTTCCATTATAAACCATCAAGACGAAGGAAGGAAAGAAGGAAGACTCTATAACATTTCACAAACTAACCACAACTTTCTCGTTTAACTTAAGAAGGCTTTATTTCTTTTTTTTTTATCACATTTGGTCTCTTTACTATTTCCACATTTCGCCCTTTTTCATCCTCATTTTGACTTCATGGACTTGTGCCAGTTGCAGACTGAGATTCTTTTCGAGTGATAAAAGACGTTTTAAGAGAGTAAAGTGTGAATAAAACGAATATTTAATACATATACGACTCTTATATATACATATAAATCAATACATAGAAAACTTTTCCAAGATTATTTATCACTAAATTTAAATAATAGAAGCAGAATTGATAAACCTATCAATTAATCACCTATTATGGTTATAGCTATTCCTATAGCTATGATTCATTGATCTATACATCTAATCATTTTTAATCAACTGAAATTATCAAAGAGTTAGTGACACATAAGCTACGAATGTAGTTCAAATCTGTACATATAAATCAAATCAAGGGTTACTTACATTCAATGTTTAATTAAAAATTTATTATCTTAATTAATTTAAGAACAAGTTTTCAAACATTTGCTAGTGCTGCCTAGCGGAACATTAGTTGAGGACGCCACCACTAGGCGTCGTTCCTTTTCTGCAAGTGAATGAATGACGATAATATTAATATTTGTTTATTATCTATTGACTTGCGGAAAAGAAATGACACCTAGCGGTGGCGTCCTCAACTAATGTTCCACTGGGTGGCACAAGCGAATGTTTATAAGCTTGTTACTTCTCTAGAAGTAAAACTGTCTGTTAATTGACATCGCTAATTTTTTTTAGACACCTCTACATACCAATCGTTGAGATGGGCTATTCGAGGACAGTAGCAAGTGTTACAGTATTTTTTTTCAGCGCATTTTTCCATGAGTACCTTGTTAGCATTCCTCTCCAAACATTCAAAATTTGGGCCTTCATGGGAATGATGTCTCAGGTAAAATAGGATTCAAGTGATTTATTGATGAATGAATAACAACAAAGACGAGTGACAGAATGGTTTATTTGGTTATAGATACCATTGTCAATCATCAGCAAACGTGTAGAGAATAGATTTGGTGCAAGGTGGGGCAACATAGTCGTCTGGTCGAGCTTGATAATCGGTCAGCCCCTCTGTATCATGGTCTATTATCATGACTATGTTGTCACACATTTCGGCGAGACACTCCTGGAAGATCACTCTGTTGTTTGAGGGCTGACATTCATAATATTATCGATAGTATCAACTGTTATAATTTACGTCGCATTGTAATCCTTTCGTTATCATCACTAGAATTATTATCTTCATTCCTTATTTGAATGATGTAAATAATTTGTATATTAATAAATGTTATGGCATTGCCAATTGTGTTATTGTGATGATAATAAAAGGATTAAATTTTACATTTAATAAAATAATTACATAGAAGGTAATGTAAATGGTTTGGCGTTGATTAAATCAATAGTTAATATCAAATATCAACTAATTGATTGAAATTGGAATGATTACTTCACTCCAACTGGTATGTACATAAAAATATTCGTGAACGTCTTTTAATTCTTACTTTTGCTCACGAATTAAATCTTCCTGTTACAAGAAAGTTGTTATACATTTTATTAAAAAATTGTTGGAATATATTAGAAGCAATGTACATTATTGTAAATTTATTTTTGTACATTTTCCAAAATAAATTTATAAAATACTTCAAATCCACAAAATGATGTAATAATTTTTTCATCATTTTAAAATTTAATATTATCCTACACATCTACAAAAAAAGTGAGATTTTAATTAATATTAAAAACGCTAGAAGTAAAGGACATATAGAGTTAAATTTATCTTTAAGAGCTATTTTAAATTTTCAATGATCATTTAATGTAAGGTACTTACAATATTAATAACTCATTACTTAAATTTATAAGTAATAGATTTGAATCTAACGAAACAAAAATGTTTGATTCCCGTGAGCAATGTGTTTGCCATACCGGTCATTCCTATTGGCTTAAACAAAATTCGATATATCCATGGAATTCCTTAATTCATAAAATATAAAATTACATAGATGTATTATTTAATAAATTAATAGAAATGTTGAAATAATTACTAATTAATTAGAAGATACTACAATTTGCACAGGATGATCCTTCCAGAAAAAATACACTGATGGAGTTGGAGATGGAGACCCTAGACCTTCCAGGTACGCGTTGAATGCTCCACCACTTAAGCTATCTCACACTCGTGTCAATTCTCCTATCTATCGTACCTACACTTGTCTTAGCGTCTTCCCACTTCCACGAAATGCCAGATCCATGCGCCCCCTAGTCCCTCTTGCGGCAGTAAATTAAAGATTCATCAATTCATTGTTTTTTATGAATTGTTTTCTATCTTTTTCGTATCCTAAAACACTTCCAAAGACGTTAGAAAAAACTTTATGCATTCTTTAAATACTTTAGAAGATTCTAATATTTTTAAAAAGAATATTTAAGTCATGAGCATTGAAATAAAAAACAATTTCCAACCAAGACATCTAATTAACGACGTTACGCTTATCGGACAACTAAAAGTGTTGGTAGATTCTTTCTTACAACGTTGCCAATGTTAAACTCGACTTCATTCGAGGGAATTCGGACTCTTTGTGTAACTTAAGCCGTGATATCGCATTTTATGAGCTACCTAAGGTATCCAACATATGACGACAACTATTGATAACTATAATTAATCAACGCCATGTTGACATTAGTTTCAGCGAAATGGCAGTTTTGCCAGTCAATTTAAAGTTTAAATAAAGAAAACCACATAAATAATTTAAATATTACTTGGCATACACTCCATTAACTTTGGCAAAATTTATTACTCAATTTTCTAACAACTCTGAAATCCACCAACGCTTCCTATGATACCAAAAGAAAAAAAGTAAAGCCTGTGGCATCAGTTAGTACAGGCTTTAGTCTTCATTCTCCTTTAAAACTCGCTGTAAAGTTGATATTCTATCTGGAAGTTAGTAAAACAGCATCACAACCAAAGTAATATTGGTGTAGACGTTTGAACAGGAGAACGTTCTCTCCTACGCCAGTCCCTCGACTGCGACATGGTCATGCCAGCTTTCCTTCATCTCTCAATGCTCTCTCCAAGCCGGCTATACCCCCTTCCCCAGGACGCTTGCGTGATTCATCCGACACGGCTGATACTCTAGGAGAACGGGGGTAGGGGAGTCATTGCCTGCCTATAAGGGCGGTTGCTCCGTAACGCCTCTGCAGTAAGTGCCGCGACGCCTGATGTGCTTGGTGTCTATAGTTTGCTATTCTCAGTGACTTCCACACGAGGCTCGTGCTTTATTCATTTCATCTTCAAGTGGACATTTGATTGTATTGTTATACTCAACTATTACTTCCTACTCTGGTGGTCTTCAAGTGATTTTGGTGCTGCTGTTCTGGATATCAGGTAAGTTTTTTATTATTTCATAGCCAAGTTTGGTGATTGGGTAAGCTTCTAAAAAGCAGAATGTTTATTAATTTTTTTTTAATGCATGATAGCTTTAGTGAAGCACGTCTTTAAAAAATAGTGGTGAAATGACAAAAATAAATTGATGCTTTCCAAGATGTTGAATTCCAAGGTTTTATTTGAATAGTCTAAATGATTTGATCAAGTAATTAATTTTAAAGTCTGATAGACAGAGATTTGATGTAGACTTATTGAAGTAAGATTTAAAAGTGAGGTTAAAAATGATAAAGTTCATTCATCAAATTAATGATGGAGTTTTGAATACAAGCTTTTAATAGAGATGTAGGTTTTAAGTAGGGTTTAAACTTAAACAGGTGAATGACTATACAGTGCCTTCCAAAAGTTTATTGAAATAAAAACTGTGTTGTTTATGTCGAATGAAAAGATACTATTAACGAAAGTCTGTTTAAAAATTTGTACAAATGCTCTTCTCATTGACCTCTACAAGAATTTGTGATAAAAAATTAAACACCTCTGTGTTATTATATAAATCACAATGTGATTAATAATAATCATTAATAATTAATGAATTTAAAAGCAAAAAGATTAAAGTGTATATTTTTTTTTAAATTGGACAATTGGAAAACTAAGTGAAACATAACGTTAATTATTCTACATCAGTGGAGATCAATTGGAACATGAATCCCTGCTGTAATTTGTTACATTCGTATAATAACAGATGAACAAGAAGATGAGAGAGAAAGAGAAAAGTTTCAAATCCATCTGGTGGAAATCACACAGATATGTATCCGCTTATTGTGGGATTACAAACGGTAACATACAATAATCCGGATCTTGTAATGTAACCCAAAAGAATGAACAGAAATGGTTATGAGTTTTATTATTATTTTTTTATTCTTCTTGATAATTTTTTCTCAACATCAGGATAAAATAAAAAAATAGTCAATGAACTATTGTGCTGTACCTGTTTATAAACATTTCTAAAAGTTTTTAGAAAAACCGTACATTCCTGGTTGTGTACTAATAACAAATTTCTTTGCACGGAGAGAATTTTTTCACTAAATGTAAGTGCAAAAAGTAACAAGTCCACGTTTCGAAATTTATAAGTAAAAATATTTCTGTTCAACAGTGAATTTTGGGTTGTTGTAAGTAAACTTGAGACTTAAAAGGTGTCTTAGTAAAAGAATTACTTACGACAACTCAAAATTCACTGTTGAACAGAAATATTTTTACTTCTACAATTGTCTCTGTATAGAAGAATATGTACAGCTAAATAACTCTCTTAAATGAACAAGTTGGATGCATTTATGATAATAAAAGAAAACTGTTAAGCTGCTGCTGATGATGGTGATAAAAAGAATGTTGACAAAATAGATAATTAATTAAATAAAACTTGGGCTGGGTAGTATGATTTTTTTCAATCACTTGGAGCAGTAAAACTGTCAACATTTCATGTTTTCAGTGTTGATGTGTTTGAAGTGGTGAACAGACAATGTATACACAGAAACCGCTATCTCATGCTTGTTGAATATTGCAACATTTAAACATTTATTATTGAATAGCATGCACAGGCTGTTAGATTATCAAAACTCTTGACCTATTCAATTTTCATATGTAATATTTTCATTTGGATCCAATTGTGTCCAACCCAAAAGAATTATTTATGTTTGTGTTTGGTACTGGTAAAACCATTTGTGTCTTTGTATCATGTTAAATGCTTGCAAATACTAATGAAACCTGTTGTATTTATAGCGGTGTACATGCGTGCATAGTTCAAGGCCCACAGCTAAAGTTTTAGGGCTGAGTCCGACCACAAACTTCCTTAGTATCTCACTCGACACCTATAGTGTTACATCCTCGGGCTAGAAATTCACGACACCGGAGCATTGTTATTATCCATTGCACAAGCAAAAATTCATTGACTACACTGATGAAAGGATTTTATTTTGTAATTATGTGATGTTCAATAAAATTAATTGTAAGAATATATTTGAACAAAACAACTGGGGGAAAAGTGGTGATTGATTAGATAATATTGTTTTTAGGGATGAAGACAATTTTTTTTGGTTAAAAGTAGCTATCAGGTCTTATAGAGGACTTAATTTCCGATCTCTAGAGTCTCTAATAAGTCTAGAATAAAATTCATAAACTTATTAAGAAAAATTTTTGTTCTCATTCTATCTGTAATTAATTTATCTAAAAATCATACTGCTACTAGACTACTGAGGTATTTTAATAGATAGAAGGTTTATGTTTGATTTTTTTTTTAACTTTATGTTATGTCAAAAAATATATACCACCGTCAGAAAGTTTGAAAGCACCTGTAATATCCAGTGTGTTCTAAATTTATAAATATTTAGATTTGAAAAGATGCTTCCAAACTTTCTGACGGTGGTATATATTTTTATTAATATAAAGAAAAAAAATTCAAAAAATTATCCTCTAAAAATGAATGGAGATAAAAAAATATCTGTTATAATAAACATTTGTTTTATCAATAATAAAATGCCTCAAATTCAGTGAATGACAATGAATTTTTTATTTACTTAAAAAAAAAAAAGAGTATTTTACTGTGAAATAAAATTTTCTGTATGTAAAATAATTAATTGGCTAAATGCTGTCTACATTTAGAGCCAATAAAAAACTTATCATCTTTGGCGTTAAACAGATAGAAAAAAAAAAAGAATTATACTTTTAATACTTTGACATATCGACTATCGATAAATCGATTAATCATTTTTAACGAAATTCTTTTGCGTGAAAAAAAGGGTCAATTATCGTATAAATGAATAAAAAGTGAGTGAGAAAAAAATCTTTTTTCTTTACATTTTTATTGAAAATTTCTTGCTTGAATTAATGGCCACTGAGTTTGAATAAAGTGATTTGTGGCTCTGTATACAGAATATCCTATAGCGACTTTCAAAAGAAACCGCTTTGCCATCCTTTATTGGGAGTGAAGCTATTGAAAATG